TTCTGAATTTCCCGGTTGTCCGAGAGAAGTACACGAATTTTTTGTATTTTTTTTGAATTTTCTGATTTTCCCGCTTGTCCGAGAGAAGTACACGGATTTTTAGTGCTTTTTTCTAAAATTTCTGAATTTTCCGATTGTCCGAGAGAACTACACGGATTTTTTTCGAATTTTCTGGTTTTCCCGCTTGTCCGAGAGAAGTACACGAATTTTTTGAATTTCTGAATTTCCCGCTTGTCCGAGAGAAGTACACGATTTTTTTCGAATTTTCTGGTTGTCCGAGAGAAGTTCACAGGTTTTTTTTTGAATTTCTGGTTTTCCCGCTTGTCCGAGAGAAGTACACGATTTTTTTCGAATTTTCTGGTTGTCCGAGAGAAGTTCACAGGTTTTTTTTGAATTTCTGGTTTTCCCGCTTGTCCGAGAGAAGTACACGATTTTTTTCGAATTTTCTGGTTGTCCGAGAGAAGTTCATAGGTTTTTTTTGAATTTCTGAATTTCCCGCTTGTCCGAGAGAAGTACACGATTTTTTTCGAATTTTCTGGTTGTCCGAGAGAAGTTCACAGGTTTTTTTTGAATTTTTGAATTTCCCGCTTGTCCGAGAGAACTACACGAATTTTTTTCGAATTTGCTGGTTCTCCCGGTTGTCCGAGAGAACTACACGGATTTTTTTCGAATTTTCTGGTTTTCCCGCTTGTCCGAGAGAAGTACACGGATTTTTAGTGCTTTTTTTGAATTTCTGAAATTCCCGGTTGTCCTAGATTTTTGTGCTTTTTGATTTTTGTGCTTTTTTTGAATTTCTGAATTTCCCGGTTGTCCGAGAGAAGTACACGAATTTTTCGAATTTTCTGAATTTCCCGCTTGTCCGAGAGAAGTACACGGATTTTTAGTGCTTTTTTTGAAATTCCCGCTTGTCCGAGAGAAGTACACGATTTTTTTCGAATTTTCTGAATTTCCCGCTTGTCCGAGAGAAGTACACGAATTTTTAGTGCTTTTTTTGAATTTCTGAAATTCCCGGTTGTCCTAGATTTTTGTGCTTTTTGATTTTTGTGCTTTTTTTGAATTTCTGAATTTCCCGGTTGTCCGAGAGAAGTACACGAATTTTTCGAATTTTCTGAATTTCCCGCTTGTCCGAGAGAAGTACACGGATTTTTAGTGCTTTTTTTGAAATTCCCGCTTGTCCGAGAGAAGTACACGATTTTTTTCGAATTTTCTGAATTTCCCACTTGTCCGAGAGAAGTACACGAATTTTTAGTGCTTTTTTTGAATTTCTGAAATTCCCGGTTGTCCTAGATTTTTGTGCTTTTTGATTTTTGTGCTTTTTTTGAATTTCTGAATTTCCCGGTTGTCCGAGAGAAGTACACGAATTTTTCGAATTTTCTGAATTTCCCGCTTGTCCGAGAGAAGTACACGGATTTTTAGTGCTTTTTTTGAAATTCCCGCTTGTCCGAGAGAAGTACACGATTTTTTTCGAATTTTCTGAATTTCCCGCTTGTCCGAGAGAAGTACACGGATTTTTAGTGCTTTTTTTGAAATTCCCGCTTGTCCGAGAGAAGTACACGATTTTTTTCGAATTTTCTGAATTTCCCGCTTGTCCGAGAGAAGTACACGAATTTTTTGAATTTTCTGATTTTCCCGCTTGTACGAGAGAAGTACACGATTTTTTCTAAATTTTCTGATTTTCCCGCTTGTACGAGAGAAGTACACGATTTTTTTCAAATTTTCTTGTTTTCCCGCTTGTCCGAGAGAACTACACGGATTTTTTCGAATTTTCTGAATTTCCCGGTTGTCCGAGAGAAGTACACGAATTTTTTGAATTTTCTGAATTTCCCGCTTGTCCGAAAGAAGTACACGATTTTTTCAAATTTTCTGGTTTTCCCGCTTGTCCGAGAGAACTACACGGATTTTAGTGTTTTTTTCGAATTTTCTGATTTTCCCGCTTGTCCGAGAGAAGTACACGGGTAATTTTGAAAAAAAAGTTTGAATTTTTGAATTTTGCCGCTTCTCCTCGAGAAATACACACTTCTTCCCCAAAAATTTGTATTATTGATCGCCAAATTTTTGACCAAACAAAACAAAATTGGTGTTAATCCCCTTTTTTGGACAATACACCTACAAATTGAACCGCAAATATTTGATTTTTGGGGTAAATTTGCGCGGCTCGAATAAAAATAACATTAGTTTTGTGACTCTTGTGACTCACACCTACAGTACCCTCAGTTTTCGCGCCAAGTTTTGAATTTTCAAATTTCCCCGAATTTTTATGTTTCGAGATTTTGATGAATTTTTTTAGCGCTAAAAATGACAGTATTTCCGGTTTCCCTCACATTGTTTTTTGGCCGGGAAAAAAAAATGGAAAAATGAAATCCGTTTCTATGATAATTGGTTGCAATCACAATTTCTTTTGTTATTAGAAATTGTTTTTTTTTTTCACAAAAAAAAACACGGGAAACTGGATTTTTGGTGCTAAATTTTGATCTACAGTAACTGAAAATCTACAGTAGCCTTATCAAATTTGATCTACTTTTTTTTTCAAAAATTAGGAAATAAATCTTATCAAGATGATTCATACATTTTTTTTTTGATTACGAAAAAATGTCAGTTGTCCATCGGAAAGTATAACCTTTCCCCCGATTTTCTCAAAGCGAACAGTTGTTGTTGGGTTTTTCTCTAACCGCTCTCTCAATTTCGCACACTCTTTCTCTCGCTCCCCTCACCTTTTTTTTGCATGATCATTTTATTTATAAAATGTATGTAGAATAGGGTGAGAGAGATAGATAGATAGATAGTTTGCGAATTTAATTAACCGAACCGAACACACCGTGATGTTTTGTGGGTTTTTTTTGACACTTTATTGATTATTTTCTGTTCTGGTGATTTTTTGGATTTTTCTACATTCAAATTGAGAGTTTTTGAGACCTTAAGCGATTATTTTTGATCTACAGTAAGCCTTGATTTTCGAGGATTTTTGGCCCCAAAAATCTTTAAAAATTTTTTTTTGATAATTTATTAGCATCACTATTTTATTGGTCCTTGGTTATCAATTTGCCGACCCCATAAAAATGTATATATTTTTTATCTAAAACATATTTTTGTACCAATTTTTGATCTACAGTAATATTAGTTTTGGCGCCAAAAAAGGAAATTTGAATATTCATATAATTTCCCTTTCATTTTGCCCACAAAACAAAAGAGGGTGATTTATCTTAAGCCGCCCTCATTTTCGCGCTGTTTCCAAAAATTTTGTGTTCAAAAAAATCCCTGGGGAATTTTTTTCGCAAAAAAAATTCAAAAAAAAATTTTTTTTCAACAAAAAAGGTTGAAAATTGAATCATTTTAGGTGACAAAAGACCTTTTTTACTATTTTTTTTTTTTGAATACAAATTTTTTATTCAATAAAAAAATACGATTAATTATAACGCTTTTTTGTGAGGAGAGAGAAAACTGATATGATTCATTATCATTTATTTTTTTTTGTATAGAAAAATGTGCTTTTTGTGCGGCAAAATTGTATAATTTTGAAAAATAGAGAGAAAAATCAGATTTTTTGCTCCCTAGTAGAAATTCTACATTTTTGAATTTCCCGGAAAATTTACGTTTCAAAATTTTTGATCCATCTTCAAATAAATATATTCCAAAATTTTTTGGAAAAAGAAAAAATATAAACAAAACCTTTTTGTTTTATTTTTCTCTAAATATAAACAAAAAATGTTGCTTTATAAACTTTTCTTTTATTTTTATCAATTTTTGGTGCCAGTTACTGTAGTAGGTTATTTAAACTATATGTTTTTTTGGCCAAAAAAACATATTGCTCATATTAGACGACCAGCTGACTAATTGCACCCTTTCAAAATTTTACCTTCTTTTAATTGTTGTTTTTTGTTTTTGTTTCACGGGCAAAATGAAATGGCTCCGCAGCGGGTCCGCTGCGGGCCCATCTCTCAAATGGCCCCGCAGCGGGGCCATTGTGGGGCCACATTTGAGCCACATATCGCTATGGTGGTTGGTTGGTGGCTCCACCGGTGGGGCGTCGGCGGGTGTTGGTGACGCAATGATTTTTTTCAAACTAATCATCATTGTTTCGAATAGTTTAAACAAATTTTAGCATGGGAGGTTGTTCAGGAGGGTCGACAACATATATTTCGACTTCAAAATTGAAAAAAAAATCAAAATGTTTTTTTTCAGTGATCTGACCCGCAGCAGAGCCGCCGAAGAGGCGCTGCGGAGCCATTTCATTTTTGTCTGCATACATGTAGAAAACACAATACTTTGAACATCTATGTTTTATGGATTCAATGATTAACTTTATTTTAACCCGATATGAATAATCATCCAAAAAATCAAAACATGAAATGACTGGTTAGCCGAGCATTAGTGCTTCGAACTTCGAAAAATCTCAATTTATTTTTTGTTTGAGACTTTTGAACATCGGGTAACAATCATCTTACACAATTCACTACAAATCCATTAAATTAATAATTCTTGTTAAAAAGTTCGAAAAATTTCTCTAATGTTTTCTCGTGGTTCCATGATGGAACTTCCATCCACATTTCAAATTCTAACTTTTTCGAAAAATGTGAAATCTTGGAATTTTTTTCATGAACGAGAGATTTCTAGTAAATTAACAACGGTGAACATTTTTCAGTACTCGGTTTATACAGAAAACTGTTTTCCGCCGAGATATGATGGCTTTTTGGAGTCCTTTCTGTCGATTTTCGGAATTCTGGGGAAAAAACTCTTTAATTTATGATTTTCAGCAGCGAAATTTGAAAATTCAGTGACTCGTGCCTTTGCTTCAATCATAAATTTCTTTAAAACCGACTTTACTTGGGAAATATTCTTCTTATGGTTGAAAAACTAGAAAAAATGCATTTGTTACTGTAGCGCGCGAAATGTGTGCAAACACACACACACAAACATTTTATTTGACGCGCACTTATTTTTATTTTTCGTTTTTCCTATTTGTCCTATTTTTACGCTTTTTTCTTGTTTCTTCCAAGTTTTACATGATTTCACATGATTTTACAGGTTTACCATGGGCAACAAGTCACCTGCATCACGAAGAATTTGGAGAATTTCGAAAAAAAAGTAAGAAAAATCATGAAAATAGGAAAAACAAAGAAATTCGATTTTTCAGGGTCCCTTCACAAACAGTGCAATTATAGGAGCGAGAAAAACTATAGTGGGTGGATCGGTCGGATGAAATGGACTGTTGGTGAGTAGTTTTTTGTATTTGAGCGAGTAAATTTCAAACTCGACATTCTATGATTTTGTGAACTTCAAGTCTGACCATGTGTATTGCAAGAAGCATCTGCTTATGTTTTACACATGTCAAATTTAGTAAAGATTCAATATCAAAATGAAAAGTTTGTGAAGAGCTGAGAGAATTACATGTTTCTCTCTCAAGAAATACATATGTCTTGGTGGAGAATGCTCAGCCAGTTTTCAACCCAAAATTGGCCTAAATGTTGATAAAACTTTGGTGAAACTTTGACTAAGTGTCATCCGACTCTAGCATCCATACGTGTTTTATAACATCGAAATTAAATGGGAAATTTATTGAAATGAATGATAGAAAACTTGAAGTCTTTGGGTAATTGAATCACCATTGCTTGTCGATATTTTACATTTTACAAGACATTTGAAACTGTATTACGAAATCGAGCAGAAGTTTCAGAATATTATTCAGACTTGGAAAGAAAGAAAATCATAGAAATGAACAAAACTATAATTATCAAACTAACTTTTTTCAGACATCACCCACCAACACCAAAAATTGCCGACTTCATCTTCGAACAATCGATTTTGGACAATCGACGATGGACTAAATGATTTTTTTAGTCCAAATAAATTTTTTTCTCGAAACTTGTGAAAAATTTTACAAAAATTTACAGAGCCACTAGAAAGCCACAATAGAGCCACCCACCAGCCACCGAAAAAATCAGAGCGCACATTATGGGCCCGCCGCGGCTCAATCATTTTGTGGGCCCGCAGCGGACCCGCTGCGGAGCCATTTCATTTTGCCCGTGTTATCCCAATTTTCTTATTATTGTTGCTTTTTTGGGTCGAAAATTTGAATTTTTAGCGCCAAAATTAAGAAAATGTTTTTTTTTACCCACTCAAAAAATGCTGTGAAGAGCTCTTGACATCTCTACATGCTCATTACAGTAATCTTATTTATCAATTTGAGATTGATATCAGGTTACACGGCATCTTCTCGCACACAAATATTTGGTTATGTGATTTTTGTTTCTTTTGGATGTACATGGTTAGACTAACTACTACTACCGTAGGATTTCGGGAGTACTGTAGAATGTAGCTGAAAATTTTGGGCGCAAAATTTGAATTTTCAAAATTTTGAAATTTGATTCAATAGTTTTTCCGGGTTATTGTAGATGTAGATTAAGGCATGTTCCTTTAAATTTGGGTTACTGTAGAGCTCAAACGGAATCTACTCCTTGCACTATTTCAAATTTGAATTTTTGGCGCCGAAATCTTAGGTTTTGAAGTTTTCTAGGTTACAGTACTGTAAAAAACCATAAAGTTTTGAATTTCAAAATTTTGGCACCAAAATTGTCCAAGACTACTGTATTGTGCCCCTTTAAATTTATTACTCTCTCACTATTTTTTTTCACCGAAAAATCTTAAGGTCAACGCATAAATCTTCTTGGGTGGTCTTTTCTTTTTCAAAAGTTTTTTTTTTCGAATTCAAATTTTTTTGGTGAATGCCGTAAAAAATCTGGACAACGGCTGGTTGTAAAAATGTAAATATTTTGAGGAATCGAGACATCTGGCGAACGCCTCTTCCCTCTTTTTTCTCTCACACAAAAACTTTTTTTTTCTGACAAATTACTTTTTGTGTAGTTCTTTTGGATGATACGTGGCACCTTTTTTTTTGATCTACCAAAAATTTGGACTTTTTTCTCTGCGTCTCTCTCTCATTTTTCAATGCTCTCTCGTTTTTTCGGATTTTGTGGAAAAAAAATCCCGGAAAATTTAGGTTTCAAAATTTTCTAGAATACAAGTCAAAAAAAATGCAAAAATAACAAAAGGCACTCCTCTTTTTCCTCCTCTCCACCTTTTTTTTTAGGACCACTTGACCCGACCGGAACCTGACTAAAAACAGACCAAAAAAAGAGGGTTGCGTGATTGAGTACTGACACTTTTTTGTTATTAAGACTAATATTAGTGGTCCCTTTTTTGTATCGTTTTTGGTCATTTTTCTCTATTTGTATTGGTTTTGAACTCAAAAATCCAATTTTTCCCGAGAATTTTTGATTTTTTGCACTTTTTTCAACAAAAAAATGAGAAATCCATTTGAAAAAGTGCAAGGTCTGCTCGTTTTACACAAAAAATGTATGACCTAAGACTAACCTGAGCAATAACATTTTTTTTTGTTACAACGTGGAAGTTTTTTGGAACTTTTTTTGATCTACCAATTTTTCTGAAGGTAATGTAGTGTAATTTTTGATCTACTTTTTTTGGCGGGATCTTTTGGTCTACAAAAATTCCAGAGCCCAAAAAAATGAATTTTTCTCTGCGTCTCTCATTTCCTCACACTCTCTCACCCATTATTATTATTATGATTTTTCTATTATTATAATATTAATAATGTGTGTGTTTTTTTCGACCACCCGAAAAAAGTGAGCCCCCCCAAAAAAAAATATTTTTTTTTTGATCGAGCCGACTTGTTTCCTTTTGTGACATTTATACAACACAAAAATGTATTTATTTATTTATGCATTTGACATTTTTGGGCCCTCGCTCAAAAAATGGCACGAAAATATTTGAAAGCTGGTTTTTTGCCACCGTTTTTGGGTCTCGAAACGCTCAGATATCTAACTGTAGGGTTTTAACGGCGGGAGATGGAATTTTTGAATTTTTCTAGGTCCCGAAACGCTCAGATATCTTACTGTAGGTTTTTTTGACGGCGGGAAATTGAATTTTTTTTAGGTTCCGAAACGCTCAGATATCTTACTGTAGGTTTTTGACGGCGGGAAATTGAATTTTTGAAACTTTTAGGTCCCGAAACGCTCAGATATCTTACTGTAGGTTGAACTCACTGTACATCTACAGTAAACTAGGGGGCCACATTTTAGTGATCTACAAAATTCAGTTGACAGCTTAGCTCATACATATTGCACCTAAAAAATCTGTCAGCCATCAATTGTTTTTTTTGACGAACCCAATAAAAATTCTCCCATTTTTTCCACCCGATGACTTAGACTAACTCATTAAACATTCACAAAGCAATTATGCTAATCGCTTTTTTTTCGCTGAATGAAAAGCTTCATTTTTTCTAATTCTCTGTGTAGTTAAGTATGAATAATTGCTGAAAATTGGGAAAAATCTGGAATTTTTTGCATGAAATTTTCAGTTCTGAGTTACTGTAGACGCCTAGCTTACTGTAGATCAATTTTCGTGTGAAAATCTAGTAACCCTTCAGAAACAACTCGAATATATTATAAATACCAATTAATTCAGAATTTTCTCTGGGTTACTGTAGCTGATTTTTGGCTCTACATTTTTGATCTACAGTTTTTGAGGACCCCATTTTGTTGGGTCTCGATACTCTCAGGAATCTTACGGTAGATTTTTTGGTGCTAAAATCTACAGTACTCATTCTACAGTACACCTCCTTTCCTCTTCTCAAATTTCTTGTGCGTTTTCGCCTTCCCCAAGTTATCCTAACTCATATATTAATTCCTGACATCTGCTGCCAGTTGGGTTATTATTACTTACTTACTTACCTTCATTTTTTTCTCTTCTCATTTTTTTTTTTGAGTGTGGTTATTCAACCGGAAAATGCACCCATTTTTGATGAAGAAAATGTGACTTTTCCAGTTTTTTTTGCGCTGCGAAAAATGGAATTTTTTTGAAGTTTTTCTGGAATTCTAGGCTTTTCAACTATAAAAAATCAGAATTTTCGCACAAAATTCTCTTCAGAAATTATTATTCGTGAAGAAAAAAGCGACACCTGACTCTTCTTATTCCAAGGCTCTTCTCCTCTTCTATTTTCTGAACACATCAAGATTAGCATATTTGCATTTTGCATTATTATTATTATTATTTGTATTTTATTAGTATTACTTATTCCTCACGAAATTTTGGAGCCCAGATGTTTTTTTTTCCGTGAACTCTGAGATAAGCTTTTGTTTGGGGAGGGCTCTTGAGAATTTAAAATTGCGGGAAATATGGAAAATTTATCAGTGGAGCGCGCTTACTCCTAATAGGGCTGATTCACGAACGAAAAAAATGTTTAAAAATGTTTTTTTAACATTGAAAGATCAATTCACGAAAAGTCAAAAAATGTCGAAAAAACATTGTAGGTCAAAATTAGTTTTTCGAGTTTTTCAGCAAAAAATGATGACAAATCGAGATTTTTCAAGCTTCTGGAGTAATTTCTGATGAAAATAAGCTTTGAGAACCCTATTTTGCTTTATTTTATGAATTTTTTCGAAATTCATCAAAATTTAAAATTTTTTATTTTACGAAAAATCAGCAAAACCTTCTGGAAAGTGAATTCCAAGGTCAATTTTCATCAGAAATTACTCCAGAAGCTTGAAAAATATCGATTTGTCATCATTTTTGGCTGAAAAACTCGAAAAACTAATTTTGACCTACAATGTTTTTTCGACATTTTTTGACATTTTCGTGAATCGATCTTTCAATGTTAAAAAAACATTTTTAAACATTTTTTTCGTTCGTGAATCAGGCCTTAAATTTTCCGCCAATTTTCTCGTCAAAAAATGAATTCATATTTCAAAAATGCACATTTCCTGTGCTCATTTTCAAAATGCATTTTCACATTTCCTCCTCGAGAACTACACAAATCCTTTTTTCCCCAATTTTTTTTTGATGTATACACAATATATTGGATTAACACCTTGTCGGAACCATATTTGAGTCATTTACACCTTGTGAATTCCCAAAAATTATTTTTTTTCGGTGTTTTCACACCTTTTTTGTAAATAGAGTTAGGCTAATTAATAAAAGGTTTTACTTATTAATTAATTAAAACAATCTTTCTCGCCCAGAAAAAGTCAAGGTCGAAAATTATAAGTTATAATAATTCTACATAGCTGACCTTTTTGTGTAGTTCTTTTGGAAGAAAGCTGACCCCCCCCCTTCGAAAAAAAATAGACCCCCCCCCTGTTTTGGGGGGGGGGGGTCCCTATTTTTTTAGCAGACAGGGGGCACTTGAAAACTGTATAAGATACTTGGATATTATTAGGTAACACTTCTTAAGTGGATTTTATAGCAGCACAGCTAGTATTTGTGGACCTTTTTTTCCTTTTTTTGCGCAAAAACACCGCTCTCAAGTGTTTTTTGGTGCGAAAATGTGGGATTATTGTTAGTATTGGCACCTAAAACCTGCAAAATCTAGAATTTGAGCGATTTTTCGCTCGAAAAATTTGAATTTTCATTTTCCCGGAAATTTTACGTTTCACAATTTTTGGGGTCTTTTGAAGTTTCGTTAAGTTCTTGCCTCTCTAATTTCAAAAATCGTCAAAAAAATCCACAGACTATTGCAGTGAAAATTTAAAAAATCTAGCCTATCCTCAAATTTCCCGCCAAAAATCCACGTTTCCCACCAAAAAAAAAAACAAAAACACATTTTCAAACGCAAACCCGACCGCGCTTCTCGGTCGCCGCGAGACCCGCACACATTTCGCCGTGCGCCTTGAAAACGAAAACTGTAGAAAATTATTTTTTTTCCCGCTTTTTCACCTGCTCTTTGCCCCGGCGGAACCGCCAGTCCCGCCAAAGAAGAAAATTGGTGTTAATTCGCCCTATTGTTTAGGGTGTACACCCAAATTGGTGTGATAACATCTCTTGTTTTATACATAAACCCATTCAACCAGACTTAAAACACATGTCCTTTTCTCTTTCTCTCGCTAGATACTTTCCCACCACAAATACACCCTTCTAAACTCCGCCCCTTTATTTTTCATCCACCACCACCTGACCACACCCTTTTTATTATCTTTTTTCTCGTTGGGTTTTGGGTGGCTGCTGTGGTTTTATTATTAAATTTCACCTGTTCTCTCTCTCTCTCTCGCTGATAAATTTTTGGATTTAAATTTAATTTCAGGTTTGCTGCTCTAACCACTTATTATTTCTCATTTTACTTTCTAATTTTACTTTACTTCTTCTCAAAAATTTATTGATTTTTCAGAATCACATATGAAATAAGAGCATTCCGGAGGCATATGAAATATGCGAAACAATTTATCACCTCTACTAATTCTATTCCTATTTCTGATTTTTCAACGCGGCATCTCGAGAGCCGAGGAAAATTGTCCGGAAAGGTTGGTTTTCTGGCGGGAAATTTGAATTTTATCAATTTCGCGCCGAAAGTATTGATGGAAATTTGAATATCAAGGTTTCGCGCCGAAAAATCAACTTGGTTTTTGGCGCGAAAATTTGAAAATTACAAATTTAAAATTTCCCGCCAACAAATTTCGGCGCTAATTTCAAATATTCAAAAAATCCATGTTTTTGGCGCGAAAACTTTAAAATATGAAAATTTACACTGCACCGCCCATATTTTTTGCGGAAACTTTGAAAAATCAAATTTCCCGCCAACTATTTTTGGCGCTAATTTCAAATATTCAAAAAATCTTCCGTGCCGCCCATGTTTTTAGCGCGAAATTCCAAAGTTTTCTTCCAGCTGCAAATGTCAACCGGACGCCAATCAACCAACTCATCTTCAAGTAACCTGTAACCTCCTCGTCTCAAGTTCACCTAAAATCCACCGCATCTCCCAACAAATCCGATCGCTCATATTAACATGCGCAGACGACACAAAAATCCGGTTAGCTGCCGATTTTCTCGATGGATGTACGAGTTTGAACAATTTGAGAATTGAGGTGAGTTGGAAATTCGGAAAAAAAATTGGGAAATTTTTGCCCACCCTGTATAATCCCCGGGGTTAATCCCGAAATAATCGTCTTCGTTTCTCGTTTTCACTCTCCCCCGCTCAGAGAACTAAGAAAATATATATTATAAGGTCAAAACAAAAGGGAGACGTCTAACACCCGTCTCCCTTTCTATTATATCTTTTTCCCCTTCTTCCTCTTGTCTTTAATTAGCCGAGTTGCGTAATCGAAACAAGTCGTATAATAGCGAGAGACGAGCGAACACCATGTTTTCTTCTTATTCACCATATATTTTTTGCCAACAATGATTTATGACCGGAACAGGGGTGAAAACGAAAAAAAAAGTGAAAATATTTGTGAGGGACGAGTCGGCGCCTAGGCCATGTGTGCAATTCGCGCTCCATCGAACACACGGAATTTATTTTTATTTTTTCGCGTTTTTTCGGGAAAACTTTGGTTTTTCGAGGTTTTTGGTGAAATTGGATAGTGGAAATGGGGAAAATGAGTGATTCAGTTGAAAATTTACAAAATTTTCCACTTTTTACCCGGAAAATTCCTCAAAGATTCGCCAAAAATTCAAATAATTCATTTCATAATAAATTGATGATGGTTTTTCCGGTGATGTGCCCCATCTGCCTTCTTGTTACTACAAAACACTTGAAGAACAATATACCACTAATCTCCTTTTCTTTTTTCAACTCAACAACACAAATTGACACTCCTCTCCTCTTTTCCTACTTGAAACAACACATGTCAAAAATTTATTGGATTAGTCGAAAAAAATTGGTTTTTTCAAACAAAAAAACAAGGAAAATTGGAGAAAAGGCGATTTCACGCTGTTGAAAACGGGATTTAAAAAAAACATTTTTTAATGTAGAAGCAAATGCACTCTATTGAGAACTTGGAAATTTCATGAAAAATTTAAATTTTTAGTTTTTTTTTGTGAAAAAGGAATCTAAGTGCGCCTTATTGCTAAACAAGAAAATTATTTTTTTTTTCTCTAAAAACAAGTGCGAACCTGGAAATTGAGAACCTGGAAATTTTTATAAGAAATTCGAAAATTAATTTTTCTTTCTTTTAAAAACAAATGCGCTCTATTGAGAACCAAGTATTCCCCTGAAAATTGCAAAAAATAACATTTTTCTTTAAAACCAGCAAATGCGCGCCATTAACAATCTTCAATTTTCGAAGAAAATTCAAATTCTCAATTTTTTAAATAAAACCAGCAAACGCGCGCCACTGACAATCTTCAATTTTCGAAGAAAATTCAAATTTTCAATTTTTATAAAAACAGCAAATGCGCGCCATTGACAATCTTCAATTTTCGAATAAAATTCAAATTTTCAATTTTTATAAAAACAGCAAATGCGCGCCACTGACAATCCCCCGTTTCCCAAGAAAATTCAAATTTCTACTTTTTTTCCTCTAAAAAAAGCAAATGTGCTCTACTGAGAATCCCCCGTTTCCGAAGAAAATTCAAATTCTCAATGTTTAAAATAAAAACAGCAAATGTGCTCCACTGAGAATCCACCATATCCCTACAAAATTCAAATTCTCATTGTTTTTTTTTTCTGCAGGCCTGCCTTCTTCCCGAAAAACTGTTCGACAACGATTCGGCAGCCAATCTGCGAAGCCTAGAAATCAAAAATGGTCGACATCTGGAGCTCACCGAAAATCTCCTGCAACCTCTAACTCGACTAGAAAAATTGCACGTTGTGGAGTCGAAAAATGTGCCGGAGATTACGGAAAAATTACTGTGCGCATTGCCAAATCTACAGGTATGTGGGGTCCTTTAAAAACATTTGGGGGGTGGGGGGGTGAAAATTGATCTCTCCTTTAAATTTTGTGCCGCCGGCAGGCAGATGGCCATGGCTTAGAAGGCTTCAGCAATTTTGAATAGACATACACTACTCTGTCATAATTATTATTATTATTGCTTCTTATTGTTATCGTTATGTATTAGTTTGGGGGAAAAAGAAAGAGGAATGAGGGTTTTTGTGGCCTAGAAATCCAAAAATGTCATGTCGAAAAAAAAACTAAAAAAAAACGTTTTTTCAGCCAAAAATGATGAAAAATCAATATTTTTGAAGCTTCTGGAATAATTTCTGCTTAAAATGGACCTTGGAATTCACTTTCCAGAAGGTTTTGCTGATTTTTCGGAAAATAAAAAATTTTAAATTTTGATGAATTTCGAAAAAAATCATAAAATAAAGCAAAATAGGGTTCTCGAAGCTCATTTTCATCAGAAATCACTCCAGAAGCTTAAAAAATATCGATTTGTCATCATTTTTGACTGAAAAACTCGAACAACTAATTTTGACCTACAATGTTTTTTCGACATTTTTTGACTTTTCGTGAATTGATCTTTCGATGTTAAAAAAACATTTTTCAACATTTTTTTCGTTCGTGCATCAGCCCTTATGAAAAAAATGTCTAAAAATAGGAAAAATATAGTTTTTTGACATTTGCAGAATCGAATTTTTTTGTAAAAAACATTTTTTTTAAAGTTTTTTTTTCGACATGAATCACCCCATCGGATATTTTTGACCCGCAATAAATTTAGCATATGAATAGGATTGAAAATAGATAGATACACCAGTCAAAACAACAAACAATTATATTGTTATTCATAATTTTTCACCTTGACAGAGAGAAAAAACCGCGGCGGCCGTGGCTAATTAGCTAAATGATCCATGAAGCCTAGGGATCCTTTTGAGCTCCCCTAATTAGTCGAAAAATTAATGAGCTTGGATGGAAATTTTTGATTTGTAAATAAAAACTTTGTGATGATTTTCGACCCAAAAAACACTCCTGGAGCTCATTAATTACCCCTAATATCATTTTTCAGGTGTTGAATTTGTCGACCAACACAATGCCGACATTGAGCCGCGCGGAATCGTGTATTGCGCAACAATTGCTCATTGTAGATCTGTCGAGAAATGAGTTGCGCGATGTTCGGTGAGTTGTAGGGCTGGCACGGAAAAATGGTGGATTTTGAGCCGTGAAAACGTGAAATTTGAACAAAATTAGGCCCCGCCCACTTTCTGCAAGTCTGGCACGGTTTTTTAAAAATCAAATGCTTAGAAATTTGAACAAAATTAGGCTCCGCCCACTTTCTGCAAGTCTGGCACGGTTTTTTCGGGGATTTTTGAACAAAATTAGGCTCCGCCCACTTTTCTGCAACCCTGGCACGGTTTTTCGGGGATTTTTGAACAAAATTAGGCTCCGCCCACTTTTCTGCAACCCTGGCACAGTTTTTCGGGGATTTTCGATCAAATAAGACTCCACCCACTTTTCTGCAACCCTAGCACGGTTTTTCGGGGGGTTTTTGAACAAATTAGGCTCCGCCCACTTTTCTGCAACCCTGGCACGGTTTTTAAAAAATCAAATACTTAGAAATTTGAACAAAATTAGGCTCCACCCACTTTTCTGCAACCCTGGCACGGTTTTTGAATAAGCAAAAGCTTAGAAATTTGAACAAATTAGACTCCACCCACTTTCTGCAAGTCTGGCACGGTTTTCGGGGATTTTCGAACAAATTAGACTCCGCCCACTTATCTGCAAGCCTGGCACACTTTTGTTCCCGTTCAATTTTCGAATTTTTCCAGAAATTTCCTTGGCGGCGCTCCAAATATTCGACAACTATCGATTTCCCAAAATTTTTTGCAAAAAATTGACGATTTATCCACTCTCACACCACTTTTACAACAAATCGACGCGGAATCCAACGAGATTGCGGATTTTTCCGCGTCGTCCGCACTTCCGCCCACTCTTGTCCACATCAACTTGGCGCAAAATCGCCTGCTCCAAATTCCTGAAGTGATTTTGTCGCTGCCCGATTTGGTGGCGTTGAATTTGTCGGGAAATGCGGTGAGCGGAGAGAATGCGACGAGATTTGGTAAGGGATTTTTTTGACCCAAAACTCATAGAAAATCTGAAATTTTTCAGCATCTAATGATATTGAAATGTTTGACATTTCGAAAAATCGTCTCAAAAATTTGCCCGAAGAATGGCTGGCCGGCAGCCAAAAATCGCTGGTCAACCTGAAATTGGACGCGAATTTGATTGAGAAATTTGAACCCGGGATAAGCTTTGAGAATTTTACCAATTTGCAAATCGTAAGTGATTTTTTGGGCGGAAAATTGGAAATTTTTGGATTTTTCTGAAAAATGTTTAATTTTTGTAGTTTTAAGGCTTGAAAATCTGAAAATTCAACAAAAATACAGGATTTTAGGCCTGAAAATCTGCATTTTCAATGCAAAATGAAATAAAATTTTCAGATTTTTCGAAAAATTCAAAAACTATTTAGCGTATCTCGAAATTTTCCCAATTTTCTCGCGCACCTGTTACTTTCTGTCTAATTACCCCCCTTCAATTTCATCTTATTCTATTCTAATATCTATTGACACCTTTTAGAAAAAAAGGTATATAATTAATAGATACAGTAGAGTATAATAGAAAATTGAGGAGTATTATAATAATACAGTACTGTCACTCTCGAGAATTAGAATAAGTATAGGTAAATATTTGAGAAGAAGAAAATCGAGGAAATAATTATAGGTTTTGCCTGCCACCCAAAAAAGTGTGAAGATTTTTTTGAGATAAATGATTTTTCATAATTTAGGGGTAGTTTTTGACCTGTAGATTTGAAAAATTTGAGAAATTTTGACTTAAAATCATGAAAATCTTGCATTTTTGGACATGAAACTGAATTTTTGAGCTCAAAATCGATTTTTTAGGCTCAAAAATTCGGAAAATCGAATCCGGAGCTCAAAATTGAGCCTGGAAAGCCTCTAAAAATCTCAAAACAAAAATTTTTCAGCTCGATCTATCCTCCAACCTTCTGGAAACCCTTCCCGCTTCACTATTCTCCTCAAAAAATCAAAAACTATCACAAATCCTGCTCGCCAACAACTCATTGACTCAAATCGAGCCCGAAAGCCTTTCAGGCCTCAAATTGGACCTATTGGATTTGTCGGAAAATCGGCTCGAAGATATTCCCGTGGAGTTGGCGCAAGTCGACGCGTTGAAACGTGTCGATTTGCGACGAAATCGCATCAATAAATTGGCGCAAAATGTGTTGAATCGCGTGAAATTGTTGCATTATGTGGATTTGTCGGAGAATTTGTTGCAAAGTGTGAGTTTTTTTTTTTGAAGGCGGGGCACCGAAAATTTCAAATTCAAAATTTTACTCTCTATTTTGAAGGCTCAAAAAAGAGTTGAGTTGGAAGTTTCGAATTCCACGTGGCAAAAATGATTTTGAAAAATTTTCAAATGTTGAAAATTGGCGCCTGATATTCCACGTAGCTAAATTCCCGCCAAAAATTATTTTTCCACGTTTTTTCCACTAAAAAATCCACGTGGCAAAATTCAATTTTGAAAAATTTTCAAATTTTTAAACTTGGCGCCTGAAAATCCACGTGGTCTAGAATTTTAGCGCGAAATTTGAAATTTTGTAAATTGGCACCTGATATTCCACGTATCTAAATTCCCGCCAAAAATTATTTTTCCACGATTTTTCCACTAAAAAATCCACGTGGCAAAAATCAATTTTTGGAAAATTTTCAAATTTTTAAACTTGGCGCCTGAAAATCCACGTGGTCTAGAATTTTAGCGCGAAATTCGAAATTTTGAAATTTGGCGCCTGTTATTCCACGTGACTAAATTCCCGCTAAAAATTCAGTTTTCAAAATTTTTGCATCAATCAATAAATCCACGTGACAAAATGAATTTGAAATTTTGAAAATTGGCGCCTGTTATTCCACGTAGCTAAATTCCCGCCAAAATATATTTTTTCACGATTTTTCCACTAAAAAATCCACGTGGCAAAAATCAATTTTGAAAAATTTTCAAATTTTTAAACTTGGCGCCTGATATTCCACGTAGCTAAATTCCCGCCAAAAATTATTTTTCCACGATTTTTCCACTAAAAAATCCACGTGGCAAAAATGAATTTTGAAAATTTTTAGAATTTTCAAATTTGGCGCCTGAAAATCCACGTGGTCTAGAATTTTAGCGCGAAATTTGAAATTTTGTAAATTGGCACCTGATATTCCACGTAGCCGAATTCCCGCCAAAAATTATTTATTCAAGATTTTTGCATCAACAAAAATCCACGTGGCAAAAATGAATTTAGAATTTTGTAAATTCGCACCTGATAATATTCCACGTAGCTAAATTCCCGCTAAAAATTCAGTTTTCAAAATTTTTGCACTAAAAATCCACGTGGCAAAAATCAATTTTGAAAAATTTTCGAATTTTAAACTAGAATTTTAGCTCCAAATTTTTCCCAATTAAAAAAAAATTCAAATTTTTGTTTTGCAGATCGGTCCCCTCGTCTTCACAAATTCACCCGATTTGCACACTTTGGACCTGTCGAAAAACGAAATTTCGCTACTTTTCAAAGACGCTTTTGCAAAATGCCCGAAATTGCGGAAAATTGTGCTGAAAAATAATCGAATTCGTGAGTTTTTTGGGGATTTTTGCTCAATTTTTAGCTAGAAAACTTGATTTTCCATCGATTTTGAGCAAATTCGCTCTTTCAGAATCCATCGATGAAGGACTTCTCGAAGCGAATTCGCTGAAAAAGTTGGATTTGTCTGAAAATCGCCTCGTTGTTCTGAAATGGTCGGCTCTTCCCGATAATTTGGAGCATCTTCAGGCGGATAAAAATTCAATCAATTTGTTGACGGCTGCTGGAAGAATGAGGTAAATATTTTGGGATTTTCAGAGCCCAAAAAAAAATCTGCAATTTTTTCCAGCCTAAAATCGATTTCCCTCACCGACAATCAAATTTCGCTACTTTCTGGCGAACAAATTCCAAATTCGGTCGAAAATTTGGATTTCTCACGAAACCGCATAAATCACCTCACAAAATCCACGTTTTCACAAAAATTACAATTGAGAAAAGTGAATTTGGCCGAAAATTTGATCGAAATTCTCGACGGAGAAGCGATTAAAATCAATGGAAATGTTCATCCGATTCGAATGAATTTGTTGGGAAATCCGCTGCATTGCTCATGTCAAATGATGTGGATTTTGGAAAATGAGGAATTGAGGGGAAAGGTGAGAGCGATTTTGGGGTATTTTGAGAAATTTGAGAAATTTTGAGCCAGGAATTGGTGAAATTTGACGAATTTTAGTAGAGAAATTCGGATTTTCGTGAATTTTTTATCTAGAAAATTAAAAATCGATGGTTTTCTATAGAAAATATGAAAAAATCGCAAATTTTTGACCTCTGAAACTCCAAATTTTCCAGAACCCGGCCAAAGTTTTGCTCGAAAATCGTGCCAACACAACATGTCGCCACGTCATCCACAAATCCCAAATTAGCCTAACTTCGATCCAAAAAGACGATTTGCTATGCGAATATCAACAAATCTGCGAACCCGACTGTATTTGTTGTCAATACGAAAATTGCGATTGCAAATCAGTTTGTCCAAATCAATGCGAATGTTTTCGAGACAATGAATTTCGCCAGAATATTGTGAGATGCGAGAAGAAGAAATCTGGAAATTCCAGCAGCTCTTCTTCTGCAGCAAATTCGAGTGGCTCCAGAGAATTTGTCGTATCGATTTTACCAGTTTTCGCAACGGATATCACACTAACCAATCTCGATTTACCGCAACTTCGGCGAAATTCCTTCTTCGGACGAACTCGCCTTCAAACTTTGCGAATTAATGGAACAGGCCTGAGATCTATTCAGGCTAAAGCCTTCAAAAGCCTGCCAGGCCTGAAAACGTTGGATTTGTCGAATAATTTGCTGTTGGAATTGAATGGAGATGAATTTGAGCATTTGAATGAGGTACAACAGGTTTTTCTGAATGGAAATCGATTGAGACAATTGAGTCGGAAAGTTGTGGAAAGATTTCCGAAGTTACGGTTTTTAACACTGCACAATAATTCGTTCGAAGATATTCCGGCGGCTTTAAGCGGAACAGTAAGCGGAACTTTGAGCGGAATCTCGTTGTCTGGAAATCCGTTGAGATGTGATTGCTCGGCTGCAAATGGAGCTGGACATCATCAGCAAATTGTGAGTTTTTTGAAAATTTTGAAAGAACCAATTTTTACTTTGCTGAAAAATCTGAAAATTTGGCTGAAAAATCTCAGAATTTCAATTTTCAGATTTTCCTGAAATTGAATTTTTTTTTTAGAAAATTCAAAAAAAAAATTTTCATTTTGATATTTCTCAAAAATCTGAAATTTTTGTTGAAAAATCCTAGAAAAATCCTAGAAAAGCTGCAAAATTGCAAAAATATCTAAAATTGCTGAAAATTTTGAAAAATTGATCTAAAATTCACCAATTTTTGGTTTGAAATTGCTGAAAAATCTGAAAATTTCAATTTTTCAGCTCAAAATAGTTCTAGAAATCCTCAATTTTCAGATTTTCCTGAAATTGAATTTTTTTTTGAAAATTCAAAATTTTCAGATTTTGATAATTCTGAAATTTTTGTTGAAAAATCCTAGAAAAGCTGCAAAATTGCAAAAATGAATTTTACTTATCACGGTCTGAAATTGCTGAAAAATCTGAAAAATTGTCTAAAAAATCTCAGAATCTCAATTTTTCAGCTCTAAATAGTTTTAGAAATCCTCAATTTTCAGATTTTCCTGAAATTGAAATTTTTTAGAAAATTCAAAATTTTCATATTTTGATATTTCTCAAAAATCTGAAATTTTTGTTCCAAAAATCCTAGAAAAGCTGCAAAATTTGCAAAAATTTTTTTTTTTTACTTATCCCGGTCTGAAATTGCTGAAAATTTTGAAAATTTGACAAAATCTATCATATTTGGTCTCTAATTAACCAGAAAACCTTGAAGATCCCCAAAAATTGCCCCAAATTTCTTTTTCAGAATCGCTACGGTCCTCCAATCATCGAACACAATGCAGCTGAATGGATGTCGATGTCACGACATCTGGTTGTTGATGCTGCCAAAGTTGAATGCGTTGAAAATGTCACGAAAGCATTTATGACTAACGATACTACGATTCTATCGGGATATCCTCCCAATTTCAACCATGATATATTTGTAATGCCAATTGATGGTAAGAGAATTTTTTGGGGAAAAAATCTGGATGAAAATTGAGCTGAAAAAATTTTCAGCTTGGAATAAATCTGAAAATTTTGACTGCAAAAGAATTGCAATTTTCTCTTGAATTTTTAGCTCAAAATAATTCTAGAAATCCCAGATTTTCAAATTTTCTTCAAATTGAAAATTTTTTAGAAAATTCTAGATTTTTCAACTTGAAATAAGTCTGAAAAAATCTGTAATTTTCCTGTGAAAAAGCTCAGAATTTCAAGTTTTCAGCTCAAAATAATTCTAAAAATCCCAAATTTTCAAATTTTCTTCAAATTGAAAATTTTTTAGAAAATTCTAGATTTTTCAACTTGAAATAAGTCTGAAAAAATCTGAAATTTTCTAGAATCTTGAATTTTTCAGCTCAAAATAATTCTAGAAATCCCAGATTTTCAAATTTTCTTCAAATTGAACATTCTTTAGAGAATTCAAGAAAAATATGAAATTTTTGTTGAAAAATCCTAGAAAAACTGCGATTTTCAAAAATTTTTTGGAAATTCCAGATTTTCAGATAGGTCTGAAAAATCCTGTGAAAAAGATCAGAATTTCAAGTTTTCTAGAATCTTGAATTTTTCAGCTCAAAATAATTCAAGAAATCCTAAATTTTCAGATTTTCCTGAAATTAAACATTTTTGTTGAAATATCCTTAAAAAACTGCAATTTTCCTGTGAAAAATCATTAAAACCCGGAAATTCCAGATTTTCAGCTCAAAAATCCCTCTATTTTTCCAGAATTCCTTCGCGAATACAACGTCTCGATCTGTGTCCCATATTCTTCTGGATTCTTCGGACAAGATCCACAAAATTCCATAATCTTCATCGCTTTAGCTGTAGCTCTATCGATTTTGATGTGTCTAGCCGTAATTCTAGCCATCTCATTCATCCGAAAATCTCACGATGCTATAAATCAACGACGATACAAAGCAACATCTTCATTGAATTGTTCAACATCAGCCGGTTCGAGTCCGCTTCCGATTCCTCTCCTTAGCTATCATGCATTTGTGTCTTATTCGAAAAAAGATGAGAAAATGGTATTTGATCAATTGTGTCGGCCATTGGAAGATGATGATTATCAATTGTGTTTGTTGCATCGAGATGGACCGAGTTGGAATTCGAATTTGCACGCGATTTCTGATGAATTGATTGCGCAAATGGAAAGTGCACAATGTTTGATTCTTGTGTTGACTAGGAATTTTTTGGAAAATGAATGGAAGACGTTGCAGATTAAGGTGAGGGTTTTGAAAAATTCGCGATTTTCGACTAACTTCTAAAGAAAATCCAACATTTTCATACAAAATTTGATAAAAATCAGCCTGGACAGGGATTTTTGAGCTGAAACCCCACATTTTTCATGAAAAATGGAGAATTTTGACGACTCAAACTGAAAATTTAATATTTTTCATTTGTTCGAAAATCCACAGAAGCTTGAAATTTGAATTTTCCACCGAAATCTACGCAAAATTGAAGCGGAAATTTGAAAATTTCGCGATTTTCGGCTAACTTCTAACGAAAATGCAACATTTTCATATAAAATTTTATAAAAATCAGCCTGGACAAGGATTTTTGAGCTGAAAATCCTAAATTTTTGTTTAAGATGTTTTGTGCTGGAAATATGATTTAGGCTAACTTCTGAAGAAAATCCAATTTGATGAAAAATCAACCTTTGAAGTGATTTTTAAGCTGAAACCCCACATTTTTTTGTATTTATCATGAAAAATGGAAATTTCAAGCTATTTCTCTACTCAAACTGTGAAAATTTACCATTTTTCATTTGATCAAAAATCCCCAGAAGCTTGAAATTTGATTTTTACACCAGAATCTACGTAAAAATGCACGAATTTTCGAAAATCGAAGCGGAAATTTGAAAAATTCACGAATTTCGGCCACACTTCTGAAAAAAATCCAACATTTCCATACAAAATTTAATAAAAATCAACCTGGACAGGGATTTTTGAGCTGAAAATCCTACATTTTTGTTTAAGATGTTTTGTGCTGGGAATTTGAAAATGTTGCAATTTTCTGACTGGAAATATGATTTAGGCTAACTTCTGAAAAATCCATATTTGATGAAAAATCAACCTTGGATGTGATTTTTAAGCTGAAACCCCGAATTTTTCATAAAAAACCGAAATTTTAAGCCATTTCTCTGAAAATTTCATGAAAAATGGAACGACTGTGAAAATTCACCATTTTTCATTTGTTCAAAAATCCTCAGAAGCTTGAAATTTGAATTTTCCACCGAAATCCACGTAAAAATGCACGAATTTTCGAAAATTCTGCATTTTTGCGTCAATTTTGGTGTCTCCCCAGTTTTACAGTGGATTTCACGCAAAATTGCGGAAATTTTCCAAAAAACTTTTTCAAAAAAATGAAATTCACTATTTTCAAGAAGAATCTTTTATGGAAAAATTCCAAAATTTTTTGGCTAATTTTCATTAAGATTCCAATTTTCAAATCTAACTCTAATTTTTTTGAACTTTTTTTTCACCCAAACCACAATTTTTCCAGACCTCCCATCAATTATTCTCAAAAAATCGCCAAAAACGTGTGATCGCCGTGTTGGCTGATGACGTGGATGCGAATTTGTTGGACGAAGAATTGGGACAAATTCTCAGAAAACACACTCGAATCGATATGAAATCGCATCTGTTTTGGACTCTACTACACTCTAGTCTACCCAATCGACTTCCCCTAAATCACCATCATCATAGTTCGAAGAATTCCGATGATTCGGGTAGTCAGGTCTATTCGGATATTTATGGAATTGTACCGTCGGATGTTGTTTAGGGCCTTAAGCTTAAGGCCTAAGATCTTGCCTTAACCTAAGCCTCAATTTTTTTCTCTAAGTTTTTAATTACGAGTAACTTTTTTTGGACGTGGAACCTTTTTTTCTTGCGAAATTTTCGGAATTTGGCTCAAAATTCTCAATTTTTCCCCGCAAAAAAAGGTTCCACTTGCCCAAAATTCCCCGCCAAATCAATACGTGTCAATATACTATTTTCCCCCACTGTTTTCTTTGATTTTTCATCTCTAAACCGGTAATTTTTGTGTGTGATTTTCCCAATTTCTCCGCTATTTTTTCGCTCTCTCTCTCTCTATTTTTTTGCCTATATATTGCCTCTCTGGGACCATTGATTTTTTGTTGTTTTTTTTGTACCATTTTTGCAATTCTTCTTTTTTTTTGTATAGTTGTCTATGTAAATTTTTTAATAAAAAAATTTAAAATTTGAAAAAAAAATGTACTCAAAAAATGTTGAGAATAAATATAACAATCAAACAAAAATCAAAATTTCAATTTTTGTTGAAATAACTCGGGCCGATTTTTTTGAAAAATCTCGGCCCGATTTTTTTTGAAAAATCTCGGGCCGATTTTTTTTTGAAAAATCACGGCCCGATTTTTTTGAAAAATCTCGGGCCGATTTTTTTTTTTGAAAAATCTCGGGCCGATTTTTTTGAAAATCTCGTGCCCGATTTTTTTGAAATATCTCGGGCCGATTTTTTTTTGAAAAATCTCGGGCCGATTTTTTTTTGAAAAATCTCGTGCCCGATTTTTTTTTCCAAAAATCTCGGCCCGATTTTTTTTTGAAAAATCTCGGCCCGATTTTTTTTGAAAAATCTCGGCCCGATTTTTTGAAAAATCACGGCCCGATTTTTTTTTGAAAAATCTCGGCCCGATTTTTTTTTGAAAAATCTCGGCCCGATTTTTTTGAAAAATCTCGGCCCGATTTTTTTTTGAAAAATCTCGGCCCGATTTTTTTTTGAAAAATCTCGGCCCGATTTTTTTTGAAAAATCTCGGCCCGATTTTTTTTTGAAAAATCTCGGCCCGATTTTTTTTGAAAAAAATCTCGGGCCGATTTTTTTTTTGAAAAATCTCGGGCCGATTTTTTTTTTGAAAAATCACGGGCCGATTTTTTTTTTGAAAAATCACGGGCCGATTTTTTTTTTTGAAAAATCTCGGGCCGATTTTTTTTTTTGAAAAATCTCGGGCCGATTTTTTTTTGAAAATCTCGGGCCGATTTTTTTTGAAAAATCTCGTGCCAAAAATTCATATTTTTTGAAATGTTTCACAGGAAAAAATAGAAATTTTTATTTCTCGATAAAAATCTTCTTAAAAAAATTTGAAGAAAAAATACCCAAAGGAAAAATTATGCCGAATCATCACAGAAAAACTGGCAAAATTTGCGAAAAAAAACAGGAAAAAAAGAGGTATTATGGCTGGAAAGAGAGAGAAAGTTGAGAGGTGGAGATGGAAATCTGAGGTGGCCTAGGAATGTGATTTTTTGGCGAGTCTGGCCACAACTTCTTCGGTCACCAAAAGTTGATCATCTGGATGGTCACCGTAAGCGGGAAGATTGTCAAGAACCTGCAAAAATTCGAGAATTTTTGTGAATTCAACTTTTTTTTTTTACAAAAAAACCTCAATTTTATCCCAAAATTATCAATTTTCCACCAAATTTTCAAAAATTTCACTCACATTCAACAAATTATCGATTCCAATCAAATATCCATCCTCATTATTTCCGGGAATCCACGGAGTTCGATGTGTTAATTGTTTGCCGTTTGGAACCGGTGAACTTTTGGCGAAATCAATCATCCAACAGCCGACTTTTTTCGTGGTCGAAAACTATCAGAATACTGCTTCCGACAACCTGGAAATTGGGAAAATTGGATTTTTCATGAATTTTTGCGCATTTTGGTATCAAATTTGAAACTTTTCACTGTTTTCTGAACATTTTCCATATAAAATTTGATTTTTTCGATTATTTTCATATGAAATCTGTATTTTTACGTCATTTTCAGTGTTAAATCAATTTTTACACTAAAAATGACGCAAAAATGCAGAAAACTACTGTGTTTTGTGAGAATTAGGAATTGTCTGTATTTTTTCGTATATTCTAGTGTTGGAATCAATATAAACACTGAAAATTACGCAAAAATGCACAAAAACAGGTTTTTCTGCGATTGTGCGTCATTTTCAGTGTCTTAATCAATTTTTACAGCAAAAACGACGAAAACTTGCAGAAACCCCCGATTTTTCATGAAAAACATCAAATTTCCCGCCCAAAACACCTACCTCATGCGTGGCAAAAAACGTGGAAGTCTCAATCGCCTTCCGAATCTCCTTCAGTCTTTCCGCCAACTGTTTTCGCACCCGATTTCTTTGATCACCAAAGAAATCGATGAATGTGGTGGCGACATCCTCGATGGTGCGCACTTTTTTGAAATTCTTCTCCAAAGAACCTTCGAAGCGCTGAAAATTTGAAAAAAACTAATGAGAGGTACTGTAGCGAGTGGCGTTTTTGTGTAAACACCAGCGCACACAGCGGGCATTTTATTTGACGCGCACGTATTTTTTTTAGGGTTTTTTGGAAGTTTAAACGTTTGACAGTAGAAATTAGAGGTTTTTGGGGGTTTTCTTAATGCGAAAAATGTAGAAATAATACAATTACAGAGGAAAATCATGTTTTTGTTGGTTTTTTCGAAATTTTTTTGTTTTTCATAATTATTTGAGGGCGAAATGAAAAAAATAGGGCTATTTTTATGAAATACATATTTTTTATCATTTTTGAGCTGCGAAATCGAGAAATTAATGAAATTTCAGCATGTTTTGCCAAGTTTTCGGCATTTTTGTGTTGTAAAATCGAAAAATGATGCAATTTTTCATGAAAAACGTGATTTTTAGTTTTTTTGAGCCGCGCATTCGAGACTTTAATGAAATTTCAGCGAAAATGCATGTTTCCCGCCAATTTCCCCCCAAATATTCACCTTTGCCGCCTCAATTCGAAATCCCAATTGAGCAGTGCTGCTTTCCCGCTCGCGGAATTGCATATATCTCAATTTGGTGATCGCCTCATTCTTCCGCTCCTCTTCCGTCGGTTCATCCGCATCGATAGCCACCATTTTTTGGTATAGATCTGCACGCTGTTTTGAGTTTGATACTTCGGATTCTAGAAACGTCCGAGTTCCGATTTTGATATCCATGATTGCGGCTTTTGTCGGATCAGCGAATTGTTGAAGGAGATCTTCGATTTCGATAAAGTCTGAAAAGGTTTAGAGCTATTCACGGTGGATTCTAGAGATTCCAGGGTGGTTTTTAGGCTTCCTAGTGTCATTTTTATAGTTGTAAGGTATCTTAGATCGTCTTAAAACTTTAGGTGACCTTAAAAATCTCCTTAAGATTCCTAAGGTCCTTCCCAGTCTTCCCGAAAAACTCACGTTCATCATTCTTCTCCAACTCGTCATAGTACTTCGGTGTCATTCCTTGCAAAGCCGGATCGCGTGCAATATTTTTGTAGGCTCTGCCCTCGCCACAATTGGCGCATTGTTTTTTGTAGAGCGTGTGTGGTGTGGCGGGAACTATGCTGCCTGCAACAAAAAAAACGGCGTCAAGGTGAAGCTCACTGGCGCATTTTATTTTGTCAAGATCAAAAACACGTGGGTCACGTGTAAAATGCGAATTTTTGAAAATTCGAATGAAGTTTTCACGTCATATAGGTCACGTGACTAATTTCACGCACACATTTTCGTATTTTCTCTACGTCTCTTCAAACGCTGTCTCTAGTCGTCTAGCCTCTCATTTTGGTACATTCTCTAGTTGTCTAATCTCTCTCCCTGGTCATCTAGCATTCTTCTACCAAACCCTATCCGTCTCTAACCCCCTCTAGCTTCTCTGCATCTCTCACCTTCATGTCCAGACAACTGAACCCATTTCTTCAATCGCTCCTTCAACCAAACATCCATCGGCAAAGCGGTGATGGCCATCGTTTCGACCGAAACCTGCAACATTTCGTCTTTTTCTATTTTCTCTATTGCATGTGCCCCTCTAAAAAACATGATTCCCCCTGATTTGCGTCACGTTTTTAGGGGCGAATTTTTTTTTGTGTAGCACTCTGATAACGACAGAAAAATCGATCGCTATGTTATACACACACTAAATCGGATTAAAAATCATCTAAAAATTTCGCTATTTTAGTTTTCGTTTCACTTTTTTCGTACAAGCACATGACGGGAAAAATCATGGGGTATGGCGAGTTCAAAAAATCCAAAGTTTACAAGATAAAACAGAAATGTATATGTTTTTTGAGTGTAAATCAAAAATAAATGTATTGATAGAAAATATTTTTGTTTGGTTTTTGATTTTGAAGAGAAAAAGCAACGCGGGCGGGAGATTTAGAGAAACTCTGGGTCTCTAGATGCTCTCTAGCTAGAGATCGCAGACAATTCTAGACAGCTAGACAAATTCCGGCCCCAGACAACCAGAGAACGCTAGAGAGCACAGAACAATCATAGATCTAGACAGCTAGAGAACAAACAATCTTCAAGAGACTCCAGAGAGCTAGAGTAAGCTAGAGAGAATATACAAATCAGAGCCCCAGACAGCTAGAGGCTCTCTAGAATTCACATACATTGGAAGATCCCCAGCTTTGTAGAGGAAGTTAGAGAGCACAGACAGTTTGGAGAGCCCCAGAGAAGTGGAGTAAGCTAAAGAGCATAGACAAAATAGACCACGACAATACAAGGCGCCCGTTGAGTCAGACGCGAGACGACGAGAGTATTTTGCGAAAATATCCCGAAAATGAATTTCGCTTCGAGATATTTTCAATAAAGCATGTGTTCCTTGAAACAAAATACGGTATTTTTTCAAAGGGACACATATTTTCTCAAAAATATCTCGAAGCGATGTCTTTCTCTGTCTTAGATGACGTCATCAGACTCCCGTCGTCTCTCGTCTGACCCGAGGGGCAATTTTCTATTGGAGTAAATGGTCGTGTAACAATCGTTAAGAGACTTCAGAGAGCTAGAGAAAACTAGAGAGAATATATAGTAAGTCAGAGCCCCAGACAGCTAGAGGCTCTCTAGAAGTGACATACATTGGAAGATCTCTAGCTTTGTAGAGGAGATTAGAGAGTACAGTCATGTTGGAGAGCCCCAGAGAAGTGGAGAAAGCTAAAGAGCATAGACATCATACCCCATTAGCACCAAATCCAACCGCATCCAGATCAATCGGACACGTATCATCAACAAAACACGATTGAGTCCGTCTTCCGATTCCCAACCTTCGTCCCAAATCGAAACTCGCTTCATGGTACTTCGAATGCCAGCAGTCCGCCAATTTCGGACGTTTTCGAATCAGCGTAGTGTATCTACTAGAACTATTTGAAGTTTGATGATGATGATCATCGAGTAGAACATCGGACGATTCATCAGGATCATCTAGACTACAAATATCGATCGACGCCATCTTCGACAACATTCCGTGCGATGTTTGGAGGTGATGCAAATGTCGGTGTGGCATTAGGGTTAGGCAGGTAGATAATAACTAATTTTAATGCTATCAGTCTCGAGAACTACTCTTGCTCTTAAGAAGATGGGCGGTACGAGATTAGAGAGCGAGAGACGCAGAGAGAATTAGGACGGGCTAGACAAAAGAAAGTTTGAGCAAAATTACGAAAATGTATATTTTGTGACATGCAAAATTTCTGTTGAAAAAAAAGCTACGACAAATGCGCAAGCAAAGGTACACACTGACGTGTTTCTAGTAGCCACGACCATTTACTCCAATTGCCCCTCGGGTCAGACAAGAGACGACGAGAGTCTGATGACGTCATCTAAGACAGATCGCTTCGAGATATTTTTGAGAAAAAAATGTGTCCCTTTGAAAAAATACCGTATTTTGTATCAAGGAACACAACATGTTTTATTGTAAATATCTCGAAGCGAAATTAATTTTCGGGATATTTTTGCAAAATACTCTCGTCTTCTCGCGTCTGACTCAACGGGCGCCTTGGTCGTGTAGCTCATAAAAATAAGTAGAAAACTGAAGAGACGCAGAGAAGCATCTCACGAGAAGGTCAGAGAATCAGAGAAAAATATAAATAGTAAGGTATAATGAGAGAAACCAGACAACTAGGGAGATAGAGACGAAAAGATCAGAGCTGTTAGAGACGCAGAGAAGAATAGCTCTAGACAACCAGAGTAGATAGTTAGAGACGCAGACAACTTGAGTCGTTAGAGACGGAGGGAATATAAAAGAAATCTAGAGACGCAGAGAAAAAGGCTATAGACAACCAGAGTTGATAGAGATGCAGAGAAAAAACCCAGACAACCAGAGTAGCTAGAGACGCAGAGCAACTAACCTGTACCAATTTTCCAAAAGCATCGCAAAATGCCCTCCGCTCCTGCTCATTCTGCAATTGTTGTTGCAAAATTTCGTTCTGCGATTTTTCCGCTCCCAATTTCGGCGAATTCCGCGGCGACGGATACGGGAAGCAACTGATTATCTGCAAAATTATCGATTTTTGCACTGGTACTATAGAAAACTATAGTCTAGTCTAGTTAGTTTCCCCGGTAGAGAAACTATAGTCTAGGCTTACTTGTGTGCGATGATGTTTGGAAAAATTACGTGTCTGCAAATAGTCGAGTAGTTTTTCGAAAAACATTGGAAATGTTGTCATACTGTAATATAGGGGGTACTGTAGGTAGGTTTTTGGCGCGAAAAAAATTTTTTTCAAAAAGGTAGCTAGCGAAAAGTGTGATAATATAATATCAAACCCGAAAGAGCCATAAAACCGGGTACATTTTTTGGGGGCCTGATTGATAAGAGCACTTTTTGCGGCACAAAAAAGTGGGCGGAGCTTCTTTTATGGGTTTTTTTTGAAAATGAAAATGAAGACAAAGGAAATACGAACATTGTAATTTATTTATAGTCGAGTGTGGAAACAAATTTGATAAGCGAGGAATTTTTGTGTTCGGAAATGATGCGAGGGTTTTGGCGCCAAAAAAATTTTGGCGTTCAAAAAAAAAAAAAAGAGTAGTTCCCATCGGGATTCGAACCAGCACAGAAAATTTGAGAAAATTCATGAAAAACTAGGCCGCCAACATACGGAAATTTCCCACATTTTCAAAAAAAAGTTGTTAGTTCCCACTGGGAATCGAACCAGGACCTTTTGATCAGAACTGAAAATTTTCCGCGAAACATCGAATTTTTAAAATTTTCAATTTTCTCAAATTTTTGCTCGTTCCAAAAACCATGACTCATGTTAAACCCAAAAAACTTGCCAAAAAAAATGACGTGATTTGTCATGTTCTTAACAAAAAATGTGAAAACGTGAACAAACTTGTGTTATCATTGATTGAAATGATATTTATTTGTTTGTTTATTTATTCACGCTCGCGAGTTCTTTCACATGCCCGGAGATGACAGCAAAAAAATGTCACGTCATGAAATTGATAATAGGACGTGAAAATGGCATAGGATGAGGAACACGACCATAGAAGGCGCCCGTTGAGTCAGACGCGAGACGACGAGAGTATTTTGCAAAAATATCCCGAAAATTAATTTCGCTTCGAGATATTTTTAATAAAACCTGTGTTCCTTGAAACAAAATACGGTATTTTTTCAAAGGGACATATATTTTCTCAAAAATATCTCGAAGCGATGTCTTTCTGTCTCAGATGACGTCATCAGACTTTCGTTGTCTCTCGTCTGACCCGAAGGACAATTTTCTATTGGAGTAAATGGTCGTGGGAAGTTGGGAGATATTCAGCAAAAAAAGTTGTTAGTTCCCACTGGGAATCGAACCAGGACTTTTTGATCAGAAAATTTGAGAAAATTGAAAATTTTGCGTGAAAAATTGAAGATGATTTTTAAATTGAAAAAAATGATTTAAAAAAATTTTTTTTTGATTTTTATAATTTGTAGATCAAATTTGATCTACAAATTTTAAAAAATCAATGTTTCGCGGAAAATTTTCAGTTCTGATCAAAAGGTCCTGTTTCGATAGGGAACTAACAACTTTTTTGTTGAAAATTTGGCACGACCATTTACTCCAATTGCCCCTCGTGTCAGACAAGAGACGACGAGAGTCTGATGACGTCATCTAGGACAGAGAAAGACATCGCTTCGAGATATTATTGAGAAAATATGTGTCCCTTTGAAAAACTACCGTATTTTGTTTCAAGGAACACAACATGTTTTATTGAAAATATCTCGAAGCGAAATTCATTTTTGCAAAATACTCTCGTCGTCTCGCGTCTGACTCAACGGGTGCCTTCTATGGTCGTGTTGGGAAAATTCCGTATGTTGGTGGCCTAGAAATCCAAAAATAAATTCTAGGCCACAGCCTAGAAAACCACCTAGCGGGCGTGCTCAAATTTATGTTCAATTCTTATCAACGCTCCTTTATAAAGTTCACCCATATTTTCGACCCGCCGTCGCTTTTTCGAACCAAACGAGAAAAAATTGAGCTGAATGCCGAAAAAAATGGCTGTTTCGTCGATTTTCCAACTGCCTGTGACGCAAAACCCACGAAAAAAAAACGCTTTTCTGATAAGAGGAGCGAAAAAAACGAGTTTTTGACACTATTTTTGCACATTTTCGAGAACGGGGGCTCAAAAATGTGGTTAGAATTCAAATTTGTGAAAAAAAATTGCCACGTGGAATTTCTGGCTTCAAAATTTCAGAATTCAAACATTTTGCCACGTGGATTTCAGTCCGAAAATTCGTCTGAAAATGAATTCCACGTGGGTTCCCGAAAACTACAGTACCCCTGAAAAATTTGTAGATCAAATTTTCCCAATCCAAAACTACAGTACCCCGCAAGAATCTACAGTAATCTCTCGGAATGTCGAGATTTGAAAAATAACCGTAATTTTCCCAAACACAAACTACAGTACCCCTGAAAAATTTGTAGATCAAATTATCCCAATCCAAAACTACAGTACCCCGAAGAATCTACAGTAATCTCTCGAAATGTCGATTTGAAAAATAACCGTATTTATCTCAAGCAAGAACTACAGTACCCCCCCCCCACACCCCAATCTACAGTACCCCTACAGTACCTCCATCGTCTACAGTACCCCCCCCTTCCCCAAATCTACAGTATCCCCTACAGTACCTGCATCAACCTCTCCTGTGTTGGCGGCGGTGGTGGCGAGTTTGAGACTTCCGATTGGATGGTTTCGCGATGATCGTAGACCGGTGTCGGAATTTCTTCCCACACAAATGTGTCCTCACGCCGGCGCATTTGGTGGGTACTGTAAAAATGAAGGGCGTTTGATCTACCAACTTTTTTTTCATTTTTTTTTCTACAGTACCTCAAAGTCTAGGCTTATACCCCCTACCGTCAAAATTTCCCGCCAAAAAAATCTTTTTTGAAAGGTAAATTTTCGCGCGAAAAACTACAGTACCCAAACTACAGTATAGCTATAAAAATTTGGCACGAGATTTGAAAATTTTCTTTTTTTTTTTAATTTGTTAGAATTTCAAATTTTCCCGCCAAAAAATCTACAGTACTCCCTCTACAGTACCCCCCCCACTCACTTCAATTTCAATCTCGGCAATTTCCTGGGCCGCTTCATCTTCTCGGAATTTGTTGTCGATCTGAAATTCCAGCATTTTGTCGAGCTGGAATTATTTTCAGATGTCGGAGAAGATTGAGAAGGCTGTGTTGTTCTGTGGCGAGACGAAGCGGATCCACCCATTTTCAGCTGCAAAAATTTTTGTTTTTTTTTTCGAATCAGAAGGCATTGGTTCGACACCCGGTGTGAACTAGTTTTTTTTTCTAATATTTTTAAAAAATTTGTTAGTTCCCACCCGGATTCGAACCAGCACCTTTTGAACAGAAACCGAGGTTTTTTGAAATTTTAGGGCGAAAAATCTGAAAATTTCCAAAAAGTTGTTTTTTGGTCAGAAAAACTGAAAAACTGCAACTGAAACTGAAACAAAAAGAAGAAAAATCGAAAAAAGTTTTTTTTTTTTTTTTTGATTTCTTATCAATTTTTGTTCTATAATATGCTACTGTTTGATGATATTGTTTATTGAAAAAAAGAAAAAAAAAGACAATTTTTGGGATGGACAAAGAAATATTGATTTTTTGATGTGAAAAATTGGAAAATTTTTTCGCTTTTAGATTTTCTGGCTTCAAAATTTCAGAATTCAGAAGATTTTTAGAAAATTTTGCACCTTGCCACGTGGATTTCAGTCCGAAAATTCGTCTGAAAATGAATTGGATTCTGAAAACTACAGTACCCCTGAAAAATTTGTAGATCAAATTTTCCCAATCCAAAACTACAGTACCCCCAAGAATCTACAGTAATCTCTCGAAATATCGATTTGAAAAATAGCCGTACTTTTCTCAAACAAAAACTACAGTACTCCCCCCCCCCCCACCCAACTCTACAGTATCCCTACAGTATCTCCCTCGTCTACAGTACTCCCCCCCCCCTCCAATAAAAAAGTCTAATATAAAATCCACGTGGCAGCTAAGATTTTTTGAAGCTCTGAAGCTACTTATAAATTACGGTAGTTCAAATTTTGGCCCTAAAAATACTGTACTTCTGTTCCTAAGATTACTGTATGTCCAAATTATTAGAATCTACAGTAACCCATAAAAATGCCACGTGGAATTTCCCAAAAAAATCAATAAAATGCCCAACTATAGTTTTTCCCAGGAACAAAAACAAATAATATCACATTTTTTTGGAGAAAATTTGAATAAATCGATTTTTTCGTGAAAAAAATTGGGAAAAACTTTTCATTTTCAATTTTCAAAAAAAAATTTCATTTCGCAAAAAAAAACTCACTTTTCTCAAAATCGCCTCTAACATTCAATTTTGAAATCTGGAAAAATTGGAAATTGAAAAAATGTTTTTTTTATTTTGAAAGGGGCTACAGTAATCCAGAAAAAAAAGGTGCCAAAATTTGAAATTTAAAATTTTTTCCAAAAAAAATCACATTAAAATTTTTTCCACAAAAAAAAAATAAAAAATTTCGAAAAAGAAAAGACAAAATTTTACGAGCCGTAAAATTTTGTCTTCGGAAAAAAATTTTTATCGATTTTTTATGATTATTTGTGTGCATCGCAATGATCTACAGTAATCTCAAAATTTTTTTTCCAAAAAGTACTGTATTTTTTTGCACACACACAAAAATTTAAAAAAAAATCAATAAAAAATCATCACATCACAAAAAAAGGCGAATAAAATAAAATATCGTGTGTGTCTGAATTGAAACTATCATGTTTTTCTCTGCTCGTCTCTGCGTCTCTCCCCATCTCACACACTATTTCGTCGATTGTGTTCGTGTGTCTGCGTCTCTTCACACAGTCTCACTCTCTCTCGCCTTTTTTTTCCATTTCAAACATAAAATGAGAAAAACACGAATAAATACAAACACAAATACTTACAACCAGCTTTTCGCGCTGAAAATTAAAATTGACTACGGTAACACTATCTTCAGCTGTGTCTTATTTTTGAAAAATATGGAGGGAAGGATCGCTGCAAAACCTGGACATGACTACGGTAACACAATTTTCAGCTGTGCGAAGAAGATTTTCTGATTTTCCACGTGGCAAAAAGTTTTTCGCACCGGCAAAATTTTGCAGAAAAAAAATGATAACAGCAAAAAAATCCCGGTTTATGACACATTATTTTTTTATCAACGAAAAATTCGAATTCTCAACAGAAACATGAAAAACTGTACAATTTTTCGTCCGGGAGAAGTACACAAATCGCTGCGAGACCTGGGATGTACTACTGTAGCACTCTTTTCAGCTGTGTGTGTTTTTTGCTACGTGGATATTTCATCCGGGAAAAATACAAGAAATTCAAAAATTCGAAAAAATCGCGGCGAGACCTGGGATGTACTACTGTAGCACTGTTTTCAGCTGTGTGTGTTTTTTGCTACGTGGATATTTCATCCGGGAAAAATACAAGAAATTCAAAAATTCGAAAAAATCGCTGCGAGACCTGGGATGTACTACTGTAGCACTGTTTTCAGCTGTGTGTGTTTTTTTCTGTGTTTTACCGCTCATTTTTCTATAGGGAAAAATACAAGAAATTCAACAATTCGAACGCGGCGAGACCTCAGGTGTACTGTAGCAACACTTTCAGCTGTGTCAATTTTTCAAATGACTTCAGGAGTACCCAAAATCCACGTGGCACAAAAAATCCATGTTTTATTCATAAAAAGAGCCGCAAGTTTTCGTAAATCGAAAAAAATTGATAAAAATATGTTTGTTAAAAGGGGCGAAATTAGCGAGTTGGATAAAAATCACAGAGAAAATGAAAGAAAGAAAAGAAGAAGCTCAGCTACAAAAATACGGTTGAAAAAAGAGAGAAGCCCGTTGCAATTTTGAATAGAAAATCAAAGAAGAAAAGCAACAAAAACAAGATTTTCCGAGAACTATTTGACTATAATTTAATTTTAAGCTATGATGATTTTTAGAAAAAAATAAAATATGATAAAATGAAAGAATTTCAGCCGGCTGAACAAAAAATCAATCTATATTTTTTGGCGGTGTCTCGTTTGCCACGTCATAGAAGTATCGAACTATTCCATTTTCGTCGGTCACAGCGCGAACACTGTAAATTTTGAATTTTAGCGATACTGTAGGTTACTGTAGCTCAAAATTCCCAGCGAGTTACTGTAGATTTTTGACGCGAAAATCAAAATATACAGTAACCCTAGTCAAAAAATGTGGAATTTTTTGGGCGCAAAAAAAAAACTTCTCAAAAATCTCACCTAGTTTTAGTGGTTGTTCCATCCTTCGTCACAATATTCAACAATTTCAGATCAATCGAATTATTTGCTGAAATTGTTGGAAGTGTTGAACTTTGTCCAATTCCTCCTGAATTTGCTAATTGTGAATTTGAGCTCGAATTCGAAGAAGATCCGGCCAATTTTTCGCAATTGAATGACATCAAAACCATTTTGTGTTGAGCGAAACATTCGTCGCACAGGAAATTTGTGGCTTGTGAGGCGGGCTGCAAATTAGATTTTTATTTTTAGAAAAAAAATCTGAAAATTTTAATTTCAAAAAATTCCACGTGAATTTTTCGGTGCCAAAAATTCAAAATTTGAAAATTTAAGGTTGAAACTGTGCTCAAGAATCGATTGAAAATTGTATTTTTGGCGCCAGAAATTCAAATTGAAAAAAAATTAAAATTTTTAATTAAAAAAAAATTCCACGTGGATTTTTTGGTGCCAAAAATAATTGAAATTGAAAATTGACGCCACGTGGATTTTTTGAAATTTTTTTTTGAAAAATTCAAAATTTGAAAATTTAAGGTTGAAACTGTGCTCAAAAATCGATTGAAAATTATATTTTTTGGCTCAAAAATTCAAATTGAAAAAAAAATTGAAAATTTTAATTTTATAAAAATTCCACGTGGATTTTTTGATGCCAAAAATTATTGAAATTGAAAATTGAAGCCACGTGGATTTTTAAAATAAGCTGAAATTTTTTTTTTAGAAAAATTTGAAAATTTAAGGTTAAAACTGTGAAAATTGTATTTTTTGGCTCAAAAATTCAAATTGAAAAAAAAAATTGAAAATTTTAATTTTAAAAAATTCCATTTTTTGGTGCCAAAAATTTTTGAAATTGAAAATTGAAGCCACGTGGATTTTTAAAATTAGCTGGAAATTTTTTTTTTGAAAAATTTAAAAATTTAAGGTTAAAACTGTGCAAATTGTATTTTTGGCGCCAGAAATTCAAGTTGAAAAAAAATTGAAAATTTTAATTTTAAAAAATTCCACGTGGATTTTTCGGTGCCAAAAATTATTGAAATTGAAAATTGAAGCCACGTGGATTTTTAAAATTAACTTTTTTTAATTAGCTGAAAAATTTTTTTTTAGAAAAATTAAAAAATTTAAAAATTTAAGGGTTAAACTGTGCAAATTGTATTTTTGGCGCCAAAAATTCAATTTGAAAATTTTAATTTTTAAAAATTCCACGTGAATTTTTTTCGAAAATAAAGTTTTTGCCGCCAAAAGTTGAAAATTTCAGTTTTCGCGTTCAATTCACCCAGACAGCCTAGAAAACCAGAAAAATTCAATTTGAATTTCTAGGCCACAACAATTTGTGAAATGTAAAAAATAAAAATAAAATTTTTTTAAAATTTTGAGCACTTTTCATTCATTTTTGCTCAAAATTCAAAAAAAACTGAAGATTTTCAGCAATTTTCAAGCTCAAAAACTCAATTTTTATCAAAAATTCTCGAATTTTGGCTCAAAATTCGTCAAAATCTCGAATTTCAGCCCAAACTAACCGCATTACAATGCACATTAATACAAGTAATCATTAACGACGAGGCGCTAAAACTTCGACTAATTCTTTTCCGTCCATCCGATGTCGCCGTCGCCGCCGTTGCACTTTTTTGATTTTGTTGAAATCGTTGCTTGGCACTTTTCATATATTCATTCACCATTACATCCATATATTCGTGATGAGTTGGAACAAGTTCGGAGGCCAAAACACACGTCGAATTCATACGGGATATACAATCCTGGAATAAATTGCGATTTTTTGGTGGTTTTTGAGTGAAAATTCATCAATTTTGAGCCAAAATTCAAAATTTTTGATAAAAAATTTCTGAAAATTCATATTTTTTAACCTAAAATTGATCCTGATATCATGGGAAATTATGAATTTGCAACCAAAAAATCAAAATAGAGTCTAGTTTCAACATTTCAAGTAAAAAATCTAGTTTGACTTCTGGAAAGTCTAGTTTGATCTTTATAAGAAAATAAACATAGTTTGAACATTGGAAAAGTCTAGTTTGATCTTTATAAAAAAATAAATATAGTTTGACCTCTGGAAAAGTCTAGTTTCAACGTTTCAAGTTAAAAAAAATTAAGTTTGACCTCTGGAAAGTCTAGTTTGATCTTTATTAGAAAATAAATGTAGTTTAATCATTGGAAAAGTCTAGTTTGAACTTTTCAGGGAAAAAATCTAGTTTGACCTCTGGAAAGTCTAGTTTAAACTTTTCAGAATGAAAATCTAGTTTGACCTCTGGAAAGTCTACTTTGATCTTTATTAGAAAATAAATGTAGTTTGACTTCTAGAAAGTCTAGTTTGACCTCTGGAAATTCTAGTTTTCAACTTTTCAGGAAAAAAATCTAGTTTGCACTATTTTGGCTGAAAATTCATAATTTTCAGCAAATTTCAGCTCAAAATACATCATTTTCAGCGATTTTCAGCTCAAAATTCATCATTTTCAGCGATTTTCAGCTCAAAATTCATCATTTTCAGCGATTTCTCACCTCAGCCTCAATAATTTTCTCCTTCTGCTTCTGATTCGACGACAATCTCAATGTTCTCATCAATTGTCCAGTAATCTCATTAATAATTCGCCACTTCTCGTGTCTTCCCAACGAGATTCCCGATGACGCCAACGTCATTCCTTTTTCAGCAGTGGAGGCGGCGCCATGTGGATTTTCAGCCGGTGGCAAATTTAAAGGCGCAGCATGTGCACTTCTGACTCGTCTCGTTGAACGAATTGATCCTCTTCGAATATCAAGTCGAATTATATCCATATATCTAGAGATCAGTTCGAGTTTTTGCACTTCACATATTGATTCGGATTGACTGTGATTCGGCTGATTTTCCGATTTCCACCAGTTGAAATTATCTCCAGGATCTAGAGCAAAATGAACTGGCAGAAGATTGCGATTTATATCAATTATTGGGATGATTTCTGTAATAATTAAGGGTTACTGTAGATCAATTTTGGCGCGAAAATTTGAAGCATGTTTTTGCGCCAAAAACTACAGTAATCCTAGACCTATTCAATATCAAAATATCTGAAAATATTTAGCCAAAACTTAAAATTTTTGAGAACAAATTTCAGAATTCAAAAAAAATAAACTCCTGGTGAATTTTTCAAGCTAAATCTTCAGGTTAAAAATTCCACGTGGAAAATTTTCCGAACTTTTCAAATTTTTTGGCTCAAAATTAACAATTTTTCATGATTTTCAACTCAAAATTCCTCAATTTTTACAAAAAAAAGCATTTTTGCTCTCAAAAACCAAATTTTCATTGAAAAAATCCCGAATTTTGGCTCAAAAATCACAATTTCTCACATTTTTCGGGTTAAAATTTACGATTTTTCATGTTTTTCAGCTCAAAATTTCTCAATTTATTATTTGAAAAAAAGCATTTTCGCTCTCAAAAACCCCAATTTTCATTAAAAAATCCTGAATTTTGGCTTAAAATTTACGATTTTTCATGATTTTCAGCTCAAAATTCATCACTTAATACAAAAAAAAAACCATTTTTGCTCTCAAAAACCCAAATTTTCATTAAAAAATCCCGAATTTTGGCTCAAAATTGCCCCCAAAAAATGCCTACGTTTCATACTAGTCGTATCGCTTCTCATGGGTACAAGCGGCGAAAAATGCGCCGAATCATAGCACAAAACAAGCGGACTTCGATGGCATTGTGATGGCGGACATTCGAGCGGTAAATAGATTCCGCCAAATGAGACCGGCGACAATTCTTCGCCTTTCGCATTTCGTAATACCGTATCCGACACAACTACAATTGGTCGTTTCAGGACGTGTGCCAACGCGAACACGTGGATCGTTTCGAGACTCTCGTAAATTTGATCTGTCGAGTTGGATGACGTGTCATCTTGTTTACGTGGAATCGGTGAGGCTAGGGCTACAAGACCATCCCATTCTTGTTGCCATTCATCGTCGGATAGAGTTAGAGCAAGTTCGCTTGACTGCAACAACACAGGGTGTAATTTACTACCTTAAATCGCTAGACCTCAAATTTTTCATTAATTTTTGGGTAGATCAAAAATAATTTTTCTCTAAATCTCTCGTTTTTGCGTTGAATTTCGTCGATTTTAGTCCCACCCCTAAGATCGTGTCAGGTCTCAAAAAATGCGCGAAATTTTTCGGGTAGTAAATTACACTCTGTGACAAAATATATTACGGTAATTTTGAATTTTTAAAGGAGCATTGGACTTTTTCTCAATTTTTGGTACAGAAATATCTGGATTTTCAGTGTATTGCTCATGTTAGAAATTCCTAATTTTCAACCGATTTGCTGAAAATCAAAGCATTGCTCATATTAATCGCCCCAATGACCCAAATTACACAATTTTGGGCGCCAATATTTGAAAATTTGAAAATCAAATTTTGGCGCCAAGAAATTCCTAGGATTACTGTAGTTTTTGGCGGCAAAAATGAAAATTTTGAATTCGAATATTTTCGCGTCAAAATTGATCTAGAATTTTGGCGCTAAAAACCCTACCGTAATCCAAAGTCTAGGACTACTTAGTGTCTAAAAATACCGAATTTTCGCGCCAAAATTGATCTACAGTAATCCCAATATGCTTTATATCAAAATTTATCAAATTTTCGTGCCAAAATCACTTACATGTATCGCATTATGCTCGGCCCATTTCCATCTTCTCCACAATGCTTCTTTTCTCGTTCCATTCGTCAACATTTCATACAATGTTTCACGGAGTGTTAATTGTCGATCATGAACACCCCACATTCCCAGCGAAGCGGCGTGTAGAAGACAATTTCCGTCGCCGGTTGTTGAAAGTGGGTAGAGCTTTTGACCGAATTGATTCCACCAATTCAAGTGTCCTGCAGGGAAAATTTTTGAAATTCAAAACAAGTTCACAAAATTCAATCAATTTTTCTTGATTTTTGGCTCAAAATTCATCATTTTTCTTTTGATTTTCAGCTCAAAAAGCTGAAAATTCATCATTTTTCAGGATTTTCAGCTCAAAAAGCTGAAAATTCATCATTTTTCAGGATTTTCAGCTCAAAAAGCTAAAAATTCATCATTTTTCTTTTGATTTTCAGCTCAAAAAGCTGAAAATTCATCATTTTTCAGGATTTTCAGCTCAAAAAGCTAAAAATTCATCATTTTTCATGATTTTCGGCTCAAAAAGCTAAAAATTCATCATTTTTCACGATTTTGGGCTCAAAAAGCCTAAAATTCATCATTTTTCTTCATTTTCAGCTCAAAAAGCCTAAAATTCATCATTTTTCTTTTGATTTTCAGCTCAAAAAGCTAAAAATTCATCATTTTTCATGATTTTCAGCTCAAAATTCATCATTTTTCACGATTTTCAGCTCAAAAAACTGGAAAAAACTCACTGGAAAACTCCAATCGTCTCTGCGTCGACGTCTCAATCAAATCCTTCTCCAAAAACATGCGAAACTCATTGGGCAAACTTATCAAATCGGGCAGATAGAATGCATAATTGTGCACACGATATCTGCTCGTTATTCGATCCCAATCACAAATCTCATCTTTTGAAGTGCACGGTATTAGAGCATTCGGATTTTCCGCGGAAGAACAAATTGGTTTTATTGAGGCGGAAGCTCGGCGCGAGGATTGCGGTAGATCCCAGTTATTTTCTATGAAAAAATTTGGTTATCAGGGGAAAATTATGGTGAAAATCGTGATTTTCAGCTCAAAATTTGGGCATAGCTTCCGCACCTCAGCCAAATTCGCATTAAAATTTCAATTTTCTACTGGGAAATTGGAATTTCAATGCGAAAATGACGAAAATCATTGTTTTTCGGTATAGGAACCCCTATTTTCAGCCAAAAATTAGCTGAAAATTTGGGCATAGCTTCCGCATCTCAGCCAAATTCGCATTAAAATTTCAATTTTCTATTTACTGGATAAAAATCATCCCAAATTTCACCAGAATCCGATGAAAATTGGGATTTCCCCCAGCAAAAATTAGAAATTTCAATGCGAAAATGACACATGTCATTAATTTTTTGACTGAAAATCGTATAGTTGACCGAATTTACTTTTAGTCACGCAAAATGGTCGCCTAGAGACCGGAAGAAGAAAATTCACATAAAATCGTGATTTTCTATAATTTTTATTTTCGCAGTTAGTTTTCGGCTGAAAATTTGGATTTCTTACCAGTTAAAAGGTCCAAAAAGGTCAGAAATAAAAATTTTTTAATATTTTAATTTCAAATATTTATTTACGTGATGACCTAGTTAGATAACTTGTTTTGAAAATTTAAAAAAAATGAAAAATGAAATTTATTTCTTATTTTTCGGACTTTCATAGCTTTTATGTGAGTTTTTTTTTCAGATTTTTTGCTAGAAATATACATTATTCATGTAAAAGTAAAGATTTCCTCATGAAAAAATCAAATTTTTCAGCATTCGTTCTAATTTCCAATAGAAAATTCAGTTTTCCATGTGAAAACCCAAGCAAGCCTGGGTTTTCCTATGAAAACCCCGAATTTTCGTTCAAAAATTAGACCCATCCAAAAAAATCAATCAATAATCACCTTTCAATAATCGCACAGCCTCCTCATTTGAAATATTCACAGTTGCGCAAAGTTCCTTGACTTTTAGCCGCTCTTTTTCGTTCAACCCTTCCAAATACATTATTACTTATCTCATCTATAAGCCTATAATAATATATGAAAATCAATAAAAAATCGAAACAAAAATGAATAAGCATGCAAAAAAAACAGGAAAAAGACAAATAATGAAATGAAATGAAGTGATGAAATAGGCCTACTACTCATCTTTTTCGCATTTCATAGATATTTATTTATTGTTGGCATCGATCCAAGAGGGAAAAGGGGGAGATGTTAGAGTTTAGAGAAACATACAGTGAGTTGGTGGGGCGAGAGAGTGAGAGACGCAGAGAAAGCGAACACAGGCAAAGAGAAGAAGATGGGGTGTTGTGTGGTTGACCATTGATTATTATTTTTGCCTCGATTTTGCTTTAAACTCTTTATTTCTCACTTTTATCAGAAAATTCTTTTTATCATTGCGGTATTCTTCTGGAAAGTTTTCAGCCAAAAAAAAAAGAAAAAAAATTTTGCAAAAAAAATAAAAAGTACTGTTTGTTTCAAGGCGCACACATGATTGCTTCCAGGTCTCGCGGCGATTTGCAACCCGCCCGACTTTTTTTTCAAAATTGTTCTTTTTTTCTCTGTTTTTTTTCCACGCGTGCCCACGTTTCAAGCGTTTCTAGGGGCAACGCGCGGATCAATTGTAGTCTTATCACCTCATCGTAACCATAGAGATGTGAACTTATCCGCTCAGCTCTTCCAATCTCCTCCCAAAATTTCTCATTTCTACACTTTACTATATTCATTCTACTTATATATTATTCCTGCTTTATGGATATTTTCAGACGAATAATGGGTGGTCATTCCAGTAAGGACAATGATGCGATGACAGATTTTCTGGTGAAGCGAGGTAGTATTACGAGACCAGAAGTCGAGTTAGCATTCAGGTAAGAGTGGGTTATGACGTGGCGTTTGGGGGCGATTTGAAGTATTTTGAACAGACAGAGTTGCGAAATATTGTATGTACTTTGAACTCTGAGGGATCATGTGAGCTCTAATTATAGCTTTCGATCTGAATCTCTGAAGACCAATAATCAAGAGAAAATGCGCTCCGTTGATAATAGGCGAGCAAATCAATAAAGCAAACGCGCTCCATTGCACTTTACCCAAAATTCTTGAAAGTTCAAATTTTCTGGAGAGTAGAAAGTGCGCTCTATTGATAAGAGTCGCGAAGTCAACAAAATTCAAATTTTCGAGCAAATGCGCTCTACGGAAAGCGCAGAAAAACCATCAGAGATTCAAATTTTGAATAGAAAGTGCGCTCTAATGATAAAAACCTATAAATTCGAAATTTTATGCAACTTTGCTCTACCGAAAACACTGTGAAACCCCCAAAAAATTCAAATTTTTTGCAGATTAACAGATCGTGGCCGCTTCCTACCGCCTGAAAACCGCACCGAAGCCTATCGTGAATCACCAATGAAAATCACATCACAAGACACGGCCAGTCAATTCTACCCCGGCCCACTTCATCTCTCAGCACCCGAAATCTACGGAATCGTCTTATCCGAACTCGAAATTCAAGCCGGTCAATCATTTTTGAATATTGGAAGTGGAACTGGTTGGTTGAATACGGCTGCCGGATTTTTGTTGGGCGATGCTGGAAAAAATATTGGTGTCGAGTATTTTGAGAATTTGGTCAAGTATTCGGAGAGAAAAGTTCTCGAGACACTTAGTATGCCACAGGTTTGTACTAGTTATGATAACTTGAAATTTTGGGGGTTTTTGAGTGAAAATTTGGAATTTTAAGTGTTTTTCTGGGAGCAGGAAGTTATTTTATAAAATTTTTGTGATTTTCTGATGGAAAATTTGAGATTTTTATGGTTTTGAAGCTTGAAATTTGGAGCATTTTGAGCCCATGGCCTAGAAATCCAATTTTTTGGATTTCTAGGCCATGAAGCTTTTTTATGGTTTTAAAGCTTGAAATGAAATTTGGAGCTTTTTGAGCCCAAATACGATCATGGCCTAGAAATGCAATTTTTTTCGGATTTCTAGGCCATGAAGCTTTTTTTGTAGATTTTTATGGTTTTGAAGCATTTTGAGCCAAAATACGAGCATGGCCTAGAAATGCAATTTTTTGGATTTCTAGGCCATGAAGCTTTTTTGTAGATTTTTATGGTTTTGAAGCTTGAAATTTGAAGCATTTTGAGCCCAAATACGAGCATGGCCTAGAAATCCAATGTTTTGAATTTCTAGGCCATGAAGCTTTTTTTTAGGGTTTTGAAGCTTGAAATCTGGAGCATTTTTAGCCCAAATACGAACATGGCCTAGAAAATCAAAATTTGGATTTCTAGGCCATGAAGCTTTTTTTGTAGATTTGTATGGTTTTGAAGCTTGAAATTTGGAGCATTTCGAGCCCATGGCCTAGAAATGCAATTTTTTGGATTTCTAGGCCATGAAGCTTTTTTTGTAGATTTTTAGGGTTTTGAAGCTTGAAATTTGAAGCATTTTGAGCCCATGGCCTAGAAATCCAATTTTTTGGATTTCAAGGCCATGAAGCTTTTTTTGTAGATTTTTATGGTTTTGAAACTTGAAATTTGGAGCATTTTGAGCCCATGGCCTAGAAATCCAATATTTTGGATTTCTAGGCCATGAAGCATTTTTTGTCGATTTTTAGGGTTTTAAAGCTTGAAATTTGAAGCATTTTGAGCCCATGGCCTAGAAATTCAATTTTTTGGATTTCTAGGCCATGAAGCTTTTTATGTAGATTTTTATGGTTTTGAAGCATTTTGAGCTCAAATACGATCATGGCCTAGAAATCCAATGTTTTTTTTGGATTTCTAGGCCATGAAGCTTTTTTTTGTAGATTTTTATGGTTTTGAAGCATTTTGAGCTCAAATACGAGCATGGCCTAGAAATCCAATGTTTTGGATTTCTAGGCTATGAGGTTTTTTTTAAAGGATTTTGAAGCTTGAAATTCGGAGCATTTTGAGCCCACGCTGATTATTTCGAACGTTCTGGCCGTCAATGGAAAAAGTTCGGCCCCGCGTTCGCTAGAGCGCACATTCATTTTTTCAACACGGTGTTTCAAGTTTTTTCTAAATAGCGCCTATTATCAATGGAAAACGCCTGAACCGTGAAATTTTTCATGAAACTATCAGTAAATAGCCCGATTACACTTTTCTATGCTTTTGAAATTTTATTTAATCTTTCCATTCGGTCGGTCTCACTAAAATGCCTAAGGGTACACGGTTTCGCTGATTCACGTGTCAAGCTTGGTCAAATAATGATCGCAAGACGATTCTCTACAAAGTTATCGGTTCCTTTTTTGGAAAAATAGACTTCTTGAAAAATTTCTGAACAAAAAAACGAAAATAAAAAAATCGGAAAAAAGTGGGCGGAGCGTGGCCGTGTTTTTTGACTGTTTGGTTTCCTAGGTCAGAACGGACGAAATAATCAGCGTGAGCCCAAATGCGATCATGGCCTAGAAATGCAATGTTTTGGATTTCTAGTCCATGAAGCAGCATCCAAAACTGACCTGAAAATAATTTTAGGTGCACGCATTTCCGTGGTGTCGCCCTGTATTTCATTGTTGCAACGCTCTAACCACCGAATTTCTCGACAACGAATCCGAAGAAGGCAGATATGATCGAATTTATTGCGGTGCTGCGATCAGCGACGCGCGGCACATTGACAAATTGTTGCGGAAGCTTGCGGTCGGCGGAAAAATGGTGGCACCAATCGAACCGGATTTGGTGCGTTTCACACGTGTCAGTGCTACGCGAGTCACACGAACCACAGTCTCACGAACAACATTTGCTCCACTTGCACCGCCTTCTATTCTCTATCAGAATAAATCATTGCCGGGAGGAGAGGCGCAACAAATCGCGTCGCTCAAATCAATGTGTCGCGTGGCGATTCGCCGACAAATTCGCGAGCGGATTAATGAGACGGCGTGTCGTCCGAGAGTTCGACAAATTTGGCAAGTTTCGGAAGAGCAACAGCAGCAGGCTGCGCAAAATCGCATCAATTTGCGCGATTTTGCTGCACCCGGACAACCTGGACTCTTTGATGATATTGGGGTGCCGAATCCGCGGCCGCCGCAGATCAATCCTCCACAACGTCCAGGTACGAGATATGAATTGTTTAGAGAGCAGGGTGGTGAGTTAGTTGTTCGATACAAGCATTTAATTTTTCAAGGCTTTTTGGCGTCGAAAAATTTGATGCTAGATTTTTCAAAATCTCCATTTTCCCGCCAAAATTTTAGGGCTGATTCACGAACTAAAAAATGTTTAAAAATGTTTTTTTAACATTGAAAGATCAATTCACGAAAAGTCGAAAAATGTCGAAAAAACATTGTAGGTCAAAATTAGTTTTTCGTGTTTTTCAGCCAAAAATGATGACAAATCGATTTTTTTCAAGCTTCTGGAGTAATTTCTGATGAAAATAAGCTCCGAGAACACTATTTTGCTTTATTTTATGAATTTTTCAAAATTCATCAAAATTTAAAATTTTTTTATTTTACGAAAAATCAGCAAAACCTTCTGGAAAGTGAATTCCAAGGTCAATTTCAATCAGAAATTACTCCAGAAGCTTGAAAAATATCGATTTGTCATCATTTTTGGCTGAAAAACTCGAAAAACTAATTTTGACCTACAATGTTTTTCTAATTTTCCGGTTTTCCGGAAAATGTGCTCGGAGAATCCGGAAAATGATTTTTAATAGTAATATTTTCAATATTGCCAAAATTTTGTGAAACTTCCTGTCAACTTATAATGCTATTCATGTATTTTCTCAGCATGTTGAGAAAACAGGAGAAATGCGGAGGAAATACATTTTCTCCGCTTTTTTCGTATTTTCTCAGCCTACCTGAATAGGTTTTCTCCCGTTTTCTCAGCGTTGAAAAATAACATGAATAGCCCCATAATAAAAATCAAAATTTTTGAATTTTTTTTTAATTTTTCAAAATTTTACAATTTTTTGAAAATTTCTGACTTTGAAAAATTTTCCGGATTTTCTGGTTAAAAAAATCTGGAAATTTTCCGACTTTTGATTTTGATGCTTTCAGATCGAGCTCTTCACCGCCTCGAAATGCACATGATGCAATTACAAAGATTGCAAGATGAAAACGATGAAGATGGTGTGATGATTGATCGAATTGCCGAATTTGCGTTGCCAGATGAGAGACGTGAGTTGATTTGTGATGAAAATCGTGAAATTTGGGTCCAGGAGGGGAAAATTTGAGCTGTGTACCTTTTGAAGAACCTAAAAATCGTGAAATTTGGGTCTTTACGCGATTAATATGAGCAATACTTTGATTTTTACTGAAAATTTTAATTTTTAACATGAGCAATGCTCTAAAAATCGTCAGAAAATGGCTGAAAATCCAGATATTTCTTTATTGAAATGAGCAAAAATTCCTATGCTCTTTAAAAATCCCAAAATTTCGAATCAAGGTTAAAAAATCTGATTTTTCCCCAAAAAACCTTTTCTAGCTCAAAAATTCGCTGAAAATTCAAATTTCTGGCACCCAAACCTCTATGCGCCTTTAAAAATCCCCCACATTCTTTCAGCTCTCGCCCGTCCAAATCGTCCACCTCCAGCCGCCGCTCCATTCGAAATGCGCCGCCCGTTTTTCCCATTTTTCCTCGGCGAAGATCGCATCGCGGCAACCGCGCAACGAATGCGTGCGCAACTCGAAGCGGAAAACGCGGCGCACGAAATGCGTGACACCTCACCGCAAACTACCGCCGCAACCACACCGCTCGAAATTGTCGACGAACCCCATCATGCACCCTATCTGCCGTTTTTGGCAATGGGTTTTCACGGACAACCAGTCAGAAGATTTGTCGATGATTCGGAAAATGAGACGGAACCCGATAGTGATGATGGAACAACGAGTGATGATGGAGATGATGAGCCGAGACAGGTTGGAACGATTGAGATGCGAAATTTGGAGCATTTTGAGCCCAAACACGGTGTATTTTTGAAAATTCTGTGAGATTTGGAGCATTTTGACACCAAACACGGTGTATTTTTGAGAATTTCTAGCATTTTGAGTATAAAAATGATTATGGCCTAGAAATCCAAAGTGTTGTGTGTTGGATTTCTAGGCCATGCTCGTATTTGGGCTCAAAATGCTCGAAATTCCAAGCTTCAAAGCCCTAAAAAAGCCTCGTGGCCTAGAAATCCAAAAATTGCATTTCTAGGCCATGCTCATGTTTGAGCTCAAAATGTACCAAATTTCAAGCTTCAAAATCCTTTTAAAAAAGCTTCATGGCCTAGAAATCCAAAATATTGATTTTCTAGGCCATGCTCGTATTTAGGCTCAAAAATGCTCCGAATTTCAAGCTTCAAAACCCTAAAAAGCTTCATGGCCTAGAAATCCAAAACATTGAATTTCTAGGCCATGCTCGTATTTGAGCTCAAAATGCTCCAAATTTCAAGCTTCAGAATCCTAAAATTCTACAAACAAAAGCTTCATGGCCTAGAAATCCAAAGTGTTGTTTGTTGGATTTCTAGGCCATGCTCGTATTTGGGCTCAAAATGCTCCAAATTTCAAGCTTCAAAACCCTAAAAAAAATTCACCATGTTTTGGCTCAAAATGCTCCAAATTTCGCAGAATTTTCAAAAATACACCAGGTTTGAACTCAAAATGCTTCAAATTTCACAGAATTTTCAAAAATTCACCATGTTTGGGCTCAAAATGCTCCAAATTTCCAGAATCCGTTCCTTCGCCAACTCGAACGAGAAGCCGAAGAAGCTCTACAAAATGCACAAGGCGATGATGAAGACGAAGAGATGCACGAAATTCCAGCTGAAAATGGATCAGACGGCGATGATGAGCGAGAAGAAGATGCTCCAAATGCTGCTCCGGCGGCTCCGGCTCGAAATCTCGAAAATCCACTCAGAAATAATGGTGGTGGTGATGGACTTGAACGAATCGAAGAAGCTCGTGACGCGCTACTTCAAGGAACTCGCAATTTACGTCGAGAAATTGGCCGAGCAATGGGACAATTTGAGCGAAGATTGGTGGAAAGAAGACGATTTTTTGATGGAGTTTTGGGTGAAGGTTTGTGAGATTTTTTGAATTTCTTGCAATTTTACGTTACCAGAAAATACAAAAAATTGATTTTTTTAATCGAAAATTTGAATTTTTGTATTTCTCGTAATTTCAGGTGACCAGAAATTCTAAAAATTCGAATTTTCTCGTAAATTTTTAATTTCTTGCAATATCAGGTGAGATTTTTAGTGAAAATTGACCTGAAATTCACCCAAGAACTGCAAATCTACAGTATTTTTGTTTTGCAGTCCTGGTTACTGTATGTTACTGTACTTCAGCATCCTTTGAGTACAGTAACCTGAACTGCAAAACTACAGTACTACTTGTAGAACTTACTGTAATTCATCATTCATTGGGGGCATTGTGGAATTCGAAACTACAGTAATCCACTGCCGGACTGCAAATTGTTTCTGATGAAATGTTGCAGTTCGGGTTACTGTAGTTTTGCAATTCTGTCAAGTATAGATAGTTTTCAAAGTGTTGAACTGCAAAACTACAGTACTCTTTTCTCCTGGAAACTACAGTAACCCGGGCTGCAAATTTCTGAAATTCGGCTACTGTAGCCACGTAGAAACTGCGAATTTCAAAAGTTTTGCAGTTCAGAGTACTGTACTTGTAATTACAGTAAACTTTAGACATCTAGGGATTCGCGGTTCGCTACAGTAGCCAGAACTGCAAAACTACAGTACACGAAAAAGTCAATTTGAAAAAATAGATTTTTGGCGCGAAAAAGTTTGATTTTTGATGCTCGATTTTCGAAAATTTGCATTTTCGCGCTGAAAAATTTCGAAAAAATATTTTTCGCGCTGAAAAATTCACACATAATTGCAGAAAATGGTGTCCGACCACCACCACCGCCACGTGGAACTGTAACTGTTCGAATTTCGCGTGCTCGAGCTCAAGCCGCACAGCATCGACAACCCGAACCGGAATCCGGCGAAGACGCGGAAGCGGAAGCCCAACCCGGACCATCCCGCCCACAAACACGTTCACAAACTCGCCGCGCAAATCGCGAAGCGGAAGCTACCGCAAATGCCGCAAGCGCTGTCGAAAGATTGCGTCGATTGATGGAACGCGATCGAGAACACGACGCGGCGGCAGACAGAAGCCGCGCACGCTACGAACGACGACGTCACAGCCAAATGCAACGTGGCGCCGACGAAACCGAAGAGGACTACGGTATTCGACTGATGCGCTCGAGAATTCGACGCGATGCGGCAATTCAAGCCGCCGCCGAACATCGCCGCGAATTTATTCCAGAATTTTGGGAGCGGCCAGCAAGAGGCGAAATGGTTGTGACACGCGAATCGCGCACGTTGTTGGCACAAAATGCGGAGAAGGAGAGAATGGCGCGGAAGCGGAAACATGCGGAAAGAAAGGAGGTTTGTCACGGAAATTTTTGGAATTTTTCATCTCTTCCGGGTTGAAAACTCGTGATTTTGTCACTTTTCTGGCCTAAAAAAGTGTGAAGTGAGTGAAAGTGAAGGTTTTGGAGTTCAAAATTTAAAAAAAAAATCTATTTTTCACTTAAAAAATTATTATGGGGTGATTCAAGTTGAAAAAAATATTAAAAGAACATTTTTTGACAAAAAATAGGAAAAAATATAGTTTTTTGACATTTTCTGAATCGAAAATTGTTTCTTAAAAAAATTTTTCTATTATTTTTTTTCGACTTTAATTGAAAAATAAATTTTTTTTTAATTTTGAACTCAAAAACTTTCACAAAATTTGAAATTTTCATGATTTTTTAGGCCAGAAAAGTGCTTGAAAATTCGAAAAAATCATGAATTTTCAACCAGGAATTCATTCTGTGAAATGAACTTTGAATTTTTCAAAATTAAATTAGCTATCCTGGATTTTCAGCCAAAATTTTTTTTTTTCAGAAACGTGCCAAACGCCAAAAGACACAATCCGACGAATTGGAACGTTTCCAAACCCACTTTAATGAATCGATAATTTCGCTAAACTTGCCAAAAAATCTCCAAAAATATATCAAAGATTTGCTCCATTTTTGTGTATAACTGCAATTTTTTCTGAATTTTATTTATCTTTTTCTTCATATTTTTTCCTGTTTTTGTCTCAAAATGCTGTGTTTTTTTATTTTCAAAATTTAAGCTTTTTCTCGTTTTTTTTTCCTTCCGTGAATGAGGTGTGTGTAGTAATAAATGAAATGAATAAATTATTTTTATGACCATATGTATATTCTCTGAGATAAGTTCCGCGCGCGCGGAAAAATCCGCATCGGTGCTCAAATTGTTGGATCGAGCGACGGACCACCGTAGGCAAGTTTTTCGCGGAGAAATGTGCTGGAAAAATGAGATTTTGGAAGGAAATTTGAAAAATACTGGAAATTGGATGAAATTTTGAATTTATTGTAATTTCCAGTGACCAGAAATTCTAAAAATTCAAATTTTCTCATAAATTTTGAATTTCTCGTAATTTCAGGTGACCAGAAAATACAAAAAAATCGATTTTTCGTAAATTTTGAATTTTTTGAATTTCTTGTAAGTTTAGGTTATTAGAAAATACTAGAAATTCGAAAAATTGGTTTGTTATCGAAAATTTAAATTTTTTGTATTTCTTGTAATTTCCGGTGACCAGAAAATACAAAAAATTCGAAAAATCGATTTTTTTAATTGAAAATTTAAATTTTTAGTATTTCTCGTAATTTTACGTTACCAGAAATCACAATAAATTCAAAATTTCTTGAAAAATCGATTATTTTTCATTGAAATCACCCAATTTCTGCCCCCAAAAAAAGCTTACCCATAAAATCGATTATCATTATTCACAACCAAATGCAAATCACGTGTATTCACGCGAATTGTTCGTGTTTTCTGAGAAGCGGTAGGATTTGGGCCAGACGAGTCCCATCTGCAACAAAAATACGGTATTTTCGATGAAAAATTTGAATTTTTTAGACAATTTTGAGAAAGTGCGCTCCATTGATAAACAGATTATAAAATTTGAATTTTCAAAATTTCCCGCCCCCCAAAAACTCACTTATTTTGCACAGTTTTATTGTTGGCGAGTGCGGCAATTGCGGCGCTGTTTGCGTCGCGGTTCCGCTTCGCTTCCGCGTCCGCTCGTTGCATTTCCTGCAAAACCAAAATTCGAAATTTTTCGAATTTCCCTCCCAAAATTCCAAGGTACCTTAGCCTTTTCAATCGTCTCTTTCCCAATATTTTTCGATTTGCTCATTCTAATCAACGTCTCTTTTTCTCTGCTCTCTCTCAATTCCTCTTCTTGTCTATCGACTTCTTCCAAAAATCGCAATTGTCGTTTGGTGTCATCGATTGGTGTGTAATTGTTGTTGGATTTGAAGTTTTGGCTGTGAAAATGGATTTAATTTCAGATCAGAAATCCAATTTTGGTGAAAAATTTGTATTATTTTCAGATTTTCTACTCAAAAATTCAAATTTGGCTTCGAAATTAATGCGAAAATATTCAAGTGCGCTCTATTGACAAATTAATTTTTTGATGAGAAATTCAAATTTCCATTAGTTTTTCGAGTTTTTCAACCAAAAATAATGACAAATCAATATTTTTCAAGCTTCTGAAGTGATTTCTGATGAAAATAAGCTTCGAGAACCCTACTTTTTCTCATTCTATGATTTTTTTGTATTTCTTGTAATTTTAGGAGACTGGAAATCACAAGAAATTCTATAAACTCGACTTTTCAAGTAAAATTTGAATTTCTTGTAATTTTAGGAGACTAGAAAATACAAGAAATTCGAAATATCGATTTTTTATCGAACATTTAAATTTTTAGAATTTCTCGTAATTTTACGTTACCAGAAATCACAATAAATTCAAAATTTCTCGAAAAATCGATTTTTTAGGTCAAAAATGCCCCATTTCATGAAAAAATAATGAAAAACTAATTTTTTTTTTCGTTACTCATACAAAAATCGTTTTCGGATTTTTCTGAATTTTTATTTTCAGCATAATTTCAAGCCAAATTTGATATTTTCTATCAGAAAAACACAGTTTCTAGCTTATTTTCCAATGAAAAATGCTCACCTTGTACTTTCGGTGCGATGTTCCGCAATGGCCGCAAGTTGCGTAATAATCTCTCTCAAATTATATTCGGTCGCATCTGATATCAAACTCAACGCTTCTTCTTCAACCATACAAGACTCGCGTATTCTGGCCGTAATTCGATTCATAATTTCCTGCGGATTCAGACACGAATGTTTATTTCCGGGTTCTTGGAGGACACGTTGATTTTGTGGCGGTGGATTTTCATTAGAACTATTCTCAGCCGAAAGTTCAGGAGGTCCAGAAGTTGAGGGAATTTGAGCAGGTCCCAGATTTTGTGAAGAAGGAGGAGGAGGAGGTGCTAAAGGAGCTGGCGCCAAAGTTGGAGGTTTTTGAAGATGCGAAAGGAGTTGAGGGTTTTGAGAAGGTTGTTGAGGTTGAGGTTGGGGGATTTGAGGAGGTTGATTAGGATTCGTGTAGACGAAACCGGGTGGAGGCGAAATTCCTTCGATTCGAAGACCGCCTGCAAAAAAATTGGTTGAAAATTGCATATTTTACGTAAAATTTGACGAAAAATGCAAATTTCTATAAGAAAATTACAATTTTTAGACTTTTCAATAGGAAAATTTGGATTTTCAAGTGAAATATGACTGAAAATTGCAATTTTCAGCGTTTTCAATGAAAAATTTGATGAAAATTGCAATTTTTAAGCTTTTCAATGGAAACATTTGAAGTTTTATATGAAAAATGGCTAAAAAATATCGATTTCGGCTGAAAATAGCTGAAATTTGCAATCTTTTACGTAAATTTTGACAAAAAATGATTTTCTATCAGAAAATTACAATTTTATGAATTTTTTGACTTTTCAATAGAAAAATTTGGTAAAATATGACTGAAAACTGAAATTTTCAGCGTTTTCAATGAAAAATTTGAATTTTTATGTGAAAAGTGACTAAAAATTTAGATTTCGGCTGAAAATAGCTGAAATTTGCAATCTTTTACGTAAAATTTGACGAAAAATGCAAATTTCTATAAGAAAAATACAATTTTTATGGATTTTTAGACTTTTCAATAGGAAAATTTGGTGAAATATGACTGAAAACTGAAATTTTCAGCGTTTTCAATGAAAACTTTGATGAAAATTGCAATTTTCAGCGTTTTCAATGAAATATTTGAAGTTTTATGTGAAAAATAGCTAAAAATATCGATTTCGGCTGAAAATAGCTGAAATTTGCAATCTTTTACGTAAAATTTGACGAAAAATGCAAATTTCTATAAGAAAATTACAATTTTTAGACTTTTCAATAGGAAAATTTGGATTTTCAAGTAAAATATGACTGAAAACTGAAATTTTCAGCTTCTCCATAGGAAAATTGCAATTTTTAAGCTTTTCAATGGAAAAAGTTGAAATGTTATGTGAAAAGTGACTAAAAATATCGATTTCGGTTGAAAATAGCTGAAATTTGCAATCTTTTACGTAAAATTAAACGAAAAATGCAAATTTCTATAAGAAAATTACAATTTTTATGGATTTTCAATAGGAAAATTTGGATTTTCAAGTAAAATATGACTGAAAACTGAAATTTTCAGCGTATTAATAGGAAAAGTGCAATTTTTAAGCTTTTCAATGAAAACTTATGTGAAAAAAGACTGAAAATTCAGATTTTTAGCTTGAAACGAGTGAAATTATTAATTTGCCATGAGAAATGTAATAAAAACTAAGTTTTTCCATGAAAATATGATTTTCTATGAGAATTTTATTCTTTACGATAGGTAAATTACAATTTTTAAATGAATTTTTCCCCAAAATTCGAAAAAAACGTGAATTCTTCAACAAAAAAATTATTTCTAATCATTTTTTAAATGCTCACCAGTTCTAACTGAATGTCTCAACGCAGGCACCGTATTCTGCAAAAACGGCAACAAATGTGGCTGAGCTTGTGATTGTAGAGCAGCCTGTAGGCGTGTTGTGAATTCCTCAGCACTCAAATCCGTATAAATCACCTGGGTGATCAAATTTTTGACAACCTCGCTTTTCGTCGAATTTTCCGAGTTTGGATGTTCCGCCAGATTGATTAGAGTTTTCAGGAATCGCACGCATTTCGAGACAGTTGGTGGGATGTCTTGGGGTTGAGGTTGAGGTTGTTGAATCTGTTGATGCGGGATTTGCTGAACCTGCGGCTGAATCTGCTGCATTTGCTGAACTGGAGGTGGTTGATACTGTGGAATTTGCTGCTGAGGCGGTGGCCCGGGACTTGGTCTCATTTGCGCAACCGGTGATGCAACATTTGGCACGATTTGCGGGATCCTTGGAGCATTTTCTGGCGGCGAAGCGGGATTTGATGTTGGTGTGCTGTTATTCGCAGCCCGTTCGCCAATCGCCGGTCCCTGTACCAAGCGAAACCTTGGAGCCGACATTTTTCTGTAAACTATCCATGGTTAACTTTCAAAACCCAACGGAAAACACGAGAAAACAAAAAAAGAAAAGGAAAAATAATAAATAAATACATTCCACTCTAGTGCTACCGTATCCCGGAGAGTTGCAAGACGCCGAGTTTTGTTTGAATCCTAACGCGTTGCGTGTCGGCGTCACGGTTGCCCGCAAATTTCAATTGCGAAAAATGGCGGCGTTCGCGGAATTGACTGTTTCTATCCGTTTTTTTATTGTTCGTCACGATGCGATTTTGAGTTATTTGTGATAAGCACTGAAAAACGGTGCTTTTAGAGTGTAGATTTGTCGAATTTCCACGGAAATTATGCCCAAAAAAGGCTGGTATTCCATTTTTGGGTACCTCATCGATTTTTCCAATTTTCTAGAAGTATGGCGTCATGTTCACACTTTTCTTGTCATGTGATATTTTCGTGTGATATTCGTTGTTGAATGCACTAATTCGTATAACTTTTGCTTGTTTCAGAATGGGTATTAAAGGCGACAAAAGAATCCTACAAACGAGCATGCTCGATTGGCGCGACTTACACTTGAAGGCAATTCTGCTGATGATGATTACAACACCATACAGAAGTTGATCAAAAAAGTGAGTTTATATATACACATATGTTTTGTTTGCATTAGGGAACTGAAAAATGATGAAATTTTTTTTTGAAAATTTCGCAATCTCTCCATTTTTCAGATAATTGAAACAACCAGATGTACACAATCAGAAGCCGAAATTGCACTTCACGACAATGACAATGATATTCATGCAGCAATCGATCATATATTAGACAGTGATAAACTCGATTCTTGGACCGATCCAAAGGCCGCCAAAAAAGAGAAGAAAACTGTAAATGAAGAACGTGCACAGAATCACCGAACTTTCGTTCCAAGAGGACGAGGAACCAACGGTTTCAGTGATCGTGGAGGACGCGGAAGATCGAATGGCGCACCACGGGAACCACGTGAACCACGTGGAGAGCATGGAGCACAAACCAACGGAGCACCATCTTCTACACACCGAGGACGTGGCGGATTCGACAGACCGAACACTTTCAGTGGACGCGGAGGACGTGGAGGTGGCAGAGGCGGATATTCGAGAGCAGTTGCACCGGAATCTTCAGCACCACCAACTGCGGAAGAAGTGGCAGCAGATCCAGTACCGAAAGTTGAGACAGTTGTGAATGAGGTGTCAAAACCAGCGGCTGAAGAGTCCGTTTCAACAACAGTTCCAGCATCCACTGCACCTGCGCCAATCTCCTTTGCTGCAATTGCTGCACGAGCGAATCACAAGGAAGTATTGCGAAAACAGAACTTGACAGCACCGACTGCAGCTCCAACACAACAACAAACATCAAAGAATGTTTCAAATAGACGGAGTGTTTCACCGGTTCCACCAGCTAAAGAAGTTGCGCATTCTTTCGAAGAAGCTGAACCATCAACTCTAAATGAGGAGAAGGTTGAAAGCTTCTATCAAAGGTATAGTTTTCCGTACTAGACGAGTTGAACTTCAATTTCATCATTTTTCAGTGAATCGTCAGCTTTGGTTGAAGAGCCAGAAGTCAATGTGTCAGCGACAAATAACGCTGAAAATGTACAAAGTTCACCAGCACAAGCGACCGCTTGGGCAAAACAATTGAAAGCCGATCTTGGAATCGGTGTTCCGGAAACCTCATCCACCTCATTTGCACCAACATCGCCACTTTCGGCCAACGTTTCGCTACCCGATCCGGGTGTCGAATTCGTCGGCGTCGATCCAGTCGGTTTGGCCGATTATTCGTTTGGCTATGTTGATCAACCACCAACGCAAATCCTCCCACCAGCAGAAACATCTGTTGCATCGATCTCAACTAATAACAGCGATAATATTTTCAACTCGACTCGAATGTCATCTGTGCCATCTAAATCTGTTGAGGTAAATAAACTTAATTCGATTTTTTTTTTTGAGAAAACCAAATAACTTTTCAGCCTGAACGATCACAGCTTCAAAACGGCGGAAATGATTTCAACTTGAAATCCCAATCTCCACCAACCAGCTATGGTCAACAAAACAGGACGTTGTCGTATGATACATCATCTGTATCCTATAATCCAAAAGAGCGACCGTTGTCGAATAACAATCAATTCAATCAACAATTGCCGGTTCATCAACAACCACAGCAACAACAGGCTCCACAACAACAAGCTCCTCAACCACCACAACCAACTCCACAAACCCTCCAACAACAAGCTCTTCAGCAACAGCAACAACAGCAGCAACATCCAATGATGTTCCCTCACCAAAACTTCCCATATGCGCCATACTCGTATATGAATATGTACAGCCCGGTGAGAGATGATCAATACGCTGCGTTGATGCAATATGGAATGGGAGTTGATTTGACGAACTTGTCAACAATTTTGCCGCAACAAACTGCTCCAGCTCCATCGGTTACCGCTCAGCAACAACAAGCTCAACAGCAGCAACAACAACGTGGAAATGATGCGCATACCGGATTGATGGATTTCAATAAGTTTGCTGCGCAAGGTGGATTGGTTCGCGATCAACAACAGCAGCAACCACAACAGGCACAGCAACAGCAGCAACCATCGAATGTTGGTCCACCACCAGGTTTCCAAACCACTTCGTACATGCAGCAACCGCTCTCCTCATTATTCATGCAACAACCATACGCCGCCGCCCAACACGCCTATCAATTCATGAATATGATGCCGTCTGTTGGAAACAATGGTGCCGGAAATCGACAAATGTATGGTCAAGACGATGAGCGCAAGGCTTACGACAAGAAGCCGACCGCACCACAAAACCAACACTCGCAATACCCACAAAATTTGGGAATGTATGGCGGTGGAAACGGTGGACAACAACAGAAGAATAAATACAATTGGGCAAGTTGAGAAATATATTGTATGCTCTCTTTCTCTTGATAATAAAATGATCTGTTTAAATTTTGGTGTTTTTCTTGAATTTGTTTTGTTGTCTCTAGCAATTTGTAAGGCTTTTTTTCCACTCCGATTTATCTATATATTTCTGAGATTTTTAATCAGCTGAAAATTGCGCTGTCAGAATGTCGTCAGCTTTGGTGATTGGCGCCACATCGACGCTGGGAAAAGCCGTTGTTCGAAGATTGGCATTCGCTGGCTATAAGGTAGCAGCCACTGGCGATTGTCCGAATACGATTGGAAAAATTGCCGAGGATAATAAGAAGGTGCTATATTTTTGAAGATTTTCAGGGAAAAATTTTATTTGAAATTTTGCAACGTGGCGGTTTGGATTTGTGGTGGCTGAAAATGCTCCAAATTCCATGAAAAATTCAAAAATATCTCAAATTTTATCTCAAAATGCTCCGAATTTTCTGAATATTCCAAGTTTACCTTAAAACCTTCACAAAAGTCAAAAATTATAATTTTTGGGCTCAAAATGCTCCAAATTTCATCAAAAATATCAAATTTGTGCTCAAAATGCTCCAAATCCCTGAAAACTCCAAAATTCCGTTGCAGGTCGGCGGAAATGTCACGGCCTATTCGCTGGACACCTCAAACGCGGCGCACCGCGCCGAACTCATCTCCAAAGTCGCCGAACAATTTTCGGGTCTCGACACGCTCATTTTTGTGCCGCCTCAAAATACAGTAATCGGCGATATTTTGGACTCGAAAAGCGAGGATTTCGACAAGATTTTTGGCGAAAAATTGACGATTCCTTTTCGTTTTTCACAAGATGCGATGGGAGAATTGAAGAAATCGAGGTAATTTTTTGGGGAAAAGTTGAAATTTGCGAGATTTTGGTGTAAAAATTGTGAAAAATGATGGATTTTGAGCTGAAAAAACCTAAAATTCGATTTCTCTTGCTGAAAATCTTAAAATTCAGATCTAATCTGAAATTTTCATCAAAAAGTCACCTCAAAATTTTCCCGCCAAAAAATACGTTTCAAAAAATGCATTAAAATTTTCGGAAAATTATCAAAAATAAGCGATAAAATTTTCAGTCTGAAATCAAATTGCTGAAAATTCGATGTAAAAATTGAGAAAAAATGACGGATTTTGAGCCAAAAATTCAATTTTTCATCAAATTTCCCAATTTTTCCACCCAAACCCCCCAATTTTTTCAGAAATGGCAGCATAATTCTTCTAACTTCATGCCTTGGCCTTCAGCCAAGTGTCGATTTAGGCCTCTATTCGGTGGCGTCAAGCAGTGTTTTGTCGTTGACCAAAGCGTTGGCGGTTTCGGCCGCCAAAAATGGTGTGAGAGTGAATTCGGTGGTGACTGGAATGGTGAGCATTTTGGGGGGTTTTGGGTGGAAAAATTCGAGAAAAATGGTTAAATTTGAACTGGAAAACTGAATTTTCAGATTTTTCTGAAAATTTGAAAAGCTGAAGGTCTCGAAATACATGGATTTCTCACGCAAAAATTACCTTGGAAAATACGTTTCAAAAAATATTTTATAAATTTTCGAATCTCGAAAATTTGATTCATTGTTTTACTATGAAAAAATTGTGTGAAAATTGCGATTTTGAGCTGAAATTCGAGAAAATTGGTTTAAATTGACCGAAAATTAATAAATTTTGAATTTTTTCAAATTTTTCTGAAAATTTGAAAAGCTGAGGGTCTGAAATACATGGATTTCTCACGCTTAAATTTTTCGAAATTCAAAAAAATTAAATTTTCAATAACCTCAAAAAATACGTTTCAAAAAAAAAAGAAAAATTTTAAAAATTTCCAGGTTGAAGGCGATGGTTCGAGCTCAGTTTGGGACAATACATCTGGAGAAGAAGCGACGAGGATAAAACAACAATTAGAGGTAATTTCAGCTGGAAAATCTGCAATTTCTGATCTGAAATTCGTCAATTTCGCTTAAAAATCACATAAAATACATGATTTTCAACCAATTTTCAGCCAAAAATCTGAAATTTTGCAGGCAATGATTCCACTTGGAAGATTGGGAAGACCATCGGATGTTGCATCGTATGTCGAATTTTTGGCCTCGGATAAAGCTAGGTACGATTTTTTGTTGGAAATTTTGAAAAATTTGAATTTGGCGCCGAATTTGACGCATTTTGATAGTAAATAAGCTACGGTGGATTTTTGGCGCCAAAAAATTATTTTTTTGAATTTTGAAACTCTAGGAGTACGCTTCTCTACAGTAATCCTTTGGATTTTTGGCGCCAAAATGTTTTCTGGGCAAAAAATTTCAAAATTTGAATTTTTCGCGCCAAAATTGATCTACAGTAATCCTAGACTTATTCGGTCTCAAAACATGTGGATTTTTTGGCGGCAAATTTCAAAATTCAAATTTTCAGATACATAACTGGAGAGAATTGTGTGGTGAATGGCGGTGTATCATATCGATTCTGAAAATCTGTAATTTTTTTGTCTGAAAATCTAGGTCTACACATAGTTTTTTGTTATTGTTTTTTTCACATAAAAATCTCATTTTTCATCGATTTTTCTGAGAATTTTCAAGGTTTTCCACCTATTTTCAAGTATTTTCGCAGATTTTCAGCGATTTTCAGCCAAAAATTTCCAGCCAGAAAAGAAAAAGAAAAATGCTCAAAAATAGTCGGAGATTTTTGAATACAATTTGGCCGAGCCGAATACAAAATGAGGAATATGCTAGAAGACGGCACGATTTGTTGAGGAATTTGAAAATGGATTTGGCAAAAAATGGAGGAGGTCGGGGAATTTTGGGCTGAAAATGAGCTGAAATTCGAGATTTTTGGGTAATTTTGACCCAAAACTCGATTTTCAGCTTTTTTCCGCATAGAAATTTGAAAATCTGAAATTTTCAAGCTAAACTTCGAGTTTTTCAGTCAAATTTCAGCCGGAAACTTGATGATTTTCAGTTTTTTTCTCTGAAAATCTCAATTTTCAGCCTAAAATCCCTTTATTTCAGCTGAAAACATTGTGCTAATTCTGAAAGGCGCCAAAAGATCGTATATTGCTCCAGATGTTCCGGCTCAATACAGACAACTCAGTCATTTTCGGTGAGTTTTTGCGGGTTTTGGCTGAAATTTTGTCTGAAAATTTGAATTTTTCATCAATTTTTGAGCCAGAAACTCATTATTTTTGATAAAATTTCAAAAAATCATCAAAGTTTGTATAAAAATGCTCCAAATTTCAAAAATTCATCAAATTTGGGCTCAAAATGCTCCAAATCTCAAAAATTTCTCAGATACATCACCGGAATCACAATGCCCGATTGCTATTATATCATAACTTCACCAATCGATTCCGAAAAATCCACGTGTTTTTTGGTGGCCGACAAAAGAAGTGCTTATGATGAGCTATGGGAGGGAAAATTGCCGACAGAAGCGGAACTCGAAAAAACGGCCAATTTTGAGGAAATTGTGCCACGTGGCAAAATGTTGCAGGTGCGCTGAAAATGAGCTGAAAATTTGTGAAATTTTGAGATTTTTCGGTGCAAAAATGAGCCTAAAATTGATAAAATTGTGCTCAAAAAGAAGATTTTCAGCCAAAAATAACCCAGAAATCTTGAATTTCTACTTTTTTCAGCTGGGAATCTGGAAAAGTTTAATATTTTCAGCAAAAAATGTGAAAATTTTGAATTTTAAGCTTCAATTTTCAATATTTTCAACCTAAAATTAATATTTTTCAATAAAAAATCACTCCAAACATTGAAATTTATGAGAAAATTGACCTGAAATTTGAAAATTTTGATATTTTTAACTTCAAAAATACCTTTCATAATTTTGATCCAAAAATACTCATAATTTGTCTGAAAATTTTCAGACGCTCGAAAAATTGTGCCATCGAAATTCTGCGGTATTTTTCGAATCACAATCCGATGATCTACTCAATCAATTTTTGCAAACAAAATCGGCGTCTGTTCGGAGTGTAAATCATTATGTGAGTTTTGGCTGAAATTTTCAGCAAAATCTGAAAATTTGAAGCGAAATGAGGTGGAAATTCTTCAATTTTCCATCAAAATTTATATGAAAATCCTTGAAATTTATCAAAAAATCTTCAATTTTCAGAATTTTAGTCCAAATTTTCCAGATCGATAAGCTGCGCCTCCAAAAATCGTCCTCCGAAATGCAATCAATGCGCGATGTTTGCTCATTGGGCTCCCAAACAATGTCAGCAATGATTTCCGGAGTCAAAGATCTACAAAATGAGAATGCGATTTGTGGACTGCTGGAATTCGAGGGCAGAAGGCGAGGCTCTGAAATGCAGGCTTATCCACCTGTTGTGGCGGCTGGAAATCGAGCAAATACTATTCATTATTTAGATGCGAATAGCGAGATTTTTAGAGGGTTTGTTTGGATTTTTCAAATGATTTCGAGCATTTTGATACCAAATTTGAGGAAAATGATGAAATTTCGAGCATTTTAAGCCCAAAAATCATAATTTTTGGATTTTTTTTGAGTTTTCAAGGGAATCGGAGCATTTTGATACTAAATTTGATAGAAATTTGAAATTTGGAGCATTTTGAGACTGTAGATTTAGCCGCCAAAAAAAATACGTTTCTAAAATTTCTCAAGACAAAAATTTGGATTTTGAAAATTGATTTATCCTCGCTTGCCGTTTCGAAAATACAGTAACCCAATGAAAACATGTCCATGTTACTGTAGTTGTATGCGCCTTTGAATTTAGAGCATTTTGAGACCAAACATGGGCTAGGTACTGTAGATTTGAGAATTTTGCCATCAAAAATACGTTTCAAAAGTTTTTCTGTAGATTGCTCATATTAAACTATGTATGAACTGAAGCATTTCTGCTCCAAATTTCATAAATTTTGCAAATTTCCATCAAATTTAGTATCAAAATGCTCCGATTCCTTTGAAAACTCAAATTTAACACTAAAATCTTCACAAAATTCCAAAAATTATGATTTTTGGGCTTAAAATGTTCCAAATTTTCTGAAAAATTCAAATTTTCAATCGATTTTTCCAGAGATTGTGTGCTTGTCGATGCTGGATGCGATTTGAACGGCTATGTTTCGGATATTACACGGTGTTTCCCGATTTCTGGACAGTAAGCTTTTATTTGGACAGTTTTTGACCTGAAATTACCCAAAAATCATATTTTTCATGTATTTTACCATAAAATTTCCCAAAAAAATCGAATTTCAGTTGGTCCGATGCTCAAAAATCGCTCTACGAAGCTCTTTTATATGTGCACGAGCAACTTTTGAGCTATGCTCACAATTTGGAAAAAGTCAAATTGAGTTTGTTGTTCCGCAAAATGAACGAATTGTTGGCGGCGAGTTTTGGAGAATTGGGATTGATTAAAACCAGAAATCATCGCGAAATGATTGAGGTGGGGAATTTTTGACCTAACATTTGAAGAAATTGTGAAAAATTGATCAAGAAAAGCCCTACCATTGCTCATATTAATTGTTTTCCAGTCAAAATTCTCAATTTTGAAATAAAGCTCTTAATATGAGCAATGCTACTAGCGAAAAACCAAGAATTTGGAATTTCTGTTCAAAATTTGATATCAAAATATTCCCCAGGATTTGGCGATTCTGAAAATCTGAGATTCACTTTTTTTAAAAATAATTCGTTAACTACAAATTCACAAGAAAATCCATTGCTCATATTATACTCTTTTCCTCAAAAACATAGCAAATTTTGTGTCAAAATGTTCGAAATTTCATGAGAAATTCAAATTTTCCACTTGAAATCCACTAAAATCCCCCCAAAATATGTAATTTCAGGAAGCGGAAAAGCTGTGTCCGCACCACGTCAGCCACTATCTCGGAATGGATGTTCACGATTGCGCGACAATTTCACGCGACATCGATTTGCCGCCAAATGTCGTGTTCACCATTGAGCCCGGCGTCTATGTGCCTTTAAATCATCCGGTCGCCGAATTCCGCGGCATCGGCTACCGTATCGAAGATGACGTGGCAACTGCGGAAGGCGGTGGAATTGAACTATTGACAGCTGGTGTGCCACGTGGCAGTTTGGAAATACAACAAATTATGAGTACTGTAGATTAGTACTGTAGGTGTACTGTAATTTTTTTAGGTGATTAGATTTTTTGTATTGTTATAAATTTGTTTTTTTTTTCTTTTTTTTTTCCAGAAAACTCAAAAATTCAAATTTTGAATTTTCCCGCGTGACCGCCTAGATATTTTTTGGCGCCAAAAAAAAATTCGAAAAAAATTTTGGTCATTGCTTATTCGCCTAACTACTAGAAAATGAATCGAGTAATTTTGTCTACGAAAAAACAAATTCTGAAACGTGGGTTACGGTGGATTACTGTAGACATCTACAGTACTATTTTCCAGCACTAATCAAACGCCACGTGTCAACTACAGTAACCAGCCAGAAATTGCAACGTGGCAAGGGCGAAGATCGCCGCGTTTTGCACACCAAAAAAATCACCAAGCGAAATGTGACATCGGTAAGATACAGTAACCCAAGGGTACTGTGGTTACAGTACCCGAATTCCTACAGTAACCCTTTAGTGAAAAGCATTTGCAGTTCGAAATTCTACCGTACCACCACCGCGGAGCCGATGGTAGTTTCAACAAAAATGAAGATCAAATTTTGTACCCGAAGTAAGTGTTGCCACGTGGCAAATTTTGCGCTGAAAATCATCAATTCCACGGGTTTTAGCGCAAAATTTCAGCCTGGAAACGAAAAAAAATGAAGAAAATACTACTGTAGTTGACAACGGTGTTTGCACACACCAATCGCGTACTTTACATTTTATTCGACGCGAAAATGTTTTTTCGTGGATTTTTATGTTTCGGGAGAATTTTCGTGTTTTTGACTGAAATTTTGCGCTGAAAATCATAGAAAACCAAGGTTCTCATGAATTTCAGCTTTTTCAGCACTGAATTTCAGCCACAAACACAAAAATTCGCCTTGAAACAGAAAAATCCCCGAAAAAAACATTTGTGCGTCAAATAAAATGCAAAGTACGCAATGAGTGTGCAAACACCGTTGTCAACTACAGTAATCTTTTCATCGTTTTTTTTTGCTCCGAAACTGAAATTTTGTGCTGAAAATCGCTGAATTTCACCACAAATTACCTACTGTGCATCAAATTTGACGCGCAAAAATGATTTCCAGCTGAAATTTCTGCTGAAAATCCCAACAACCTCGATTTTTTGCAGAGAAATCGTCGAACATCTCAATAAATATGTTGTTGGTCAAGCGGAAGCCAAAAAATGCCTTGCCGTGGCCGTTTATCAACACTACAAACGAGTCGAGAACAATATGCGAGTTAGCGAAACTTGGTTTTTGCAAGATGCCGTCGAAGCGGCGAAAGAGGCGAAGAAAATGAAGAGCAAGGATAAGGAGGGATATTTGGATGATGAGTGGGTTTTTGGGGTCAAAAAATCCACATGGAGTATATATTTAGGACCAAGAATCTGCTCAAAAATTGGAATTTTGCAATTTCCCGCCAAAAAAAACCCACGTGTAAAGAAAAAAAACAATTTTTTCTTGCAGACTTCCCCACTCCTCCTACACAAATCCCACACACAAATCTCAACGTCAAATTCTCGCCGACCTCGAAAAACGCGAAGACATTTTGCTCGAAAAATCCAACATGATACTTTTGGGAGCGTCGGGAACCGGCAAAACCTACATCACTCAAAAACTCGCCGCAATTCTCGACGTACCCATCGTGATTTGCGATTGTACCACACTAACTCAAGCCGGTTACGTGGGTGATGACGTGGATACGGTCATTCAAAAGTTGTTGGCTGAAGCGCACGGTGACGTGGAGAAATGCCAACGTGGCATTGTTTTTTTGGACGAATTTGACAAGATTTACACGTCGAGTGATCCACTTCACACGGCCGGAAATCGTGATGTTAGTGGAAAAGGTGTTCAACAGGCATTGCTGAAATTGGTCGAAGGAACTATGGTGAAGGTGAGGGATCCGCTGGCGCCAAATTCGAAAATTGCAATTGACACCACCAATATTTTATTTGTCGCATCGGGAGCCTTTTCGAATATTGAACATGTGATTGCAAGACGGATGGATAAACGGTGGGTGCGAGAAGCGGGGATTCGGGAGGTTCCAATGATTTTTAGGGTTTGCGGGGGAGACCCCCGCAGGCCCCCCTTTTCTAGGCCTTCGGCCATTGGAAATCTGATTTTCAGCTCGAAATTTCACAAAAATTTTGTTTTTTTTTTGGGTTTGCGGGGGAGACCCCCGCAGGCCCCCCTTTTCTGGGCCTTCGGCCCTTGGAAGTCTGAACTTTTCAGCCTGAAAGTGTGTAGTTTTGGCTGAAAATCACGGTTTCAGCCCCCCAAAACCCCAAAAATCCAACAATTTCCGTTCAGAACTCTCGGATTCTCTGCTCAAACCATGCGATCTGGCGCCGATGCTTCTTCCAGCGAACAACTTCGAGATGAAGATGAGCTGATTGCGGCGAAAGCTCGTGATGAACTTGTGAAGCAGTGTGATCAGGGAGATTTGATCAGGTAAGGTTTTTTTTTTGAAATTGAAAAATTTTCATTGAAAACTGTACAAAATACTTGAAAATTAGTCTTAATTTGAGCTGAAATTCAGAATTTTCGATAAAAAACGTTGATTTTTCAATCTGAAATGCTGATTTTCTCAAACTTTGGCTCAAACTTTTGAAATTTGAAAGCCAAATATTTTGAATAAAATTGTTAGAATTTAATTTTCAAAATTCAAAATTGAAAAGTTCCCTGAAAATTATAAAATTAAATGAAAAATGTTCAAAATCCTCATGAAATTTTTCAAAAATTGACCTGAATTCCTGGTTTTTCTCTGCAAATCTAGAATTTTGATCGAAAATTGACCTGAATTCCGGATTTCCCGCTCCAAAAACACCCCAAAATCCTCCAAATTCAATTTTTTTTTCTTTTTCAGTTTTGGCATGATTCCCGAACTCGTTGGCCGCTTCCCAATGATTGTCCCATTCCATTGTTTGGACCGTAATCAACTGGTTTCGGTGCTCAGCGAGCCAAAAGGTTCGCTAGTCGCGCAAACCAAGAAATTCTTCGAAAACGAAAATGTCGAGTTGCGCTTCTCGCAACAAGCTCTCGAAAAAATTGCCGATTTGGCGGTGAAGCGAAGAACTGGAGCCAGAGCGCTGAAGTTAGTTTTTTTGGGATTACTGTAGTTGCGCCTTTAAATTTGGAGCGTTTTGAGACCAAATATGACGAGAAAATACGTTTTTGGATTTTGAAATTGATTTTCTTGTTTAAAAAATACCATAACCCAATGAGTAACTACAAAGATTACTGTAGTTGGATGCGCCTTTGAATTTGGGGCATTTTGAGACCAAATTTGACTAGGGTTCAGTAACCCTCCTGAGAAAAATACGTTTCAAAAATTTTTTGTAGAAAAAATTGGATTTTGAGAATCACTCATGTTAAACTACATATTTTTTTTTGATTGCTCATACTAAACTGAACCTATGTATTGCTCATATTTAAGAAGAGATTGCTCATATTAAAATGACATTAAAAATCCCCAAATTTCTGCAGAAGTATAGTCGAAAAAGCGGTTGTAAATGCGAAATACGAAATTCCGGGAAGCAATGTGAAAATTGTGGAAATCAATGAGAAAAGTTTGGATGATTCGAGTTTTTGTGTGATTGAAAAAAAGGAGAAGAATTGTGAGAATACCAAAGATGATTGAATAAATACTGTATTTTCTGTGGTACTGTAATGAATGCCACGTGGATGTTTTATTCACAAATCAGCTGCTCTCTTACAAATCGCTGGTTGCCACGTGTCACAATTCGACGAAATCCAATCGCCCCGCCCATTTTCAGCCAAAACCATACTGTAACAATTTCCAGTCGCTTGATTTTCAGTCACATTTCCAGAATAATCCCAAGCACTTCCATCCAACCAAGTGTCCGGAAAAATGGCGCCAATTCCCGCGGCCGTCAAATTTTTGAGCCCAGAACTCGCGGGAGCATTGAAAATATTGTACCAAATGAAGGTGTTCTCGTAGTAGCTGTGAATCGAGGCCAACTGGGCACCATGCAGTTTTCCGCAAGCATTCCGCGCTTCCGCTTGGCTCAATTTTCCGCTCAGCGAAAAATAGCAATTCTGGCCGTACTTTGCCGCACAGTTTTGATCTACCTCACAAAAATAGCTGAAATTTTCGCGTTCGCAATCGGCGCTCAACCATTTCCCGCCGCCGTTGTTTTCCGTCGACAAATAGATGCATTTGCCACGTGTCACATCGGGCATTGCCACGTCGAAATTACTGTAATAGTAGACTGCCACGTGGAAATCGTCCCAAACACATTTGGATAGATCTGCGGCTTGGCATTCGAGACCAATCCAGATGTTTTTTGTGGCGGAAGAGGAGTTTAGAGCGATTTGTGTGAGCGCTGAGTTATCCTGGAATGAATCACTGTAGATTTTCGAAAAGCTCTCGGAATTCCCTAGGTACAGTAGTCTAGGGTTACTGTAGGTTTCGGTGAATTTTCGTCGCAAAAATGTTATTTTTGCAGTTTGGATTACAATTTTCTACAAAATTGACTACAGTAATCTAGTGTTACTGAGGATTTTGCAAGTTTTAGAGCTACTGAATACTCTGAAACATTTGCAGTTCGGGTTACTGTAGGGTTGTTTTGAAGCTTTTAAAATTCTCTACAAAACGAGATACAGTAGTTCAGGGTTACTGTAGGTTTCGGTGAATTTTCGTCGCAAAAATGTTATTTTTGCAGTTTGGATTACTATAAGTCTATTTTGAATAGCTTTTAAAATTTTCTACAAAACGAGGTACAGTAGTCCAGGGTTACTGTAGGTTTCGGTGAATTTTCGTCGCAAAAATGTTATTTTTGCAGTTTGGATTACTATAAGTCTATTTTGAATAGCTTTTAAAATTTTCTACAAAACGAGGTACAGTAGTCCAGGGTTACTGTAGGTTTTGGTGAATTTTCGTCGCAAAATGTTATTTTTGCAGTTTGGATTACTGTAGGATTGTTTTGAAGCTCTACAAAATTGACTACAGTAATCTAGTGTTACTGTAGATTTTGCAAGAAAACATTTGCAGTTCGGGTTACTGTAGTTGATCTAGATTTTTTGCAGTTTGGCTCAAGGCTCTTTAAGTTTCTACAGTAACCCCCGAGCTGCAAAATGTTGGCGCCAACTCACAATCGACGTTCTCGAAGTCACCAAATTTCCTCCCATAAGATTGCACTGTCTTTCAGCATCGCCACGTGAAGCTGGCTCGGTGATTAGCTGGAAATTGAAGAGCTAAAAATGGGCTCAGGCTTTTTGCGGGCTTCAATAAGCTTCTGATACCTTAAGGGAGCTCTCAATGACTTTAGTGGGCTTTAGGCTCAAGTAGCCTGGGCTTTTTTAGGGGCTTCAAAAGATTTTCAAAAAAAAATAACCAGCCTTAACACATTTCTGATTATTGATCAGCTGAAATCCAGAAATACACTGCGAATCTACAGTTCTCACGAAATAAAGTAGAAAAACTAGAAAAATCGAAAAATTTTGCATAGTTTTTGATTTTTGTGTTATCAATTTCTTTCGCTCACAGAAAATTTGATGATAAAATGGTCAAAAAGTATGATTTCACTGATAATACCAAACTTAACTAGATTTTATTTATTTGGGTTTTTTTCAGAAAAATTCTGAAACGTGGATTTTTCTAACTAGAAACTTGGAAATTCTCTTTTTTGAGCAGGTCGACTGAAATTTTCTTGATATTTTTTTGAAACGTATTAAATTTGGGGTGGATTTTTCTGTGCTGTTGAAATTCATCAAAACTTGGACCGTACTGCAAGAAAACTCTAAATGAACTACAGTAACTCGAACTGCAAAAAAAAAATTCACAGGAAAATCCACGTATTTTGTGTCTAGCTCAATTTACCACTGCAAAATCATACGATAAATCGTTCATTTTTCTCAAAAAAACTCAAAAATTGTCACTTCCACACCTTCGGTGGCTGATTCGAACCACCGGACGATTTCGTTCCTGTTCCATCCGAACTTTCTCCATTCTTCCTCTTTCCCTTCTTCCTCAACTTCAACTTCCAAAACAAAAATCCACCAATTAACGCGCAAACAATCATCAAAACCAAAACCACAATTATAATTATAAGCATCATATAATCTGAGCAATCCTCGCATTTTCTACAAAATCCCGAAAATTCGCGAATTTTCCCATTTTTGATTGCTGTGAAGGAAGTTTGAGTTGTCTTTTGACAAATTAGATTTGAATCTTCACAGTCTTCTGAATTTTGGCATGGTAAAAGGCCAGATTTATCTGGGAGAATTTGATGTTTGTCAGGTGCTGCAACAATCATATTTTTTTTTAATTTCAGCATAAAAATTCTGAAAATATTCACCTTTGAAGCAAAACTTATAAAACTCATCGAAATTGCTCTTCTCCTCTCGTAAACTATAAATATTGTCGCAAAATTCACCAGCTCCGTCACAATCTCCATTTTTCGCGCATTTTTTCAATTCATCTCGATGTTTTCCGGATTTCCAGTCGACTGGCAGATATTTGGAGATTTCTTGATTTTTCGCGTCGAAATCGAGGTTTTTGAAGAGCGAGGAGAAGGTGAAAGAGATTGGCTTGGCTGAAATTTGGACTTTATTTTTGAAAAACATACTCTCTAGACGTTCGTCCTAGACAAATAGGTTCTCTAGGCGCGGGACCTTGACAGAGGGGTTCTCAAGGCGTGGCTGCTTGAAAACTACGCTCTCAAGGCGTGGCTGCTTGACAGAGAAGCTCTGAATGCGCGGCTGCTTGAAAACTACGCTCTCAAGGCGCGGCTGCTTGACAGAGAGGCTCTCAAGACGCGGGTCCTAGACAACAAGGTTCTCTAGGCGCGGCTGCTTGAAAACGAGGCTCTCAAGGCGCGGCTCCTTGACAATTAGATTTTCTAGGCTCAGCTGCTTGGCGAGATGTGTCGAAAATTTCCACAGTAACCCCGAACTGCAAAAAAACTGCAAAACCCCGCCCACCTTCAACACAAAGTCCTTCATAAGTTTTGCGAAGTCCAAATCCAGGCGGTGCCGAATCCGGAATATATCTAGTCCATCTCAAAAGTGCTCCACTATACGCAAACTGTTTTCCACAAATCGAATTCACATCCAATTTTCGACAATCACTATCCAAATCGCAAAATCCGATATTGTGTGTATTGGAGCGCGTTTGAAGTTGTTCGACTCCACTGTAGTTTGGTGGCTCGGGTTCTGCAAATTGCGAATTTTCAGTCGCGTGCGGCTGTGCGTCGCGGTCGGTTGGAAAATCCACGTGGCCCCCCAAAAACTAACTCTTATAGCAAAATTTCACATTTTTGTCGGCAAACGTCCAATTTCTATAGTCATAGTCACAATTATTCGCATTACACTGCATTGTGAAATTCCCATCTCTCGCTGAAAATTGTTGACATTTTAGTCTCTGAAATTTCCTCCACTCACTTCCACCCTCGAATTCCGGATTCAAAACATTTCCGCAAAAATGTTCGAAATTCTTGCAATCCGAATTTTTCGCGCAATGCGGGATTTCATCAGTAAGGTAATTCGGATCTGAAAATACTTATAATACTTTTTCGATGAAAAATCTGGGAGAAAACTGACTTGTTGGCAAATATTCTTTGGGTACAGTTCCATTTTTGTATTGATCAAACCATAAATGACCGATTGGGATTGCTGAAAATGGGAAATTCTCACGAAATTTCAGTCAGAAACAAAAAAATCAGCAAAAACCTGTTTTTTCCTAGGAAAATATATTTCCAGGCTGAAATTTCGTGCTGAAATCACTGGAAATCATCAATTTCCTCGTTTTTAACGCGAAATTTCAGTCAGAAACACAAAAATTCGTCTGAAAATCATGAATTCTTTGTTTTTCAGCAAAAACCTGTTTTTTTACTAGAACAACAACGTTCCAGGCTAGAATTTTGTGCTGAAATCCCTGGAAATCATCACTTTCCTCGTTTTGAGCGCAAAATTTCAGCCCCAGAGCTGAAAAACCCAAAAAAAAACCCTCGAAAAAATGTTTGTGCGTCAAATAAAATGCAAAGTACGCAACGGGTGTGCAAACACCGTTGTCAACTACAGTAGTAATTTCGCATTTTTCTGTTTTCAGAATGGCGCACGCGCACTCACGACAAACATAAAATTCCGTGTCCGATTCGATCGGATAGATATATTTGCGATGTGAAAGATACATGCTAACGTGGTGTCTTATATATGCGGGAGAATCTGTCACATAAAACCGGGAGAGAAATTTCGAAGCCAGTCCGGTCAGTTTACACGGTGATTTATTCGCTGGAAATTTTTTTTCGGTGGATTTTTTTGCAAAATTTCCCATTTCCAGACAACTCACGACAGCAGAATTCTTGCTCATCTGGATTTCGATACCGAATTCCGATTGTACAATTCGGATCATTTTGAAGCGGCTCACCGGCTGGACAATCGGTCTAAAAATCATTTTTTTTGTTCGCAGAGATCAAAATCGCTGGAAACTCACAGTTTGCAATGAATAACACGTGCAGATAGCTGAAAAAGAGGTATGTTTTATTGCGGCTGCCACGTCATAACTACATTTTCGGTAATTCCGACTTACTGTAGAAAACCAAGAAAAATTGAACCAATCTCATTGATTTCTGAGATTTGGGAAACTAAAAAATGAACACATTTTATGAGATTTTTTTCGAGAAGAAATTTGAAAGTTCACGCTGAAAAAAAATTTTGAATTTTTGGCGCGCGAAATGAAAATTTAAAAAAAATGTGCAAACACGAGAAAATCTGTAGACACCAAACTCTACGCGCAAAGACCTACAGTACCTTTGCAGGAAAAGTTGCGAAAAAAAAGATTTGATTTGATTATAGAATTTGAAAGTGATGACAAGGAACAGGGTCAAAGTTTTTCTAAACTAGAGAAAATCGGGATTTTTTCTAGTTTGTAGAAAACTTTGACCCTAATATCAATGTTCTCTTGTAATAACTAGAAAAAAAAATTCTGCAGGAATTTTGAGGCACAGAAAAATGGGCGGAGCTTATTTTGTAGGATCAAAGTTACGGCCTTTCAAAAATAGGGAAAATTGCAAGTTGAGAGAGACGCAGAGAGAGAAAAACACCAATTCCATTTGCAGTTCGATTCCTCGTTTCGAGACCAAGCGCGGGAAACATGTTTTTCAAATATTTTCAAATTCAAAAACGTTTCCCGCGCTTGGTTTCGAAACGATAGATCAAATTATTTGTGAATTTCGTGTTTTGGATTACTTTTTGAAGAATTTTTCTCGATTTCTCTGTGTCTCTCTCGATTTACCCTGTGAAAGGCCGTGATGTGGAACTTGAAGGCACTGACAGAATTTTCCCGATTTTTGAGAAAACAAAAAAAATCATCTGAATAATAATGGAAAAAATTATTTATTTCCAACAAAAAAAGCACAACACGAATCCCAGAAAAAACAATTATTTGGGATGACAACTTCCATAGATGGACGGCGGCCAAACGAACCACGGCTTCCGGCAATATTGTCCTTTCGGACACGCACTGTCAGTGATACAAGTTTGAGCCAAAGAATAGGCGAAGAGCATAGCGAGCAGAATGAAGAATCTCATTTTATGATGAGAAATGGTGAAAATATTATGTTGGGATTCGGGTTTTAAAGATTTTTTCTAGGAAAAAAACAAATGATTTGATTATTGGAAATTCGATGGAATTGGGGAGGGGGCGAATTTTTTTTTCAAAAAAAATTTTGCATCATCGTGATCTACTTCTACCCTAAAATCCGTAGGATGCTGCATTCTGAAAGAAAAAAGTGTTTGTAAATGCCACGCGGCACAATTTTATTTTGAAGAAATGTAAAATTTCCAAGTTTTGAATCACAAAAAAATGTTGTTCTAAAATTTTGAACGTTCAAAAAAAATTTTTTTTCGAGAAAACTTTGCTCCCGCATCCATCTTAATTGCATTTCAACAATCGAATCATATCAATTTCAAGAATCTATAAAATCTAAATTCCAACACAACACTTTCATCATCGAAAATGAGAATCATCGTTGTTTTCTGCATGATTTTCGCCTATTCCATGGCTTATTTCATCGGTCAAGAATGCAAAGTGGATTCGGATTGTCCATCTGGTCAAAAATGTGTGATTCCGTGGTTCAAAGTTTGGGGATATTGCCATTAATCATCATTTCGAAGTTGTATTCTTTCTCGAAAATAAAGTTTTTGCATTTCAGTTGATGTGAGGAAAATTCTGATTTTCTAGAAAAAATTTTGAATTTTAGAGTACAGCACTGCAAAATTATAAGATTACAGTAGTTCAAACTGCAAAAACAATTTTGTAGAAGTAGGTACTGTAGTAATCTGAAGTGCAAAGGATTACAGTACACAGAAATGCAAAATTCTCAAGATTTTTTGAGACATACAGTAATCCGAACTGCAAAAAATCAATAGACTTTTTTGAAAAAAAAGAACAACAGTACTGCAAATTCTAGAGACACCTACAGTAATCCGAACTGCAAATTCCTGGATTTTTCTGAAAAGATTACAGTCGAAACTGCAGTTCTAATTGACTACAGTACTCAGACTGCAAAATCTTGGTAATTTTTCTAGAAGAGCTATCTCTAAATTACAGTACAAAAAAAAATCATTTATTACAGTAACCCGTGTGAAACAAAAATCCATACATAATTTATTTATAAGCCTTGAGATTCGACAAACTGAGATCGTTTTCCGTCAGGAATGGTTCCTAATTTTACCATGGATGACGTCATAGATGAATTTTTCAAAAAAAAATGTCTTAAAAACGAAGCAACAACCCAAAAATTTGTTTTGTTTGAAAAAACCTTCGTTCAAATTATTTTAAAAAAAATAAGATTAATTTTTGCGTGACCTACTTTATCAAACGTGTTCCACATTTCTGCCTATAAAATGCTTGGTTAGCGCAGGAAAAATCAGTTTTTATAGCTTTAGCATCCAAAAAACAGCGAAAGCCCCAATGCAATCACTAAATTGCACCGTATTTGGAATATTGGCTATTATCGCAATTTTATTTGCTATTCTAATTATCGTCAAAATCAAGACACAAATTGGATTTTTGGCAAAATCTTATCAACCATTTGTTTTCTGGATATCTACTTTCGTTTTGATACTTGCATTATTGGCTGTTATTTTATCAGCAACAATGATAGGTATTGAAACTTTGAATGCAAAAACTACTGTGGAAAAATATAAAGAAGGTAATTAATTATTATTTCCAAACTGATTCAAAAATGTTTTGGAAATTTCAGAGACTACAACAACTCTTTTAAATTCGCATAAAACAATATCGGATGCAATCGATGAAGATGCTGTCGAAAAATGTGTTGACGATGTGAAGCGAATTGTTAAAACCGATGCTCCATTCAATGCAATGGTAAACAAATTCAGTTTTGATGAAGTCAAAGAGGTAAATGCGAAAACTGAGATTTAAAAAAAAACTTTTTATTTCAGAAACACCAAGATGCTAAAAGACAATTGGAGGATCGCAATGATTTGTTTTCGGATGTTTCTCAGGTTTTCTACAATCTAAAATGTAATACATTGTCTGACACAACTAGAAATGCAATGAAAACTATCGGAGAGACTCTTTATAACATGGATCAATCCATAAAATCTGATCTTTTCGGAAAACTTATTAACACAATCGACGAATCTGTGACGAAAATAAAAAAAGAACTTCGAAAAATATATTTCGATGATGATGAAATCGATAGTTCGTTGTTAGAACCTATGACCGAAGATTTGGAAGCTCTCAAGGTATATTATGCTCACAAAAAGTATCTTTTGAGGGAACGGACTCACAGGGGTTTTTTCACTACCGAGTCAATGCAAAATTGTAATCGAGCAAATAGGCTCCGCCTATCTTTTTCCGCACAGACATGTGGGCGGAGCTTAGGTTTTCAGATTTTCAAAAAGAAAATTGAAAAACCCTTTGGCTCAAAAGACACACAAATAAAAAGAAAAAAGTCGGGCTATATGTGTGTTTGCAGCGACCGACATCTCGCGAGGCCGGCCACACGCTATTGTTTTTTTTGTCGACCACGTAGCGTGCTGTTTGCGGAGGTTTTTTGTCGTCAGATAAAATGTTTTGTACGTGATTAATTCTCGGTAGTAATAAAACCCCTGTGGACTGAAAAAAAATGATAATTTATAACAAATCAATATTTAAAAAAAAATAGAACCGAATGTTTTCAGGAGAAAATCACTAAAATGATAGAATTCGATGAGAAACCAACAAGAATAATGTTTATCATATTCTTGGTTGTTTATGGTATCTATTCATCTGCTTCGATTATTACAACTTCAATTGCAATTGTTGGATGTGTCAAGTGGTTTCGAAAACGATCCGAACCAACGAAACTTATGACTTATCCAGTTTATGCAATGGTTCTTTTGCTTTTCCTCACTTCAATCACATTTCTTTTCTTTTATTTGGAAATTATTGAAGATTTGAATATTTGTGGTGTTCAACAGAATGATCAAATGTGAGATTTAACCCTAACAATCGAAAAATCTCTTCCAATATTTGATCTTTCAGCTTTTTTGATTCTGTATGTCCATCTTCAAATGCCACATTCTTCTCAACTCCCAAATCAACCAATAGTTTTTCGAGCAAAGCAGTTGGCGAAATATTGAAATTCGACCGGTTATCATTTGAATTTTCTTTCAGACTCCAGAACAGTTTAAAATCGATTGTTATTCCGGATGATTTGAGATCGAATTATGACACAATCGGAAAACTTGCTAATGATTTGTCCAAAGTGAAGAACGATTGTACATTCAATAAGGATTATATCACTTATTTGGATCGTCTTCACACATTATTGGAAAAGAATGTTCAAAGTCATTGGGAATTACCAGAATCAATTTGCGAAAATGGACAAGATCGATACAAAACCCTCATTTGCAAATTTCTCAGTGGCTATTGAAAAAATCGCTTGTGGATATAAATGTAAGGATTTTTAAAATCGATTTCTTCCTCAAAATTTCCATAGCAAAGCGATGCCACGTGAAAACCCTTTTGGAAACATCTAGATATTTCCTGTCAAAAAAAATCAAAATTACTCCGGGAGAATTACACGAAATACATTTCGTGGTGGGACACACATGTCGATTTGGCAAATACCGAATGGGTTCGCAAAATGCCTCCGAAGGCATTTTCGAATGCCTCCGCAAAATGCCTTCGCGGTACCAAATCGAAAAGCCTCCGCGAATTCAAAATGAATCCGCGGTTCATATTCCAAAAATGTCGAAATGCCTCCGGGGTTTCAAAATGACTTCGCGCCACCAAATCAAAATGCCTTCGCAAATTCTAAATGACTTCGCGGTGAATATTTTGAGACTGTCAAAATGGGTCCGCGAAACAAGGCCTTTCAACACGTTTTGAGCTACAAATTTCAATTGTTATTTTCCAGATTTTTTTAAAGTCTGAAAAAAGGAGAAATTTTTTTCAATATTTTGATTGTTCAAGTTCCAAATTTAGGCCTAGGCTTAGTTAACGTTTTTAAATGTAGTTTTGAATGTTTCCTGCACCTTTCTGGGCGTTTAACTAAGCCTAAGCCTAATATCCGAACTTGTATAACCAAACTATCGTCTAAGTTTCTAGGCTTAGGCTTAGTGAACGCCTTGAAAATGATAATTCTCATTGAAAATCAACTTTTTGGCCAAAAATGTGTTGAAAAGTACACCTTGTTCGCGAAGTCATTTTGACATTCTTGAAATTTTTACCGCGGAGTCATTTAGAATTCGCGGAGGCATTTTGATTTGATAGCGCGGAGTCATTTTGAAGCCCCGGAGGCATTTCGACATTTTTGAAATATCGAGCGCGGAGTCATTTGGAATTCGCGGAGGCTTTTTGATTTGGTAGCGCGAAGGCATTTTGCGGAGGCATTCGAAAATGCCTCCGGAGGCATTTCGCGAACCCATTCGGTATTTGCCGTCGATTTACGGCGCCTCCCTTGATTTTATTTTTTTCGTTTTTTTCCCGGAAAATGTTGAAAAAGGGGAAAAAGGGGAAAAAGGGAAATGTGCCGATTATAAATTATTGACTTTTCAGAAGGCCAACTTTGTTTGCAACCACATCTATGAATATGGTCAAGGAATTTGTATTTTGGCTGGAGATATCTTGGATATTTATACAACTTCGGTATATTTATTGCTTATGGCACAATTGTTCTCAATTCTCGCAAATAGTTTTTTCTGTATGATGGCTGAATGCTGGAAGAAACATGATGAAATGTTGAAGGAGAATTCGAGAAAAGAGAAGGAGAGAATTGAAAAGCTTGAAAAAGAAGCGGTTGAAAGAATCAAAGAGAAGAAAGCTAAACTCGGCACACCGCTACAATTTTCGGATCAAAACCAACAATTGGATGAGAAACTGAAAGAAAGGTCAATTGTTTTTCCTCTATTGTTTATCGTCTAATGTTTTTCCTCTATCTTAGTGTTTATCGTTTTTAGTGTTTATCCTCTATAATGTTTTTCGTTTTTTAAAGGTGTTTTCAAAAATTTTCTGGCAAGATTTTCGGCCAAGCAGAATTTGATGAGAGGTCTGAAATTTCAGATCAGAATCACGTGATTTTCACGTGAAAATCAAAATTTTCAAAAAATTTCTAGTTTTTTGCTACAAATGTTTTCAGACATGCTGAAAACGATGGGATAACTGAAATTTTGAGAATTTCAGCTTTTCAACCAGAATCACGTGATTTTCACGTGAAAATTGAAATTTTCAAAAAATTTCTAGTTTTTTGCTACAAATGTTTTCAGACATGCTGAAAACGATGGGATGACTGAAATTTCAAGATAATCAAACTATAGACGTGTTCAAAAGACGACAAAAATCAAACTGAACTTTTTCAAAATAAAATTCATATAAAATTTAAATTAAAATCATTTAAAATCCAGCGTTTGGCGGAGGCGATTCCTGCGGTCGGACGATTAAACCTGAAAAAATCGAATAAATCATAATTCTAGTTTTTCAATTTTTTTCTGGAAAATTGTGGGAACTAGAACTACGTTCCTAACCCAAGTTTGATAACTTTTTGGAAGAAAACTATATCAGTATTGTTATAAGGCTCTAGGGAAATGTTTAATTTCATTATAATCCTATAGGAGTAAGCCACTGTTGGAAAATTGGAAGCTAATTTTAAGAGAGAACTTGGTTCTAGGATTTACAGGGAAAATGTCCGTATTTCTTGAGATCTGATTAAATCTTATTGATAAAAGAAATTTCAGGCCCAAAATCAGGGCTTTTTATTAGATTTTAGATTTCAAGCTTGAAATCTAAGATTTTCCTCAAACTCCATGCCTGAAATCTGGGCTATTTCTTAGATTTTTGATTGCAGGCCTGAAATCTGAGCTTTTTCTCAAATTTCAAACCTGAAACCTACGCTATAGGTTTTTAATTTAAAACTTTATGATTTTTGGCTGAAATTCTAGCTTTTACTCAACCCAAAAGCTCGTACTTTCGCATTTCGAGCTTTTGGGTTCAGGAAAAGCTAAAACTTTCAGTTTTTCAAAAATTTTATTTGATTTTTCCCCAAAACCATCCCAAAATACTTACATTTCAATCAAAATCCCTTGTCGAATCCATCAATTGTTGAGCTGACTGCCGAAATCTGGAAAAATACATTTTTCTCTCTAAATTTTGAATAAAAATTTAAAAAAAAATAAACTTACATTTCGATATTCGTCCTATGTTGTTGTTGCATTTGGTGCTGATCTGCAAAAAATAAATAGATAAAAGTGAATAGGTTCCAATAGTGAATTCTCTCTAAAACTCTTCAATAGGGCTGGAATTGAGTCACAAATAAGTGTGAAAATCGACAAAATTCAACGTAAAAACGGAAGATTCCAGATTTTTCAATTGAAAATTAGATAAAACTAGTTATACTCTAGGTGAGAGTGAGAAATCGTGAAACATTTCACTTGGAAAAATCATGAAAACCCCATAATTTGTAAAATAACTCACATTTTTATCGAATTCTCCATAATTTCGTCGATTTCGTCGTCTTCGCAGTCGGTGTGCGACTCCTTCTCATCTGTAAAAAATACTCATCAAAAAATCAAGTCACAAAAATAAGTTTTCAACAGAAAAAAAGCTTTTCAAGCGTAAAAACTGGAAAAAAAAAAGAAAAAATTGGCCTAAAATAATTGGCAAACATCCAATTGTTGGTATCCTAGGCCATTGGCCGATGTTCCTTGAAATTTTTAGGCCATCATTCAATTTATTTTTTTCTTTTTTTTTCGTTTTTTCTTGTGTTTTCCTCGTTTCATATAGAAATTGTATATTTAATGCTGCGAAAAACACATAAAACGTGTTTCCCGTATAAAATCACAGATGAAATTTCATGAAAACTTTGAAATTGACCTATTTCGCATGAATTTAGGCCAAAAAACTGAAATGTTCATTTTTTGATTTTTTTTTAAATTTTTTGATAATAGAACGACGTTACTTTGTAGTTTCACTCAATTTCAGCCCTATTAAAGAGTTTTAGGAGAGAATTCACTATTGGAACCTATTCACTTTTATCTTTATTTATTTAATCATCTATTTATTTTTTGCAGATATCTGATCTAGATCTAGATCAACCAAATGCAACAACAACATAGGACGAATATCGAAATGTAAGTTTATTTTTTTTTAAATTTTCATTCAAAATTTAGAGAGAAAATGTATTTTTCCAGATTTCGGCAGTCAGCTCAACAATTGATGGATTCGACAAGGGATTTTGATTGAAATGTAAGTATTTTGGGATGGTTTTGGGGAAAAATCAAATAAAATTTTGAAAAACTGAAAGTTTTAGCTTTTCCTGAACCCAAAAGCTCGAAATGCGAAAGTACGAGCTTTTGGGTTGAGTAAAAGCTAGAATTTCAGCCAAAAATCATAAAGTTTTAAATTAAAAACCTATAGCGTAGGTTTCAGGTTTGAAATTTGAGAAAAAGCTCAGATTTCAGGCCTGCAATCAAAAATCTAAGAAATAGCCCAGATTTCAGGCATGGAGTTTGAGGAAAATCTTAGATTTCAAGCTTGAAATCTAAAATCTAATAAAAAGCCCTGATTTTGGGCCTGAAATTTCTTTTATCAATAAGATTTAATCAGATCTCAAGAAATACGGACATTTTCCCTGTAAATCCTAGAACCAAGTTCTCTCTTAAAATTAGCTTCCAATTTTCCAACAGTGGCTTACTCCTATAGGATTATAATGAAATTAAACATTTCCCTAGAGCCTTATAACAATACTGATATAGTTTTCTTCCAAAAAAGTTATCAAACTTGGGTTAGGAACGTAGTTCTAGTTCCCACAATTTTCCAGAAAAAAATTGAAAAACTAGAATTATGATTTATTCGATTTTTTCAGGTTTAATCGTCCGACCGCAGGAATCGCCTCCGCCAAACGCTGGATTTTAAATGATTTTAATTTAAATTTTATATGAATTTTATTTTGAAAAAGTTCAGTTTGATTTTTGTCGTCTTTTGAACACGTCTATAGTTTGATTATCTTGAAATTTCAGTCATCCCATCGTTTTCAGCATGTCTGAAAACATTTGTAGCAAAAAACTAGAAATTTTTTGAAAATTTCAATTTTCACGTGAAAATCACGTGATTCTAGTTGAAAAGCTGAAATTCTCAAAATTTCAGTTATCCCATCGTTTTCAGCATGTCTGAAAACATTTGTAGCAAAAAACTAGAAATTTTTTGAAAATTTTAATTTTCACGTGAAAATCACGTGATTCTGGTTGAAAAGCTGAAATTCTCAAAATTTCAGTTATCCCATCGTTTTCAGCATGTCTGAAAACATTTGTAGCAAAAAACTAGAAATTTTTTGAAAATTTTGATTTTCACGTGATTCTGATCTGAAATTCCTGAAATTTCAGACCTCTCATCAAATTCTGCTTGGCCGAAAATCTTGCCAGAAAATTTTTTGAAAACACCTTTAAAAAACGAAAAACATTATAGAGGATAAACACTAAAAACGATAAACACTAAGATAGAGGAAAAACATTAGACGATAAACAATAGAGGAAAAACAATTGACCGAAAGAAACGAAAGAAAAATATCAAGATGCCAAAGATGAGGCGAATGATTTGGTTGATGATAGATTGGTTCGAGCAAGAGGATTGGATTTCAACTAGAAATTCTTTTGCAATGAAATGTTTTATTGTGGAGTTGTTGTTTTTTTTTCTTAAACTAGTATATTTTATTATGGGATAAGTGACATTGGAGAGAATTCTCAGAGTTCCCATATGTTACATATACTTTATGGGGATTCAAGTCGAAAAAAAAAACATTTTTACAAAAATTTTGAAACGTGTTCTATTTTTCTGGAATTTCACGTGTTCCACATATTTTCGCCCATAAAAATGGATGAAATCGAGATTTGAATCAGTTTGAATTTTGTATTTCTAACCAAGCTAGTCAAAAAATAGATGAATTATTCGAATGTTTCAATAATTGGTGCCTTCCTGTTTTTCTCAATTATATTTGGTTGTATTTTGATATGGTATATCATTCGAGAAAAGAAAAAGAAGAAAAAAGAAAAGGAAGAGGAGGAAAAAGATGAGAAAGAGGAAAAAAATAGAAATAAAGAATGACGAGGACCGCCTGCGAATTGTAGCATATTTAAGGAAAGAAGAGAAAAAGAAAAGGATAATGAGAAGAAGAGGAAACGAAATGGACATGGCAAATATTATAAGAAATATTTTGGTTGGATTTGTTTGACTGCTTTTATACTCGCTTTTTTATTATTGATTTACTCGAATCTTGGCGTTTTTTTGATTGAAAGATTGAAAAAATCAAAATAGAATTGATGAATTGGAAAATGGTAAGAATATCTTTGCTTGTAATATATAGAAATTATTTATTGATTTTTTAGAACCACGCAAAATCATCGGCAAATCAAATGAGACTTTGAAAAAAGCTCGAAAAAGCATTACGCAAACAACTGTCAATATTGACGATTTAGTTTCTGATGATGTATTCTTTATCAAATTAAACAAGTATTCATTTTACAATGATGTTTCAAATGTTAGTTTTCCAAAAATTCAATGCGGTATGAATTTTCAACGAACTTTTTACAGACATATAAAGAATGTCAAAGGAAAACCGAAAAAATCACCGATCAACAAACTAATGTGGAAAATGCTGTGTACTCGTGTTCTCTCTTGACTGTGGAACGTCGAGCTGAACTATACGGAGCCGCTACACATATACGAAGAATCGAAAAAATACTGAATGCTATCAGTAGCTATTTAACGAATGAGGTTGAACGTAGATTCTTGGCTTTCAATAATATATTCGAACTCGACAGCACATTGCTTCTGCAACAATTTGAAAACGATATAGATCAGCTCGTGGTTAGTTATTTCCGTAAAACTACATTTCAAGTCTTATTTTCAGAAATTCTGCGATGAATTGCTGAACCAATCAATAAAAATGGAAATGAGAACATTTTTCATCGTGTTTTTCATATTTTTCTTATTCTATTCATTGATTCTGGCAATTTTCATTGTTTTATCAATTCTTGGATATTTCATCTTGTTCAAAGAACCTCCAATTCCACCCCAACCCGTTATCGAACTTCCACCACGTGGATATGTGCCTGAAAAAACGGAAATTCCAATTCCGAAACCTAAACAATCGAAAATGCAGAATTTTGTGAATTATTCTTTGTATGGATCAATTTTGTTGTTATTCATCAGTTCTATCACATATCTTGTCATTTATTTGGAAGTTTTGGAACCAACAAATAATTGTGAATTCAAGAAGAATAATGATAGCATGTAAGCATTTTTTAAAAATTGAATTACAAATATTGATTTTATTATTAACATTTTCAGATCATTGATTTCAATTTGTCCAACACCAAATTCCGAATTCTTCTCGATTTTACCATTTGGAAGCAGTTTTTCACAAACAGGCCTTGAAAAAAGCTTGAATTTTTCTGAAAATAAAAAGAGATTCGACGAAAAGGCGGACAAATCATTGGGGTATAAGGAATATGAATTTAATGATGTTGGAATTGATTTTAATGAAGAAGTTGGAAAGATGTCATATTTCGGAAAAGGGTTTGAAAATCTGAAAGAAATAAATTGCACAGATGAAATACTTGATGACGCATCTACTGATTTCAAACATCTTCATTCATCGTTGGTCGAATTGAACTCGTCAATTGTGAAATTTAATGAGAAAAGAATAAAAAGCAAACATTTCATAGATATGTTTGAAACACATCCATTTGATGAAATTCGACAAGGAACAAGAATTGCTGTTGCACCAATTCTTGTGAGTTTTTTATTATTTTTCTATTTTTTTCAATAACCTCATTTAATTATAGGCTGCAAATTTCAAATGCACAACAATCTATGAATTGATTTATGCAAATTGTCGATTGAATGGATTTGTTTTGGATGATTTTGTTTTTTATGTCATTATTCAACTCTCATCAAATACAATTGTCATCTTCTTCAATTTTGTAATTCTTGAATTGAAAAAAGTTATTCAATGCAAAACTCAAAATGGACGAAGTGAAAAGATTTGAAGTGTACAAAGTTAAGAAGGCGGAAATGATGAAGAAGAGAGAAAAAGACGATGAAGAAAGAATTTTGGATAGAAGATTGCTGGATCGATGTAAAAAAGAAAAAGAAGAAAAAGAAAAACGTGGAACTTAAAAAAATTGTTGGAAAAGGCTGAAGAACTTTTAGAAAGCGAAGAGAAGAAGAATTGGCCCGAAAAGCCTTAAAATCCCAATAAAATTTTTTAAAAAAATTGTTTTCTCTCTCATTTTTATTCTTCTAGTTTCCACCAAAACTTTTGGGTCAATTAGTGCTCAAATGAGAAAATGAGTTCGATTGTTGCCAAAATTCTTTTGTGGCAAAACATTTGTAAAATTTTTGCCCTCAAAATGCCACGTCACACAAGGGTAAAAATGGTACGCATTTTCCTATCGGCAGCAACTTATAGATCAAACAATTTTGCGAGACTTGACTTTACAAATTTTCCGAAAATTATAAATTGTGAATTTTTAGTAATTTGATAATATAATTTTTGAAAGCCAAGTTTCTATGAAAATATTGAAATTTCAAAACTTTTTTTGAGTTTCAGACTCATAAAATTTTTTGATATACCCATAAAAAGCGGGCGGAACCTTGCCATTTTGGCCCAACCCTCCAACTTTGAATTTTTTGTGCAGCAGCGGTTTTTCATTGTGAAAGGTTCCGTGTTTTTACCCTTGTGTGTCATGACTTTGGGAGCTATACAGTTCCTTTTATTTCAAAAAATGTACAAGAAAAATCTTCAGCTAAAATTTCAAGATAAACAATGACAATAATTTGAATTTTCAAAAAAAAACTCAAAAAATGTTTTTTTTTCACACGAATATAAACGTGTTCTATTTTTTTCTGGAATTTCACGTGTTCCACATATTTTCGCCCATAAAAATGGATGAAATCGAGATTTGAATCAGTTTGAATTTTGTATTTCTAACCAAGCTAGTCAAAAAATAGATGAATTATTCGAATGTTTCAATAATTGGTGCCTTCCTGTTTTTCTCAATTATATTTGGTTGTATTTTGATATGGTATATCATTCGAGAAAAGAAAAAGAAGAAAAAAAGAAAAGGAAGAGGAGGAAAAAGATGAGAAAGAGGAAAAACTAGAAATAAAGAATGACGGGGACCGCCTGCGAATTGTAGTATATTTAAGGAAAGAAGAGAAAAAAGAGAAGGATAATGAGAAGAAGAGAAAACGAAATGGACATGGCAAATATTATAAGAAATATTTTGGTTGGATTTGTTTGACTGCTTTTATACTCGCTTTTTTATTATTGATTTACTCGAATCTCGGTGTTTTTTGATTGAAAGATTGAAAAATCAAAATAGAATTGATGAATTGGAAAATGGTAGGAATATCTTCGCTTGTAATATATTGAAAGTAATCATTGATTTTTTCAGAACCAAGCAAAATCATCGGCAAATCGAATGAGATTTTGACAAAAGCTCGAGAAAGCATTGCGCAAAAAACTGTCAACATTGGCAATTTAGTTTCTGGTGATGTATTCTTTATCAAATTAAACAAGTATTCATTTTACGATGATGTTTTTAAGGTTAGTTTTCCAAAATTCATTGCGGTGTGAATTTTCAACGAACTTTTTACAGACATATGAAACATGTCGAGAGAAAACCAAAAAAATTTCCGATCAAAAAAGTGATGTGAAAAATGCTGTGAACTCGTGTTCTGGCTTGGCTGTGGAACGTCGAGCTGAATTAAACGGAGCCGCTACACATATACGAAGAATCGGGAAAATACTGGATGCTATCAGTAGCTATTTATCAAATGAGGTTGAAAGTAGATTCTTGGCTTTCGATAATATATTCTCAATTAACATAAAATTGCTTCTGCAACAATTTGAAAACGATATAGATCAGCTTTTGGTTAGTTATTCTTGTAAAAACAAATTTCAAGTCTTATTTTCAGAAATTCTGCGAGGAATTGCTGAACCAACCAATAAAAATGGAAATAAGAACACTTTTCATCGTGTTTTTCATATTTTTCTCATTATATTCATTGATTCTGGCAATTTTCATTGTTTTATCAATTCTTGGATATTTCATCTTGTTCAAAGAACCTCCAATTCCACCCGAAATGGTTATCGAACTTCCACCACGTGGATATGTGCCTGAAAAAACGGAAATTCCAATTCCCAAACCTAAACAATCGAAAATGCAAAATTTTGTGAAATATTCATTGTATGGATCAATTTTGTTGTTATTCATTAGTTCTATCACATATCTTGTCATTTATTTGGAAGTTTTGGAACCAACAAATAATTGTGCATTTAAGAAGAATAATGATAGCATGTAAGCAATTTTTGAATTTAATTACAAATATTGATTTTATTATTAACATTTTCAGATCATTGATTTCAATTTGTCCAACACCAAATTCCGAATTCTTCTCGATTTTACCATTTGGAAGCAGTTTTTCACAAACAGGCCTTGAAAAAAGCTTGAATTTTTCTGAAAATAAAAAGAGATTCGACGAAAAGGCGGACAAATCATTGGGGTATAAAGAATTTGAATTTGGTGATGTTGGAATTGATTTTGATGAAGAAGTTGAAAAGATGTCATATTTCGGAAAAGAGTTTGAAAATCTGAAAGAAATAAATTGCACAGATGAAATACTTGATGACGCATCCACTGATTTCGAACATCTTCATACATCATTGGTCGAATTGAACTCGTCAATTGTGAAATTTAATGAGAAAAGAATAAAAGCAAACATTTCATAGATATGTTTGAAACACATCCATTTGATGAAATTCGACGAGGAACAAGAATTGCTGTTGCACCAATTCTTGTGAGTTTTTTATTATTTTTCTATTTTTTCAATAACCTATTTCAATTTCAGGCTGCAAATTTCAAATGCACAAAAATCTATGAATTGATTTATGCAAATTGTCGATTGAATGGATTTGTTTTGGATGATTTTGTTTTTTATGTCATTATTCAACTCTCATCAAATACAATTGTCATCTTCTTCAATTTTGTAATTCTTGAATTGAAAAAGATATTCAATGCAAAACTAAAAATGGACGAAGTAAAAAGATTTGAAGTGTACAAAGTTAAGAAGGCGGAAATGATGAAGAAGAGAGAAAGAGACGATGAAGAGAGACGTTTGAATGGTGAAATTGAACGTATTGACCGTTGGAATGCAAATGAAATAGAGCACAACGAGAAATTGAAAAAAAAATTGGCTCGTGTGACGACAAATTTGAGCAAGAACAAATTGCGTTGCAACATGAGATCAATTTTGCTGAACGTGGTGTTCCGATTCCAGAAATGCAAATTGATGGCTGCCAAAATGGAATACTTCCAGAAGTTCCAGAAGAATAGTGTAAATCCGGCCGAAGAATTCGTACATCTTTATAGAATTTTGAAAATGAAGATGTTTTACTTGTGTGTGTTTTGTATTGATATAAGTTAGCCTAACTCGCTGGACCGCAAGCTCGTGAATGATTTTTGTTTAATTTATATGGCCTAGATTCTCCAATAAGCGGGAAAAACTAGTCCCCAATTTGAATTTATAAGAAAAATTGGGATGAAAATGCCACGTCACAACTCAGAAATCCAAATTTACTGAAAAAAAATGATGAAAAAACAGGCGGCCTAGATTTTTCAAGTGGAAAACTAGTCCCCAATTTGAATTTACAAGAAAATTGGGATAAAAAATGCCACGTCACAACTTTTAAATCTAAATTTATGAAATTAAATGATGCAATGGCAGGCGGCCTAGCTTCTCCACGATTAGGAAAACTAGTCCCCCAGTTTGGATTTACAAGAAAATTGGGATGAAAAAATGCTACGTCATGATCTCAGAAATCCAAATTCTATGAAATTAAAGATGGCCTAGCTTTTTAAAGTGGAAAACTAGTCCCCAACTTGAATTTACAAGAAAATTGGAATGAAAAATCGCAGATTTCAGCTCCAAAATTCGCAAAAAAAAAACAAACAAATTTCCAGAAAAAAAACATTTATTTTACAATTTCATACATTTTTTGGGGGTGGCTGGAAATTCCAGATTTTCAGTGTTTTTGTTCGCGCAAAAAATTAACAAAAGATTGATAGGCTCCTCCAAATCCATCGCCATTTGTCGCGCATCATCGTCGCTGATTTCGTCAGAAGCGGCCATTGATGAAAGGCGATCGTGCCTGAAGGGAATTTCGGCAGGGTTTTTGGTTGGGGAATGGGAATTTTCCGGTGATTTTATGCTCAAAAATCTGAATTTTCATCGATTTTTTGATGGAAAATCGATAATTTTCAAGCTCCCAGAGCTCATTTCCCTCATTTCCCCCAAATTTTCGCACTCTCACCATTTTTTGACTTTCGACGTAACTTCGTAGTGTCGTTTGGCAAATCGACTCTGTCGCATTGATTGCATTGTACAAATCATTGATGTATGGATAGAGATCATCGACGGCTCGAACATTCAATTTCAGCTGATCACAGCATGTGATGAAAATCTGGAAGGAGAAAATTACGATTTTTTTGGCGCCAAAACTGGATCTACATACAGTAACCCTCATCCTAGGCTTACATATTTACTATCAAAAAATGCGCCAAAATCTACAGTAATCTCACCTCAACAATCGACGCAATATTTTTCAAAATATTTCCCTGATCATCTTTGACCGTAATCGGTCGACCTTCTCGAATTCGCTCCAACGCAGCCGGGCAATGTAATCGATATTTTTTGGCGAATTCTTCGACGTTTGTTGCGCCTTTAAAAATCGGGGGTACTGTAGATCGAAAAATTTGCGATTTTTTTATACTAAATATGATTGTAATGCTTAGCCCTTTAACTACGGTATATGCAACAGTGTTTGCACATACCGTAGTTAACTTTAAAGGATCATTCAAATAAGTCATATTTGGTGTCAAAATATGGCAAATTTTCGCGCCAAAAACTACCGTACCTTGCACCAATCGCATCGCCACCTTATATTGATCGATCAATTTGAAACATTCGGTTTTGTATTCATCAGCTGAAACATGATCACGACTGAACATTTTCTCGAGACATTCCAAAGCATTGAGAACGGCGAAGAGTTCCGACAGATTTTCCATCTGAAAATTTGGAATTTTGGTGAAAAATTGGATTTAAAAATCATCGAAAACCTTGATTTTCAGCTCTTGGAGCTCAAAAACTCTAAATTGCGCTGGAAATCATGAAAAAATCAGATTTTTCGGCTCCTGGAGCTTCAATTTTATGAAAACCCTAATTGTTCATGTAAAAATCTTGATTTTCAGCTCTTGGAGCTCAAAAACTCTGAAATTCTGAAAATCATGAAAATCCTGTTTTTTCAGCTTCTGGAGCTTCAAATTTGTAAAAATTCTAATTTTTCATATAAAAATCATCGAAAATCTTGATTTTCAGCTCTTGGAGCTCAAAAACTCTGAATTGAGCTGGAAATCGTGAAAATAACAGATTTTTCGGCTTCTGGAGCTTCAAATTTGTGAAAATTCTAATTTTTCATGTAAAAATGTTGATTTTCAGCTCTTGGAGCTCAAAAACTCTGAAATTCTTCTGAAAATCATGAAAATCCTGTTTTTTCGGCTTCTGGAGCTTCAAATTTATAAAACCCTAATTTCTAATCGTAAAAATCCCGATTTTCAGCTCTTGGATCTCAAAAACTCTGAAATTCTGTCTGAAAATCATGAAAATCCTGTTTTTTCGGCTTCTGGGGCTTCAAATTTGTGAAAATTCTAATTTTTCATGTAAAAATCTTGATTTTCAGCTCAAAAACTCTGAAATTCTTCTGGAAATCATGAAAATCCTGTTTTTCGGCTTCTGGAGCTTCAAATTTGTGAAAATTCTAATTTTTCATGTAAAAATAATCGAAAATCTTGATTTTCAGCTCTTCGAGCTCAAAAACTCTGAAAATCATGAAAAAACTTGTTTTTTTGGCTGAAAGAGCTTGAAAATCTGTATTTTCATGTGTTAGAACTGAAATTCGATGATTTTTAATTAGAAAATTGCAAAACTCGTGAAAGTTTTTGTCTTCTGGAGCTTCAAATTATACAATTGTTTTGAAACAGTGAATTTTTCAAGAAGAAAAATTTCAAAATTTCACAATTTTCCAGGATTTTCAGCTCATATTTAGGCTGAAAATCCCGGATTTTCTAGTTCAAAATTGCATGATTTTCTGAATTTTAGGCTGAAAATTCCAGATTTTTCTCCAAAAAAATCGCCAACCTGTTCTCTTTCAGAATGATTATCGAAAAGTCGAACTTCTCTCATCAACACGGGATTGTTGGACATTTTCTGGAATGAAATTTGGCTGAAAATTCTGAAAAAAAATGATGAGAAAGTATAGAAAAGTGTTAAAAAACACAAAAATTACAAAATAATAATAATACCAAAAAAAATCAATAATTTATTATATTTACATCAAATTTGGCCCAATATTCAAATTTCCCGCGCATTTTCCAAATTAAAGTTGCATTAGAGCGTATTTGTGTTTTCTGGACACTTTTGACAGAATCATTCGACCATCGTAGGATAAAGAGGCAAAAGTCCAGGGATCGGCAGAAGACCAGGCACAAGCGTAGCTGAAAAAATTGAGCTGGAAATTCGGGAAAATCTGGAATTTTTCAGCCAAAAAATGAGCTAGAAATTTTGAGATTTGAAGCTTCAGAAGACAAAATTTCACGAGTTTTGCAATTTTATAATAAAAAAATCATAAAATTTCAGTTCTTACACATGAAAATTCAGATTTCCAAGCTCTAAGCAGAATTTTTCATGATTTTCAGAGTTTTTGAGCTCCAAGAGTTGTAAATCAAGGTTTTCGATTTGAAAAATAAGGATTTTCACAAATTTGAAGCTCCAGAAGCCGAAAAACAGGATTTTCATGATTTTCAGAAGATTTTCAGAGTTTCTGAGCTCCAAGAGATGAAAATCGAGATTTTCGATGTTTTTTACATGAAAAATTAGGATTTTCACAAATTTGAAGCTCCAGGAGCCGAAAAAACAGGATTTTCATGATTTTCAGAAGATTTTCAGAGTTTCTGAGCTCCAAGAGATGAAAATCGAGATTTTCGATGTTTTTTACATGAAAAAATAAAGATTTTCACAAATTTGAAGCTCCAGAAGCCGAAAAACAGGATTTTCATGATTTTCAGAAGATTTTCAGAGTTTCTGAGCTCCAAGAGATGAAAATCGAGATTTTCGATGTTTTTTACATGAAAAAATAAAGATTTTCACAAATTTGAAGCTCCAGAAGCCGAAAAACAGGATTTTCATGATTTTCAGAAGATTTTCAGAGTTTCTGAGCTCCAAGAGATGAAAATCGAGATTTTCGATGTTTTTTACATGAAAAATTAGGATTTTCACAAATTTGAAGCTCCAGGAGCCGAAAAAACAGGATTTTTATGATTTTCAGAAGAATTTCAGAGTTTTTGAGCTAAAAATTAAGGTTTTCGATGATTCTTACATGAAAAATGAAGATTTTCACAAATTTGAAGCTCCAGAAGCCGAAAAAACAGGATTTTTATGATTTTCAGAAGAATTTCAGAGTTTCTGAGCTCCAAGAGCTGAAAATCGAGATTTTCGATGTTTTTTACATGAAAAATAAGGATTTTCACAAATTTGAAGCTCCAAAAGCCGAAAAAACAGGATTTTCATGATTTTCAGTAGAATTTCAGAGTTTTTGAGCTGAAAATCAAGATTTTCAATGTTTTTTACATGAAAAATTAGGATTTTCACAAATTTGAAGCTCCAGGAGCCGAAAAAACAGGATTTTCATGATTTTCAGAAGATTTTCAGAGTTTCTGAGCTCCAAGAGCTGAAAATTAAGGTTTTCGATGATTTTTACATGAAAAATTAGGATTTTCACAAATTTGAAGCTCCAGAAGTCGAAAAACTACGAATTTCAGCTGAAAATATGATTTTCCCCCAAAATCTGACTCACACACTATCCTCATGCTCATCAATCCTCTCCAATGTTCCATCGCTCAATTTCTCAATATTCATCGATTTCTCCATTTCCTCCTCATCTTCCACCTCTTCTTCTTGCTCATTTTGCTCACTGCTCACACTTTGTGCACACGACAAAACGACGCAAGCGTCAGATCCGACGGAGAGCAGAAGTTGATCATGAACCGGGTGATATTTGACCTGCCAAACCCAGTGAGCGTGCGGATGAAGTGACATTAGGGCGGATTTGGACGATCTGGTGTCCCAAATTCGGATATATCCATCATCTCCACAAGTTGCGATGCTGAAATCAAAATTTCATGAAAAACTCCATTTTTTCTGCTCAAAAAAAATTTTTTGCGCAAAATTTTCTGAATTTTCCCTTCAGAATCTTCAATCTCAACTAATTTGCTTAAAATTTTCAACAAAATCCCACCAAAACTCGTAAAAAACGCGAAAAAACAAGAAATGACGCATCGAAAATAAAAAGAAAACAACGAGACTCCGCCGCTTGCCTGCGGTTTAGCGTGCGCGTGCGGAGTCTCGTTGTTTTATTTTTGTTTTCGTTGGCCCAAATTTCGGGTTTTCCAGCGTTTTTCATGGGGAAAACGGAATTTTTGCGAGGAATCGGGAAATTATTGGAAATTAGAAGTTTTCTGATGGGAAATTCAAGAATTCCCGTGAAAAAATGGGATTTTTTGAGGGGTTTTGAGGGTTATCTTCAAAATTTAGAGTTTTCGACCGTTTTTGATGGGCAAACGTGGGAAATTGAATAGGAAAAACCTGGAAAATCTAATTTTCGGACGAAAATTCAAAAATTCCGCTAGAAAACTCAAATTTTGAATCGAAAATGAGGTTTTAACGTTGGAAATCGACAATTTTTGGATTTTCCAAATTGCCACGTCATAGTTCACGTGTCTGGGGCTAAAATAGTCTAATTTTTGATGGAAATTCCTGATTCCATGTGAAAAATATCCCAAAATCACTCACACATGTTGTAAATTGGGATTAAAGTCCATACTTAGCGCGCGATGCGAATGTGCATTTGCGACTTTCAAAAAGTCGCGCGGTGTTCGCACATCAACACATCGCACATTTTTGCCGATGGTCAGTCCCAACATATTTCCCTCGTAGTGACTGCTCCATTTGGCGCTGTAGATTTCCGAGCCTTCTTCGTCGATTTTTATTGATTGATCTAGCTGGAAATATCCACGTATTTTGAGTCTAAATACGCCTAGGCTTGGGCTTTTTCGGCCCAGAATCTAGGCTTAGGCTCAAAAAACAGATTTTTTGGCCTAAAACTAAGGCTTTAATATAGGCCTAGTCTTGTTTGGTGTCAAAATACGTGGGAATTCTCAGTCGATTTGAATTATAGTTGGACATCGACTGAATGTCTGTTTTTTGAGCAAGTGAATTGAAATATTGGGTTTTAATCTTTTTCATAGCATAGACTGGCCCAAGACAATTCGAATGATATCAATTTTCATGAATTTACGTTATCAATAAGTGATTTAGCGACGTTTAGGCTTATCGATTAAATGTCACTAAGTCACTTATCGATAACGTAAATTCATGAAAATTGATATCATTCGAATTGTCTTGGGCCAGTCTATGCTATGAATAAAATTAAAACCCAATATTTCAATTCACTTGCTCAAAAAACAGTCATTCAGTCGATGTCCAACTATAGTTGAGAATTCCACGTATTTTGACACCAAACAAGACTAGGCCTATATTAAGGCCTTAGTTTAAGCCTTAGTTTTGTTTTTCAAATGAGCTCTCACCTTCGGCTCATTGCTCATATCATAAATGGCGACAGTTTCGGCGCCAATCGCCACCGCTTTCATCGTCGTTTGATCCCAATCCAGACCATAATTTAGGCTGTCCAATTTGAGTTCCGATAACTTTTCGAGCGTTCGTTTATCCTCATCAATGTTCCAAATATTGAGAGCGAATTCGCCGTTGAGAGAAGAGTCTGAAAATTGATTTTTGAGTGATTTTTGGTGTGAAAAATACGAATTTCCACGGCAAAAATCAACTCACAATTCGCTGAACACGTGGCCAAAACGTGTGATTTGTGGGGGTGCGCGGAAATTGCGCGAACTTCGCCGGCCGGATGGCGATAGGATTTTGACATGAGCCGCGTCGCTTCCGGATCCACGTATAGTTTATTGACCTGAAATTAATTTGGGTTTTTTTGGGCTGAAAATCCAGTTCTAGACCTAAATTTATCGATTTTCGGCCTTGCCAGGCTTTAGATCTAGAGATTTTAGGCCTGAACTTCAGCCTAGTCAAGTTTGGCCTAAAAATCTTGAATTTTCGGGCCCTAAACTATATTGGGTTTAATTTTCAAGGCCTTAGGTCTAGTCTATGAAATTTAGGCCCGGATTTCAGGCTCAAAGCCTAAATTTTCAAGATTTAGGCCTTGTAAGCGTGTTTGGTGTCAAAAAATCGCAAATTTTTGGGCCTAAAGTTCAGTAGGACTGATTTTCAAGGCTTTGGGTCTAGTTTCAGAAATTTAGGCCTGAATTTCAGGCTGAAAGCCTAAATTTTCAAGATTTAGGCCTAAGCCTGTTTGGTCTCAAAAAACCCCAAATTTTTGGGCCTAAAGTTCAGTATGACTGATTTTCAAGGCCTTCTAGGCCCGGATTTCAGGCTCAAAGCCTAACTTTTCAAGATTTTTCAAGGCATAAGCTTGTTTGGTCTCAAAAAATCGCAAATTTCGGCTCCCAGGACACTTACCACATTATCCGCCTTGATGTTATTGGTGCCCACCAAAAACGACACATTTTCCTCGTCTCCCATAACCGATGTCATATTGCGCGCCTCGCAATCCATTCCAAACATCAGACATTCTGACATTCTCTGAAAATTCTAAAACTTTTCAGAATTTGGCTGGAATATTCTAGGTATTCTAACTGAAAATCACAGTTTTTTGCAAATTTTAAACAAAAAAAAATCAGAAAATTTAAAGCTTTATTACCAGAAAAATTTGAAAATCTCCTATTTTGAGCAAAAAAAATGTGATAACAAGAAACAACATTATTAAAGGGTTACTGTAGTCCTTAAAGACTGTAGTCCTTTACTGTAGTCCTTAAAGACTCTAAAATCATAACAAATAAACATGTGGCTAAATTATCGTTTCGAGACCTTGAAAAATTAGGGGATTCTAAAGGACCTAAGGGCCTTAAGGCCATAAGGAATCTAGAGACCTTAAGATCCTTAAAAAATCTAAAGGTTTTTAGAAATCTTAAGAATCCTAACCCTTAACAAAATACGTGTGATAAACAACACCCATAAATTGTAGCGAAAAATTGATGAGCAAAGTTGTGACGAGTAGAAACGAGAAGAAGGCTCGACAAATTTCGGCGTTGAAAATGAATCGAATTGGGCCGAGAGTTTGAAGATCGGTTGGGAGATCCGAGTTTGGCGGCAAACCGAGCCACGAAATGTTGGCTGCAACAAAAAATTGGGGGATTTTTGGAGGATTTTCAGGGCAAAAACTGAAATTTTGTAGATTTTGAGAGTTTCTTAAATGAGGTGATTCAAGTCGAAAAAAATAATAAAAAACATTTTTTTTTGTGACAAAAAAATCGATTCAGCAAATCACTGAAAATGTCAAAAAACTATATTTTTTCCTATATCTTGTTTTTTTTTAAATTTTTTGTTTATTTTTTATTTTTTCCTATGTTTTTCCATTACAATTTTGGAAAAAGTCGAAAAAATCTGAAATTTCAGAAAAAATGCGTCAATTTGAAATTTCAGATCTACAGTAGCTCTAAGCCTAAGCTTGTTTAGTCTCAAAAAATTCCAAATTTTCGCGCCCAAAATCCACAGTAACTCACCAGTAACTTTGAGCAAAAGCGCAAAAAACAGCGCCAACAAAATGGGTCCAAAATACTGAATTGCGGCGCAGCAAATGTATCGATAATAGCGGGTGATAAGTCCTTGAATCTCGTAATTTTTCACTTTTCCCGACTCGTTTCGCAAATCCGCCACTTTTTCGTAGGAAATATTGAGATGCGCCTGAAAAATTCAATTTTTTGTAATTTCTTGTAATTTTTGGTGCCACAAAATTACCAAAAATTCGAAAATTTCATTATTTTCATGTAAAATTGAACTCTGACGTTAAAAAATACCAGAAATTCAAATAATCAATTTTTTGTATTTTTCGGTGCCACAAAATTACCAAAAATTCAAAAATTTTATTATTTTCATGTAAAATTGAACTCTGACGTTGAAAAATACCAGAAATTCAAATAATCAATTTTTTGTAATTTCTTGTATTTTTCGGTGCCACGAAATTACCAAAATTTCGAAAATTTCTTTTTTTTTCATGTAAAATTGAACTCTGACGTTGAAAAATACCAGAAATTCAAATAATAAATTTTTTGTAATTTCTTGTATTTTTTGGTTCCACGAAATTACCAAAAATTCGAAAATTGCATTATTTTCATTTAAAATTGAACTCTGACGTTGAAAAATACGAGAAATTTGATAAATTCAATTTTTGTAATTTCTTGTATTTTTCGGTGCCACAAAATTACCAAAAATTCGAAAATTTCATTATTTTCATTTAAAATTGAACTCTGACGTTGAAAAATACCAGAAATTCAAATAATAAATTTTTTGTAATTTCTTGTATTTTTCGGCGTCACAAAATTACCAAAAATTCGAAAATTTCATTATTTTCATGTAAAATTGAACTCTGACGTTGAAAAAATACCACATATTCAAATAATCAATTTTTTGTAATTTCTTGTAATTGCCACAAAATTACCAGAAATTCACAATTTCTGTATTTTTCGACGTCAAAAAATACCAGAAATTCAATAAAAAATACCTGTAAATGCGAAACACGTGTCAAAAATTTGCTCAACAACCATCCCAAAATCAAATAAATCCTCAAAATATCGATTTGATCTTCCGATAATCTGCGAAAAAATGGATTTTCAACCAAAAATCGCTGGAACCAACTAACATTTTTCGTGGTCCTCTTACTAATTGATAAACTATTGGCTTGGAGAAGAATGCCAAAATGAAGGCGGGAAGAAGAAATGCGGCATGGTCGAAGAGTCTGGAATATTTTGAGATTTCAGATTTTTTAGGCTGAAATTTTTGAATTTTCAGATTTTTTTAGGCTGAAATTTTTGAATTTTCGGTCATTTTTCGGCCCAAAAAAACTCACTTTCGAATTTTTCCATCCATTTCAAGCGCTTTCAAATACATCAGTGCACATCGGAAATTCGGAAAAACCAGCATTGCACTTAACATTGAGAAGAAAATCGATAATGAAATATACATCATAAGTGGATTTGTTGGTCGATAATCTTGAATTGATGTGCCATTTTCGAATACTTCTGATTTTTCGATGAATTCGGCAATGTTGTTTCCGAGAAGATCGTAGGCTAGAAGAATATTGGCATTTTTTTGGGCATGTTAGGTGCATTTTTAAGATTTTTCAAGTCTAGGAGCATTTTGTGGGGATTTTTGAGCATCTAGCAAAATAATTTTTGAGATTTTCTAGGTCTAGGAGCAAAATTTTTCAAGATAATTTTTTTCAAGCTCACAAAATTCTGAAAATTCAAATTTTATCTATAAATATCAAAATTTCAAAATCCAATTTTTCCGGAACAATTTTCACTGTTTCAAAAATTTTTCTATGAAAATTTGGGTTTTTGGAAGATTCTTCCCAAAAATCTGACAATTTTGAATTTCTCAAAAAATATTGTTTTCTGTTAATTTTCAATCCTTTATTTTTGGCTGAAAATTTCAGATTTTTCAGTTCAAAAATTGAAATTTTCTTGAATTTTATAAATTTTTCGAAAACTCCTATAATAAATTTGAAACGTATATTTTCCCGCGGATTTTTTTTATTAAAATTTGGCGCCAAAAATGTTTTTTTTTTGAATTTTCAGAGCTCAAAATTTCACTCAAAATCCAATTTTTCGCAAAAAAAAAATGTTCACTGTTTCAAAAAATTTTTATATGAAAAAATCGAGTTTTTTGGAAAATCCAAGGCAATCCGAGCTATATTTGGTATCAAAAAATCGCAAATTTTCGCCCCAAAAATTCCTTACCTTCAAGCATTTGAATATCAAAAACACGATGTACATTCATGGTGAAAATAAATGAGAACAAAAAATAGACGGCTCCAATTGACAACATAAATCCGCGTTCTTCAACATTCGATGCCAAATATGAAGTCAACGCTGTCAACATTTGTAAAATAAAGCCCAAAACGACCAAAAGGAACACAATTGACACATTGAAATCCTTGTTTTCGGGAAGAGCATAGTTGTAGATTTCAGACAGTGAGAAGGTCTGAAAATTGTCGATTTTCAGCCAAGAAAACGTGAAAAAACCAGTTTTTCAACCTAAATTTCATTTTTTTCAGCTAAAAAAACTCACAATCAAACAAATTGGCACACAAAGTGTTAACCAATGAAGTGAAGTATACATCTCAAAATTCACCAAATCTCGAACATCAACTTCAATTAATTTCAGTTGAAATGGTGAGGATTTCGGAACATTGAATCCTTCGGCTTCTTCTTCTTCTCTGCAACAAAAATCGATACATTTTGGGAGTTTTTGAAAAATTGTCGAAACGAAACTTGAATAATAAAAAATTTTCAAAAAAATTTATTATCAAAATTTTGAAACAGTAAATTTTTGTTGAAATTGAAATTTTAATTTTTTTCCTTTTCCGAGGTTTCTGTGATGAAAAATGATTATAAATCAGAATTTTCAGCTGCAAATCCCGATAATTTCAGATTTCTAGCCAAAAATTCTGTAATTTTCGAAAAAATCGGGGAATTTTATGAATAAAAAATTTATTATCAAAATTTTGAAACGTAATTTTTTGTTGAAATTGAAATTTTAATTTTTTTTCTAAATTTTCTGAGGTTCCTGGGATACAAAATTCGAATTTTCAGCTGCAAATCCAGATAATTTCAGATTTCTAGCCGAAAATTCTGTAAATTTCGAAAAAATCGAGAGATTTTATGAATGTGTGTAAAGGATACATCAACGCTTCAATAAAAAAATTCCAAAAAAAAAAATTATTATCAAAATTTTGAAACAGTAATTTTTTGTGTTGAAATTCAAATTTTAATTTTTTTATTTTCCGAGTTTTCTGGGATGAAAAATAATAAAAAATTCGAATTTTCAGCTGCAAATCCAGATAATTTCAGATTTCCAGCCGAAAATTCTGTAAATTTTGAAAATATCGGGAAATTTTATGAATGTGTGTGAAGATAAAATGTCTAATAAGAAAATTTCAAAAAAAATTTATTATCAAAATTTTGAAACAGTAATTTTTTGTTGAAATTTAAATTTTCCGAAGTTCCTGAGATGAAAAATAATGAAAAATTCGAATTTTCAGCTGCAAATCCAGATAATTTCAGATTTGAATTTCTAGCCGAAAATTTCATCAAAAATTTTCCAATTTTAATTTTTCTTGTTCAAAATTTCACAATTCTTTCGAATTTTTAGTCCAAAAATTCCCAAATCCTTTAGCTCACCTCTTTTTCTTCGATTTCTTTGGCTCATTTTTTCTTTTGTTGGTGGCATCAATGATTTGAGTTCACTATTTGACGGTGCCATAAATCGATAAAGTCTGCAACAAAAATATTATTGGATTTTTCTAACATGAGCAATGGGATTTTATTTGAAAGCTTTAAAAATTCCTTAATTCATGTTCTTTATAATCTGAGCAATGCTCCATTTTTCGTTAAAAATTCCAAATTTCATGAATAATCTAATCTGAGCAATGCTTTTCCCTTGAAAAAAACCAAATTTCCCCCAAAATTCTCACCCATTAGTCACAAAAATGTGAATAAAACTGGAGCGATTCAGCAATTTTGAAATCATTGTAATTGCCACAAGGCAAACGACAACATGAAATCCCAATATCGCCATTTTGAAGTTTAACCCTGAAATTAATTTTTTGTTTCTAGAAAAAAATGTTTCTATGAAAAATATAGATATTTCAATGGTTTCAAAGACCAATTTTCCTTCTCAGGATCCAAAAATCAATAAAACAGAACAAAAAAGCAATCAATAAATTAATTAATATCACATTTTCACAGAATAAACTCTACTAGAAATTTTCAAAAAAAACACAACCAAAAAAAATCGCAAAAATCGGAAAAATACCCTAAAATATGTTTTGAAGTGATCGGATTTTCGAGCAAAAAAATACAAAAAATGCACACAAAAGAAAAAAATTAATTTCAGGTTACGGTGCCATTTGTGCATGAAGATTTCTGAGGTGTTGGTGGGATGAGTTGACGCAAAAGTTGCGCCAAAAGTTTGCGCATTTTTTGACCTTCAGCAGTTTCGACCAAATCGCAAACTCTGAAATTAAAATTGGGAAGTTTTGATGAATTTTGAAGCGAGAAATTCAAATTTTCGGCTAGAAATCTGAAATTATCTGGATTTGCAGCTGAAAATCCGAATTTTTCATTATTTTTCATCCCAGAAAACTCGGAAAATAAAAAATTAAAATTTCAATTTTCTCAAAAAATTACTGTTTCAAAATTTTGATAATAAATTTTTTTGGAATTTTTTTTTATTAGAGTTTTGATTTTATCACACATTCATAAAATTTCCCGATTTTTTTCAAAATTTACAGAATTTTTGGCTAGAAATCTGGAATTATCTGGATTTCCAGCTGAAAATTCGAATTTTTCTTCATTTTTCATCCCAGGAAACTCGGAAAATTAAAATTTCAATTTCAACAAAAAATTACGTTTCAAAATTTTGATAATAAATTTTTTATGAAATTATTTTATTGCACTTTTTTCCTTCCAACACATTCATAAAATTTCCGGATTTTTTTCGAAAATTACAGAATTTTTGGCTAGAAATCTGAAATTATCTGGATTTCCAGCTGAAAATTCGAATTTTATTATTTTTCATCTCAGAAAACTCGGAAAATAAAAAAAAATTAAAATTTCAATTTCAACAAAAAATTACGTTTCAAAATTTTGATAATAAATTTTTTTTGAAATTATTTTATTGCACTTTTTCCTTCCAACACATTCGTAAAATTTCTCGATTTTACGAAATTTACAGAATTTTTGGCTAGAAATCTTAAATTATCTGGATTTGCAGCTGAAAATTCGAATTTTTCATCATTTTTCATCCCAGAAAACGCGGAGAAATAAAAAAAATTTAAATTTAAATTTCAACAAAAATTTACGTTTCAAAATTTTGATAATAATTTTTTTTTTTTTTTTTTTGGAAATTTTTTATTAGAGTTTTGCTAGCGACAATTTTTCAAAAACTCCCAAAATTTATCGATTTTTTTTTCATTTGACGCATATATCCTTTATACACATTCGTAAAATTTCTCGATTTTACGAAATTTACAGAACTGAAAATTCGATCATTTTTCATCTAAGAAAATTCGGAAAATAAAAAAATTTAAATTTAAATTTTCTCAAAAAATAACTGTTTCAAAATTTTTCTGAATTAGAGATTTAATCGCATCTTCACACCCATTTTCTGATAATTTTTAGTGTCAAAATTCCGAGAAAATTTAATTTTTGAACTAATTTTGATAAAATCGGAACTTCAAACCAATTTCATTAAATTTTGAGTATTTTTCTATTTTTTAAGCGTCAAATTATGTTTTTTAATCCCAGGCCTATTTGGTCTCAAAAAATTCCCACATTTTCGCGCCAAAAATCCCTACAGTAATCCTGACCTTATCGGAAATTCTCTTCCCAAAATCGGCAACATTTCTTTGGGCAATTTGATGCATTCGGTCAATAATTCACAAATCACAGGTCCATAGGCAGATCTTCGAGATTCGGATTCAGCTTCACCATAACCGCTCAACGCCAGCGAAACTACTCTGCAAAAAAGGGAGAATTTGGTACTGTAAATCTTGGGGTACGGTAGGTGCAGAGGTACTGTAGCTGAGAATCTGGGAAATTAATGGATTACTCTAGAAAATTCTATTTTTCTACAGTAATCCAGGGATACTGTAGCTCATTTTGTAGAGAATTTGAAGTTCTAGAAACTCCGAAATTTTCTACAGTAACCCAAGAGTACTGTAGATATACAAAATGATATCAAACAAGTATCCAAATTTTCTACAGTAACCCTAGTCTTACTGTACCTCATTTTGTAGCAAATTTCAAACCTACAGTAACCCAGCCCAAAAACACTTACTCTAATACACGTTTTCCAACTTCTTCCTTGATTTCATCAGCCCGTTCATCATACAATAATCGAAGAATTATGGCCAACATTGCGCTGAGTGAACGAGTTTCTTGGCTGCAAAAAATGTGTGTGTAAAAATTGTGATTTTTCGTTGGAACAGTGATATTTTTGTGATAAATCATGATAGAAAAAATTTATTTTTGTTGAATTTTCGGGAAATTTTCGAATTTCTCGTATTTTTAGTAATTTGTTGACGGAAAAAATACAAGAAAATACAAAAAATATGCATTTTCGGGGGTTTTTAGTTGAAACAGTGATATTTTTGTGATTTTTGAAACATTCGGAGAAAAATTGGAACTTTTCGAATTTCTGGTAATTTCTAAACATAAAAAAAAAGCCGAAATTACAAAAACTTCGAAATTCAATGAAAAATAGCTCATAATTCACATTTTAAAAAATTCTCGTATTTTTTCGATGTCAAAAGATACACGAAAATACAAAAAAATTCGAAATTCAAAGAAAAATAGCTCCAAATTCCAAATTTTTGAATTTCTCAGTAATTTTTCGACGTCAAAAAATATGAGAAATTACAAACAATGTCGAAGTTCAATGAAAAATAGCTTAAAATTCCAAATTTTTGAATTTCTCGTAATTTCTAAACATCAAAAAATACACGAAATTACAAAAAATTCGAAATTCAATGAAAAATAGCCCAAAATTCCAAATTTTTGAATTTCTCGTATTTTTCGATGTCAAAAACTACACGAAATTACAAAAAATTCGAAATTCAATGAGAAATAGCTCAAAATTCCAAATTTTTGAATTTCTCGTATTTTTTCAACGTCAAAAAATACACGAAACTACAAAAAATTCGAATTTCCCCATATTTAGACTCAAAATACTCCATTTTTAAAGGCGCATACAGTACTCACTTGATCAAATTTGGTTTACTCGATCCTCTCAATCCAGCTTTCCACAAAAGTGTCCTCTGCCCATTATTATCATTGAATTGTTTGGCCAATTTTTGGCTTTGAGCAAGAGCATCACAAATGCTCAATAATAAGGCGGGCTTCATTTTCAGATATAAACCGTCGTCTTGGGAATCTGCAAAACTACAGTAACCCACAAAATTTTAATGAATATGATCAAAGATCCGAATTTTGAAACGTAGTTTTTCCAAGTGTACTGTAGCTAGATTTTGGACCAAGAAATGCATTCCAGAAAATATTAAAAACTTGAAAAAGTAAATTTTTGAAGAGCTATTTTATTTAAAATTTTGGCGACTAAAAATCCGCGGAAAATCATACTACAGTAATCTACGGTAATCTGCCATTTTTAGTGCCAAAAGTTACAGTAACTCAGAATTAAAATCGCTAAATCAATTTTATTTCTATAATTTTTTTAAAATTCAAAATTTCACACCAAAACCCTCGAAAAACGCACCCTTCATCGATCCAAATACAATTCTCGTCACAGCTTCAACTAGTTCATTTTGGACCACACAAAAAATGATTTGTTCGGCAAAAATCGCGTCGTCGCTGGAAAATAAAAAAATTTTTGTACAAAAATTTCAGAATTTTCAGGAATAACTGAAATTTTTATTTATTTTTTCAAAAAATAGTTAAAAATCGACGAATTTTCATCTTAACATCAGAAAAATCCTCATTTTCCGTTTAAAAATATTTTGAAACAGTGAAAATTTTTAGAAAAATCAGGAGAATTGATTATTGCTCATGTTAATCCACATAACATTTTTCTACAGTATCCTAGGCTTATTCGGGATCAAAAAACGTGGATTTTTTCGGGCCAAAACAAATTTAAAAAAAAAATTCTTTTAAAACCAATAACTGAAAGAAATATCAGAAAAATCCCGATTTTTTTACAAAAAAATTTGAAACAGTGGAAAACAATTTTTTTTGTGCAAAAATTTCAGAATTTTCAGGAATGACTGAAATTTTTATTTTTTTTTTCAAAAAATATTTAAAAATCGACAAATTTTCATCTTATCATCAGAAAAATCCCCATTTTCCGTTTGAAAATATTTTGAAACAGTGAAAATTCTAGGAGAAAAAAAGTTTCTGTAATAAAAATTGAGCATTGCTCATGTTAACTTGAAACTTTCGAAAAAATCAGGAAAAATTGATTATTGCTCATGTTAATCCACATAACATTTTTTTCCACAGTATCCTATAGGCTTATTTAGGCTCAAAAAACGTGGATTTTTCGGGCCAAAACAAAATTTTTAAAAAAATTCTTTTAGAACCAATAACAAACTGAAAGAAAATCAGAAAAAAATCCCGATTTTCTTTCAAAAACATTTTGAAACATTGGAAAACAATTTTTTTGTGCAAAAATTTCAGAATTTTCAGGAATAACTGAAATTTTATGATTTTAAATTTTTATTTTTCAGAAAAAAAATAGTTTGAAACAGTTAAAAATCGAAGAATTTCCGTTTAAAAATATTTTGAAACCGTGAAAATTTTGGGAGAAAAAAGTTTCTGTAAAAAAATTGAGCATTGCTCATGTTAACTTGAAACTGTTAAAAAATCAGGAAAATTGATTATTGCTCATGTTAATCCACATATCTACAGTATCCTAGGGCTTATTTAGGCTCAAAAAACGTGGATTTTTCGGGCCCTTGGCAACTATTTGCAGTGTCAAAAAAAAACTCCCACTCACCTCCAATCGCTCCACTCCACATTGACAATTTTCTCATCTTTTCCGCCTCCCACAATATTTCCCGTCGGTTCCCAAGTCCAAAAGTGATTTCGGTAAAGTGGCGGCAAATAGTTCGCTGATCAGATCGATGGTTTGAACCCACATGTCATCGGTGAAATTCTCGCCATTTTGAAGGATTAGCGATTCGAGACAACTGATTGTGCATCGAGCAAGTTGCTCATTTTTTCTGAAAGGGAAAAAATCGATATTTTTGAGGTATGAAAATCATGAAAATTGACGAAATATAACATGAGCAATGTTATTTTTTTGAAAAATTCAAATTTTGAAGGCAACATTCCTCAAAATGTTCATTTTTGCGTAAATTTCATGAAACATTGAATTTTTCTAATCTGAGCAATGCTATTTTTTTTCAAAAATTTCAAATTTTTGGAAACAACATTTCTGAAAATGTTCATTTTATCATGAAATTGGTGAAAAATTGAATTTTTCTAACCTGAGCAATGCTATTTTTTTGAAAAATTCAAATTTTGGAAACAACATTTCTGAAAATGTTCATTTTACCATGAAACTGGTGCAAAATTAAATTTTTCTAACCTGAGCAATACTGAAATCAAAATAAAACCAATTTTATTTTAAAAATAAATAATTGTGAGCCTTGGAATTTGAGCTCAAAAATCAAATGAAAATAATTTTTCTAACCTGAGCAATGCTGAAAAAATCCCGAATTTTCGCATTTTTGGCCCCAAAAAACTCACGCTGTCTGATAAAAATAGCAAATTGTTTGTAGATCATCGGAAGTGCATATACAGAAAGTTGGTCGAAAAATTGGGTAAAAACATCGACGACGGATAACATGGCGTGATTACAGGTGGTGCTCATCCATTCGCGTTTCTGTGAAAAAAATCCGGTGAAATTTGGGTGAGTAAAAATCAATTTCAGATATTTTTCTATCTGGAAATTTTCTTTCACAAAAAATCTACTGTTTCAAAATATTTATCAAACAAAAAATTGAACTCTAAAATTGGAATTTTTCGAATTTCTGGTAATTTCTAAACATCAAAAAATACACGAAATTACAAAAAATTTGAAAAATGTCTCAAGAATTTACAATCTAAAAATTTTGAAACAGGGAATTTTTCCTAGCTTAAAAATTCCCAAATTTTCAGCTCAATTGTTATTTTCAGTGCGAGATTTTCAGTGAAAAATTTAATTTCCAGTAGATTTTTGAGTATGAATAAAGAAATGTTATCATTAATTTCAAAGTTTCAAAAGAAATTTCTGTGATTTTTGAAACAGTGAATTTTTCCTAGCTCAAAAAATCGAATCTTTTCGAATTTTGGCTCAAAAATTTCCCAATTTTCATCCCAAACTCCTCAAAAAACCCACATCACTTCTATGATCATCCATTTTTGCATGATCGAAGATACGGAAGAACAATTTCGAATAAATCCCGCCACCATTCGGGCCGGAAATCCGCTCCATGATGTTTCATAATTTCAAACATTACTGTCAGGCTTCGCGTTCGAACATCCAATTTGCACCGATTTATTATGCAGCTGAAAGAAAATTCGGGGATTTTTTGGAATATTTTGAGCCACGTGGCATCATTTTTTCTAAAATTGCACGCAGATTTCAAATTCAGCGTGAAATTTGGGTTCTGACAAGTCTAACTTACCTCAACTCAAAAAATATCGGAAACCATCCACGCAGCCAAACGTGTTGATCGGCCGAAATCACGTGATTATCATCTCGGGCAGCTTCGTCGATTTTTTCGCGATTTTTCGAGACATATCTGTGAAAAAATTGGGAGATTTCAGGGTTAAATTTAGGTGGAGCCTATTGAAATGTTGTCAAAACAATTTTTCAAAAATTCCCTAAAAATTCATATAAAATTCTTGAAACAGTGAAAAATATAGGAAAACAAGTGAATTTTTTCGTGGTCAAAATTAAATTTTCCCAGGTTAAAATTTCGAGTAGAATCTGAATTTCAGATCAAAATTTTCTGAAAAATTCTAGAAATTTAATTTTAAATGTTTTTTATTATCATTCAATTGAGAAATAATTTTTCAAAAATTTCCCAAAAAATCATATAAAATTCTTGAAACAGTGAAAAATATAGGAAAAAAAGTGAATTTTTTTCGGGCCAAAAATTAATTTTTCTAGGCCAAAATTTCGCGTAGAATCTGAATTTCAAGTCCAATTTTCTGAAAAACACTAGATTTTATTTTCATAATTTTATTAAAAAGGTAGATAATCTTTGATTTTTTCAAATCATTCAATTGAGAAATCAATTTCTAAAAAGACCGGAAAAATCATATAAAATTCTTGAAACAGTGAAAAAAATTCAAGAAAATTTTGAGCCAAAAATTAATTTTTTTATGTCAAAATTTTAAGTAGAATCTGAATTTCAGGTCCAAAATTTCTGAAAAATTCTAGAAATTTAATTTTAAATGTTTTTTATCATTCGAAGGAGAGAGAAATCATCTATTTTCAAAAATCGACCAAAAATTAATATAAAATTCTTGAAACAGTGAAAAAATTCAAGAAATTTTTGAGCCAAAAATTAATTTTTCTAGGTCAAAATTTCGCGTAGAATTCGAATTTTCCGGTCAAAATTTTCAGATTTTGGGTTGAAAATTAATTTTTAGGTCAAAATTTCGCGTAGAATTCAATTTCCGATCAAAAAAAAACCCCCGAAAAACTCACTCAGCACAAACTCGAATCAATCGAATCGCTTCCATATTCATATCGGGCAAATTCGAGTTACACGCAAATTCCTGCAAACATTTGAGCGCTTCTTGAAACGAGTCCAAAATTGATGGAAAATCTTCGCGAAAACGTGTTTCGATGACATGAGCAGCGGCTGTGAATGACGTGTCAACAATATCCATATTTGGATCGCCGGCTGCGATTGTCCACACTGAGAACAGATTTTGCCAGCCGGATTTGAGACGCGATGAGTGGGCTTCGACTAATTGAGTGCAACATCGGACGACAAGATCGCGGGTTTGAGCATTCCCATTTTTCGCCATTATTACCTGCAATTTTCAGAATTTTCTTCGAATTTCGATAATTTTAAGATCAAACAAGCATATTTTTGAGCAAAATATTGAATTTTTGCTGAAATTTTCAGATTTTCCAGTTGAACTTGAATTTTCCAGAATTTTTTAGCTGAAAATTCGGAACGTTCTTCATCAATTTTCGAAAATCCCCCAAAATTCATATAAAATTCTTGAAACAGTGAAAAAATGTCAAGAAATTTTGAGTTCAAAAATTAATTTTTCTAGGCTAAAATTTCAAGCAGAATCTGAATTCCAGATCAAAATTTGCTGAAAAATTCAAGATTGAAAAATCAAAATTTATTTGAAATTCAATCCACACAATCATCATCAATTTTCGAAAATACCCCAAAATTCATATATAATTCTTGAAACAGTGAAAAAAATGTCGAGAAATTTTGAGTTCAAAAATTAATTTTTCTAGGCTAAAATTTCAAGCAATAATTCTGAATTTCCAGGTTCAAATTTGCTGAAAATTTCAAAAAATTTGGTTCACTTTTGAAAAACCCATCAATTTCGAAAAATCCCCCAAAAAATCATATAAAATTTTTGAAACAGTGAAAAAATGTGAGAAATTTTGAGTTCAAAAACTATATTTTCTAGGCTAAAATTTCGCGTAGAATTCGAATTTCAGGTTCAAATTTGCTGAAAATTTCAAAAAATTTGGTTCACCTTTGAAAAGTCGATTAATTTTCAAAAATCCCCCAAAATTCATATAAAATTCTTGAAACGGTGAAAAAAAAATTCGAGAAATTTTGAGTTCAAAAATTAATATTTCTAGGTTAAAATTTCGAGTAGAATTCGAATTTCAGATCAAAACTTGCTGAAAATTTCAAAAAATTTGGTTTTGGATCTTATTGCCTTTTATATGAAAAGTAGAACCCACACAATCATCATCAATTTTTCGAAAATCCCCCAAAATTCATATAAAATTCTTGAAACAGTGAAAAAATGTCAAAAATTTTGAGTTCAAAAATTAATTTTTCTAGACTAAAATTTCGCGTAGAATTCGAATTTCAGGTTCAAATTTGCTGAAAATTTCAAAAAATTTGGGAAAAATCGATTAATTTTCGAAAATCCCCCAAAAAATCATATAAAATTCTTGAAACAGTGAAAAAATGTGAGAAATTTTGAGTTCAAAAATTAATTTTTCTAGACTAAAATTTCGCGTAGAATCTGAATTTCAAGTCAAAAACCCACCTCAAACGGCCGCAAAAAATCCTTTTGAAATTTGAAATTCGGCAATTCTCCCTTTTCCAAAAACTTGATCGATAATTGTCGCAAAGCATCGACAGAAAAATAAGCAACCGCTTCATTCGTATTACATCCAGCCATATTAAAATGCTCACCAATAACATGCCAAATTCTGCTCCACTCAAGTCGAATCCGATTCATATTATAGAATGCGACTTCGACCATTTTTCCGAGTAAAAACATGCGCGGAGCTGCGGCTTGCGATAATTCGTCACGGGAGACTGTGCAGAGGGCGCGCACAAAAAATACGATGGCATCTGCGGAAAAGGCGGCTGGAGCCGTGGAATATTCGATCGATGGCGACGACGACACTTTGAGATGAGGTTTCGTTGAGAGCATCTTGGAGGTTTGCTAGAGTACGGTCGTCGAGACCACCCGTATTTTTGAGCACATCTGGAAGAAAGGATTTTTCCGCCAAAAATTCCAGACTTTTCAAAAAACATGTTTTGAGCGAATTCAAATTTGCAGGAAAAATTATGAAAATATTTTGAAACAGTCAAATTTTTTTAATAAGGAATTTCAGTTTGAACTCTAAAAAACTTTCTGGCTGAAAAATCCAATTTTCAGATGAAATTCAGCCAAAAAATTCCAGATTTTTAAAATTATTTGACAATTGTATTATGAAGAATTTAGGAACAAGTATGTATAAATTAATCATTTCAATTTTCTTCAGAAAAACTATGAAAATATTTTGAAACAGTAGATTTTTTTGGGATAAAAACTAGAAATTTCTGGGTAAATTTTAATTTGAACTCTAAAAAAGTTTCTGGCTGAAAAATCCAGACTTTCAGATGAAATCAGATAAAAATTCCAGATTTTTTAAATTATTTGACAATTGTATTTGAAGAATTTATGGAACAAGTCGAAAATTAATCACAATTTTCTTCAGAAAAACTATTCCAAAATATTTTGAAACAGTAGATTTTTTGGGATGAAAAAACTAGAAATTTTCAGGTTAATTTTAATTTGAATCTGAAAAAGTTTTGGCTGAAAATTCCAGATTTGTGTCAAAAAAAAACATGTTTTGAGCGAATTCTGAAATTTCCAGGAAAAATTATGAAATTTCCAGAAAAATATTTTGAAACAGTAGATTTTTTTAAATAAAAAATAAGGAATTTCTGAGTAAATTTCAGTTTGAACTCTAAAAAAACCTTCTGGCTGAAAAATCCTGATTTTCAGATGAATTTCAGCTAAAAATTCCAGAATTTAGGAACAGTTTATTAATCAATTTTTCTTCAGAAAAACTATGAAAATATTTTGAAACAGTAGATTTTTTTGGGATGAATTTTAGGTTGAATCTGAAAAAGTTTTGGCTGAAAATTCCAGATTTTTGTGTGCAAAATAATGTAAGATTTTTCAGTTTGAAAGAAATTTTGAAATTAAATTTTCATGGAGTCAAAAAAAAAAGAAACAACACGTTTTTAAATTTCCAAAAAAATCAATTTTTTTTTCAAATTTCAGCTTGAAAAATCAAAATTTGTGAGAAAATTCGGAAATGTTTTGGTTTCAAATTTCAGTCAAAAAAATTATAGAAATTCTGAAATTTCCAGAAAAATATTCTGAAACAGTAGATTTTGTTTTTAAATAAAAAATAAGGAATTTCTGAGTAAATTTCAGTTTGAACTCTAAAAAATCTGGCTGAAAAATCCTGATTGTCAGATGAATTTCAGCTAAAAATTCGAGATTTTTGAAATTATTTGACAATTTTATTATGAAGAATTTAAGAACAGTTTCAGAACCGAAAAGAATCAATTGATCATTTCAATGTTCTTCATAAAAACATATGAAAATATTTTGAAACAGTAGATTTTTTGGATCAAATTCAATGAATTTCTGGCTTTAAAATCCTGATTTTCAGATGAATTTTGGCACATTTCCAGCTCAAAAAAAATCTATTAAAAATTCCAGATGTTTTGGGATAAATTAGGGCTAAATTCTGGATTTTTTAAACCAAAATTTCTGGCTTAAAAATCCTGATTTTCAGGTTCAAAAATCCTATATGAATTCCAGGATTTTGGGTAAAAATGAACCATTTTTTCTGAATTTTTTTTAAATTTCAAACTCACATTGTCTCGAACTATCCACCCCTCCACCACTATTCAATCCAGTTCCAATTAATTGCACCAATTCCAACGAGCTCATACACTTCATAACATCCATCCAATTCTCCTCCAAATAATCACCATCTTCATCACCAATTAAAAGCAACAATTTGATTGCCTCAATATTTTTCACCTTCATTTCACTTATCGAATTTTTTGCGGTCAAAAGTGTGAATCGAGCCAGCGCTTGGATAAAAGCATTTCGTTCGAGTGTTGCCGAAAGTACACAACTTGCACGAACTCCGAGGCGAAATCCACGTAGACAAAGTGACCATTCTTTTTCATCATCCGACATTTGGATACCAACAGAAAATGCGGCAAGGCAAGGCGTCCAACAGATCTGGAAAAAATGGGGGATTTAGGATTGACACGTGGATTTTTACTGGTTTCTGAGCATTTTGAGACCTCATATGACATATTTTTGAAAATTTTCATCCAAAAAAATCTACTGCGGGCTCAAAATGCTCCAAATTTCCCATAGAGCTCAAAAATCCACGTGGCAACTCAAAATATCCCATGTGCTGGCTCAAAATGCTCCAAACTTCACAGTGAGCTCAAAAATCCACGTGGCAATTTGAAATACCTTATGTGCGGGCTCAAAATGCTCCAAACTTCCCAGAGAGCTCAAAAATTCACGTGACAATTTGAAACATACCATGTGCGGGCTCAAAATGCTCCAAATTTCCCATAGAGCTCAAAAATCCACGTGGCAATTTGAAATATCCCATGTGCGGGCTCAAAATGCTCCAAATTTCCCAGTGAGCTCAAAAACCCACGTGGCAATTTAAAATATCTCATGCGCGGGCTCAAAATGCTCCAAACTTCCCAGAGAGCTCAAAAATCCACGTGGCAATTTAAAATATCTCATGTGCGGGCTCAAAATGCTCCAAACTTCCCAGAGAGCTCAAAAATCCACGTGGAAATTTAAAATATCTCATGCGCGGGCTCAAAATGCTCCAAACTTCCCAGAGAGCTCAAAAATCCACGTGGCAATTCAAAATATCTCATGCGCGGGCTCAAAATGCTCCAAATTTCCCAGGAAGCTCAAAAATCCACATGGCGATTTAAAATATTTCATGCGCGGGCTCAAAATGCTCCAAATTTCCCATAGAGCTCAAAAATCCACTCAAAATGCTCCAAATTTCCCAGAGAATCCAAAAACACTCACCTTAAACATCGGCTTAACATGATGTTGATGTTGCGCACGCGTGAAATTCGCATCCGCATCACTAGCACTCTCCATAAGTGTTCTCGCCGTCTCACTCATCGCCTCCATTTCCAACGTGGCCATCGCGCGTCTTTGTCGTTCATTAGCCTGCGCCGAGTTGCCGGCTCCAGTTGATCTGAGCAATGTGCTGGCTCCGGCCTTCATTTTAATCTCATTTTTCGAAATATCCTCATAAATTGCGGCTAGCAAATCCGACGGCAAATCTCCGCCATTATTAATTCCCCGATTCATATTAATATATTGCTCTTTTGTCATTTTATTTTTGACTTGCGCACTGTGCAAATCAGTTGTTAGCATAATTACAGAATAGGCTAGAACATAGGCTGTATCAGCGGATGCAAAAATTCCAAGACTCGGATTACAATCACAATATCTTGAGGCGAATTTCTCCATGAGTCGATCGATTTTTTGAGCCTCGCCTGGGAGTCGGAATTTTTCGAGGAACATTCTGAGGGCTGTTACAATGTCGAGAGAGGAGAAATCGAGATCATCCACGTAGGCGTACATTACTTGCTTGTGAAATCTGCAAAAACACGGTGTAAACCCCAGTTTTTCGCGCCAAAATTCAAAATATGACTATAATTACGGTATATTTCGTTGCGGGACCCAAGCTAGACACTACAGTAACCCGAAAACCTATGGGTTCTCTAAAATAGGTCATGTTGGGTGTCAAACAATGTAATCAACAAAATTTTTCGAATTTTTTGCATTTCTAGTAATTTCCTGTGACAAAAAATTACAAGAAAACACAATAAATTCGAATTTCAGGTGGGAAATTCGGATTTTTCAAAAAATGTTGTTCTGGAGACCAAAAATTCGAATTTTCTTAATTTTTTGCATTTCTAGTAATTTCCGGTGACCAAAAATTACAAGAAAACACAATAAATTCGAATTTCAGGTGGGAAATTCGGATTTTTCAAAATATTTTGCTCTGGAGACCAAAAATTCGAATTTTCCTAATTTTTTGTATTTCTAGGAATTTTCGGTGACAAAAATTACAAGAAAACACAATAAATTCAAGTTTTCCACACATTTGAGTGAATTTCAGGCCGGAAATTCGGATTTTTCAAAAAATTTTGTTCTGGACACCACAAATTCGAATTTTCTGAATTTTTTGAATTTCTAGTAATTTCCGGTGACAAAAAATTACAAGAAAACACAATTAATTCGAGTTTTTCACATATTTGAGTGAATTTCAGGCGGGAAATTCGGATTTTTCAAAAAATTATGTATGTTCTGGAGACCAAAAATTCGAATTTTCTTAATTTTTTGCATTTCTAGTAATTTCCGGTGACAAAAAATTACAAGAAAACACAATAAATTCGAGTTTTCCACATATTTGAGTGAATTTCAGGTGGAAAATTCGAATTTTTCAAAAAATGTTGTTCTTGAGAACAAAAATTTGGATTTCTTGCATTTCTAGTAATTTCCAGTGACAAAAATTACAAGAAAACACAATAAATTCGAATTTCAGGCGGGAAATTCGGATTTTTCAAAAAAATTTGTTATGGAGACCAAGAATTCGAATTTTCTTAATTTTTTGTATTTTTAGTAATTTCCGGTGACAAAAATTACAAGAAAACACAAAAAATTCGAGTTTTCCACATATTTGAGTGAATTTCAGGTAGGAATTCGGCTTTTTTCGAAAAATTTTCAAAATTCTCCCGAAATATATCATATTTGATGTCAAACTGCTCAGAATTTCCAGCTTACAATTAATTTTTTAAAAATCTCAACTCACTCATCATGATCTCCCAAATAATCGCCTACAACAGTTTTATCCAATCGTTCTTCTTTGATCAAAAACTCGGCAATTTCAACAGCTTCAGTTCCAACAAAACCATGATCTTGCAAGAATTTCAAGCCTTTTTTGGGTTTTTGAGCGAAAAGCAATATTCCTTGTTCCATGAGATCCTTTTTTTGTTTGAGATTTTCAAATTTCTCAAAATCTTGCGTTGTTTCTTGTGTCGTTTCGCGATTCTCGTCTAAATCTTGACTGATTTTTGCCACTTCACAAACTTGAAACCAATCGACGAGACATTGAAGAAGATCAGTAAGGCAGCTGATTCCAAGAAGGCGCATCGCTCTTTCTCTGAAAATTCACGGGATTTTGTTGATTTTTCGGTGAAAAATTTGAATTTTCTGAATTTTTTGCATTTCTAGTCATTTCTGGTGACAAACAATTACAAGAAAATACATATTTGAGTGAATTTCAGGTAGAAAACTCGGATTTTTCAAAAAATATTGTTCTCGAGACCAAAAATTCGAATTTTCCGAATTTTTTGCATTTCTAGTAATTTCCGGTGACAAACAATTACAAGAAAACACAAAAAAAATCAATTTTTCCACGTGTTTGAGCAAATTTCAGGCGCGAAATTCGGATTTTTTGATTTTTCTGAATTATTTAAATTTCTCGTAGTTTTGAAATTACCAGAAATTCGAAAATTTCAAATTTTCTTGTTTTTTTTTCATCTCTAGAAATTTCCGATAACTCAAAATTTCAAAAAAATTAACTTTTTTGGTTGAAAATCATTTTCTGCAAAAATTCTGAATTCTCAAACAAAAATAAGACAGAAACCATGTTTTTTTAAACAACAATGAGCAATTTTTGGATTTCTAGTAATTTCCGGTGACAAAAAATTACAAGAAATTCAAAAAATTCAATATTAGCTCAATTTCCCGCCCAAAAAAACTAACTTTTCCTTCTGCTGAATCGTCGAATTCTCATTAATTGAAGTTCGGCTCGTTTTCGAAACAACTTCCACAATACTTTTAAACAAGTTATGCGAAGTCAAATCACAATCATAGTTCACAAACATATCGACAACAGATTGGGGGTTTCCGAGAATTTTTCCTGAAAAAAAACGAGCTGAGAATTTGATTTTTGACTGAAAATGAGGCCGTGAGCTAAAATTTTCAGATTTCGAGCTAAAAGTTTGAGCATAGGCCTTTTCAGCTTACAATCCAGCCTGGAATTACCTTCAGGCTGAAAATGAACCCGAAAGTGATTTTTGTTTGAAAATTTGCGAAATTTGACTGAAAAAACAATCTGGAGGCACAAAATCGTAATTTTAGAATTTCTTGTAATTTCAGGTAACCAAGAATTACAAGAAATGTCTATAAATGTTGAAAATTGATTTTTTTGAATTTCTCGTAATTTTAGGTGATCCAAAATTACAAGAAATTCCAAAAATTCCAATTTTAGCTCAAAATGCTCCATTTTTCCCGATTTTCCGCTCACAAAACCACTCAAAACTCCACTCACCAATAGTATTCAACACAATCCATTTCTTCTCAAATGGACAAGTCGCCGACTCCAACATCGACAAGATAATTTCTTTGAAAAATACCTCAATTTGAGTTTTGAGATGCGCTTTGAATTTATCTAATAATTCGACGAAAATCGCCAGCGATTTTTCAAAAACATCCACATTTGCGCTAACCGCATTTTTCGACAAAGCAACACACAAACTCTTCTTGATCAATATTATAAAAGGCTGTGAGTTTTGCAAGATTGTCGATGAATTTTGGAGGACTAACAGAAGCATTTCAAGAGCCAACAATTTTGAGCGTAGATGTGTATTTCTTGTGTCATTTATATCTCCTTCTTCTTTTTGTGCCAAAACACAAAGTGCACGGAATACCAGAAATGCGTCTTTTTGATAAATGTTGACAAAATTCAGCTGATGTTCGTCTTGGAATTTTTCACTTTCTCCATTTGTTGAGCAACCTTTTCGGGATTCCATATCAGTCTGAAATTGGGGGATGATTTTGTCACATGGATTTTTTTTCGTTTCTAATAGATTCAGCAAAGCTTCCCGATCATTTTGACACCTCACATGACCTGATTTTGAGAATTTTGAAAATTTAGGTACCCCCCCCCCCTAAAGAAACTATGTATCTCTACAGTAACCCTGCCACGTGGATTTTCGGGTTGTGAAACTAGTAAAATTCGATTGCGCATAGTTTTCTGACCAGTTTGACACCCCGCACGACCTGATTTTGAGAATTTTGAAAAATTGGGTACCCCCCATCCTAAAGAACCTAGTTGTCTCTACAGTAATCCTGCCACGTGGATTTTTAGGGATCAAAATCGCTTCAGCAGAGTTTCCTGATCAGTTTCATACCCCACATGACCTGATTTTGAGAATTTTGAAAATTTAGGTACACCCCCCCCCATCCTAAATAAACTAGTTATCTCTACAGTAATCCTGCCACGTGGATTTTTAGGGATCAAAATCGCTTCAGCAGAGTTTCCTGATCAGTTTAGTACCCCACATGACCTGTTTTTCAGAATTTTAAAAATTTAGGTACCCCCCCCTAAAGAAACTAGCTATCTCTACAGTAATCCTGCCACGTGGATTTTCAGGGATCATAATTGTTTCTAATAGATTCAGCATAGTTTGTTGATCAGTTTGACACCTCACATGACCTGATTTTGAGAATTTTGAAAATTTAGATACCCCCCCCCCCTAAAGAAACTAGTTATCTCTACAGTAATCCTGCCACGTGGATTTTTAGGAATCACAATAGTTTCTAATAGATTTAGCATAGTTTCCTGATCAGTTTGATACCCCACATGACCTGTTTCTAAGAATTGTGAAAATTTAGATACCCCCCCCCCCTAAAGAAACTAGTTATCTCTACAGTAATCCTGCCACGTGGATTTTTAGGAATCAAAATAGTTTCTAATAGATTTAGCATAGTTTCCTGATCAGTTTGATACCCCACATGACCTGTTTCTAAGAATTGTGAAAATTTAGATACCCCCCCCTAAAGAAACTAGTTATCTCTACAGTAATCCTGCCACGTGGATTTTTAGGAATCAAAATAGTTTCTAATAGATTTAGCATAGTTTCCTGATCAGTTTGATACCCCACATGACCTGTTTCTAAGAATTGTAAAAATTTAGATACCCCCCCCCTAAAGAAACTAGTTATCTCTACAGTAATCCTGCCACGTGAATTTTTAGGGATAAAAAACCCACCAATTCTGTGGCTACAGTAGTCGCGACCAAATTCTCGACAACTTCTTTGACAATTGTGTTGTCGTCTTTCATATTTCCAAATTTTTCCATATTTCCGAAAACAGTGTTGATCATCTGGAAAAAAACGGGGATTTTTGGGAGGCTATGAGGGATTTCTGGTAACTTTAGGTTATAGGAACACACAGCCCGGCAGATTTTTTTGTAATTTATGGTAACTCAAAATTACAAGAATTGCAAAGATATGGATTCAGGCTCATTTTAAACAATTTTTAGAATTTCTCGTAATTTCTAGTCACCTAAAATACAAGAAATTCGAAAAAAATCCAATTTTTATTCAAAAATATTTATTTTTTGAATTTCTTGTATTTTCTAGTCACTTTAAAAAACAAGAAATTAAAAATTTTTTTTTGGAAAACATGGTTTCTCTCTTATTTTTGTTTGTGAATTTCGAGTTTAACTTTAACCGGAAAAGTTACATAGACCTAAAAATCCATGAATTATGCTTAAACATTGATTTTTTTGTAATTTTGTGTTACCAGAAATTACAAGAAATTCAATTTTTGTTTAAAAACATGGTTTCTCTCTAATTTTTCGTCATTTTCTCACCTGTGTCAATGTTCCTTTCGCAGTCGCCTGATTAATCGGACTTTTTGACGTCAAATAAATATTAAAACAAGTCCTAACAGCTAATAAAAGCGATGCTTCATGAACTTCGCAATGATTACTCAAAACCACCGCCAAAACTGCTTTAATTAATTGTAAAAGTACAGTTTCATCAGTTCCTTGTCCAACAAATGCGGCACAAATTGCTTCAACAATTCGATCGATTAATTTTCTCTCTGGATTCGAAATATCCGCACATTTTCCGGTTAGATGACCGTAGGCAATAAGTTTCTGGAAAAATTTAATTTTTTTGGACCATTTTAAACCTAAGCCTTACCTGCAAACAATCCAATGCAGTTATCACAATTTTGGGGCTCTTCGAATTACAAGCCAATTCAAAAGGCAAAAAATATCGATCGGCTTCCATATTTATTCCAGCTTCTGGTAGAAATTCACCATTTGATTGGGAAATATTGTGAATTGCAGGAATTTGTGAGCCATTTTGATGATTTTGCTCGTCGGATTTGAGTTCTTCTGAATGAAAAACAAGATTTCGGGGGTTTTTGAGTGAAATTTCAGCCTAGAATTCAATTTTCAGCTTAATGTTCAGCTAAAAATGAGCCTGAAATCAATTTCAGGCTGAATTTCGAGCTCACCTTTTTCTAATTTTTAAAATTTCAAAAATAAAGCTTTTTTTTTTAAATGGGTCACGCGGAAATTTGAAAATTCAATTTTTTTGTTCATTTTTTGCAAAAAAAATAGACATTTTTATCAAATTTTCATAAATTTTATATCAAAAAATTTAATTTTTGATGGAAAATTTGAACTTTCAGCTTAAAATTCAGCTTAGAAAACATTTTCAGCGTGAAATTAACTTAGAAAATCAAAATTTCCCCCCAGAAAATCTCACCAATCGCATTTTCACAAGCTTTTTTCAGCTGCAAATTCTCTTTTCGCTTTATATCTCGATCCGCCAATATTTTCTCAATTCCACTCTTCAAAAACATGTTGCCTATCGATTTTTTCTCGCTCATTTTCGCCTCGAAAAAATATCAAAATGAGCACAAAAATTACAAATAATCGATAAATGAGCAGAATATTACATGAATTCGTGGCGAAATCTGAAAATAGGCTGAAATTTTGGTTGAAAATCACTGGGAAAAGTGTGCAGTACTCTCTCGCCAATGAGAGACGCAGAGAAACGAGGGAGAAAAATGTGTGCAATTGCGCGTCGATTGTGATGTTTTGGGTGACGTTTTGCAGACAGAAGGCGTTGTGTAGTTCTCGAGGACAATTGAGATTTTTTCGAGGAAAATTTGGGATTTTGGCGCGAAAAGCGATTGCGACGTGGCAAAATTATTTTTGGAAAAAATTCAGATTTCTAGAAATTTCGCAATTTCAATGAGATGACGTGGCAAAATTCAAATTTTCAAGAAAAAAAATCTAAAACTCAACAATTTTTATTCAACCAAAAAAAAGAAGGGAAAAAAGCCAACAAAAAATGATACAAATTTTGAGGAGACGTGGAATAATTTTGAATTAGATGAGAAGAACAGCATTGATGCAACCGTCGTTTTCCGGATTATTTGTCACTTGAGCGAATTTTCCCCAAACAACCTGGAAAATAGTGAATTTTTCGGCTGAAAACACGTGAAATTTCCAGATTTTCAAGTTTTCTAGCTCAAAAATCATGATTTTTAACTTAAAAAAAAGATTTTTTTTTAATTTTTAGATTTTTAACTTCAAAAAAAACTCACTTTTCCACCCTGTGTCACCATTCCCAATTCGGAAACATTCACTTCAATAATCGTTCCTTTTGTGATGACTCCAAGTGAAGTGTACATTTGACTTGATGGATTTTTCTTGACGCCGACAATTGGAAGATGGAATGTGGTTTGGAGTTCGGGATGGGTTACGTGAGCCTGCAAAAATTTGAATTTTTCACAAAATTTCAGGATTTCAGCATAGATTTTGAGATTTTAAAGATACAAATCACCAAAACTCTGAATTTTCCAGAACAGAAAAATTTGGGAATGAATTTCCAGCTTGAAAATCATGATTTCAGCCTAGATTTCCAGAATTTTGAGGATTTTTAGGTGTACAACTTTGCAAAATGCATATTTTCATCAATTTTTAGCTAGAAATCATTGAAAAACACGATTTTTGATCCAAAAATTATGGAAACTTATGCATTTTTCACGAACAATTTCACATTTTCATCAATTTTTAGCTAGAAAGCATTGAAAAACACGATTTTTTGGTCCAAAAATGTCATAAATTTTCCAGTTTTCTAGAAGCTTATACTTGAAATTTTGAAAAATTTAGGATAAAAAACATCGAGAAATTCATATTTTCACCATTTTTTAGCTAGAAATCATGAAAAAATCGAAATTTTACTCAAAAAATGTATAATTTCAGGATTTTCAGACCTTTCTAGGCTGAAATTTTGAAGATTTTCAGAGTTGTTTAACTTGTTTTCAACTAGAAATCATGAAAACACGATTTTTGGCCCTCAAAATTCATAATTTTCCACAAAACTCCCGTACCTTCTTGAATCTCAATCCCATTGGTCGAATAAATCTCTCAAATTTAGCCGGTTTTCTCGTAAAACTTTCGCCAACAAAAGTGACCTTAGTCACCATTCTCTTCCATCCTTTTCGATTAGTTTTTCCAGTCTTAACCACTTTAAAAGCTTCCGCATCCGAAACAGCACGAACTTGTGGAATCGGAACATTGAATTTGCTAGCCTTTTGCTTTCTCTTCTGCTTAATCATATTCGATAGAACAGTTCCAGTTGTTTGTTGTTGTCTGTCGAGTAAATAAGCTGGAACTGCACCTTGATCTGGCTTTTCTACTGTGTTTTTTTGCTCTTTTTCCTCGTGTTGTTTCAATAATTTTCGCATTTCCACTTTTTCTGAATATCTCTTTTTGTGATACAATTTCGCTTTGTGTCCTCTCAATTTCTTCGCCATCTGAGATCTATCGTGGACGGCTCTGGCTTGTTTCTTACGAAGACGCTCTTCGTAATCCAGACGACGTCCGTGACGTTTTCTGTGCAATTCGATGTGCTCATTTTGTGGCTGGAATGATTTTTGGGTGAAAATTAGGTGAAAAAGATGAACTTTAATGTATTTGAAAAATAAATCATATATTTTCAGTCAAAATTCATTAGTTTAAAGATTTTAATACACAAACTCGTGAAAATACAGATTCGCAAGCTCAAATGCTAGAAAATTATCGATTTCCCGGCTGAAAATCCAAAATTTTTCCAGGAAATGCTCAAAGTTCACGTTTAAACGTGCAAAAATCCAGTTTGCATTCCTAAAATCATTTAAAATGTTTCCTAACTGCCACGTCATAGGTCACGTGAGCAATTTCCAGATTTTTAGGTAGATTTTTAGCACAACTCTGAAAATCCACCTAGAAACCCATTTTTAAAGAACTTTTTGAGCAATTTCAATTATGCTCACAATTTTCAATGTTATTTTTCTCTCCCAAAATCCCATCTCCCCTAAAAACTCACCATTTTCTGTGTTTACTGTTGAATAAATTGGGTACCTATAAAAATCAATATTTTCATCAAAAATCAAATATCCCCGGAGGATTCAGATATTCCAAAAACGCCGGAAAAATTCTTCATGTCTCAAAACCTACAAAATCCCCAAAAAACCTTGCAAAACCCTACGAAAACCATGCGAAAAACTAGGGAGAAAAAAAAAGAAAAAAACGAAATCAAGGCGCATCGATTTATTGGCAGTGTTGGGTCTCGTCACGATGCGCTCGCTTTTTACCGCCACATTCAAAAAATCGTGTTTTTACTTTCTTTTTTCGTGTTTTTTTTCAGGTTTCCTGGGTTTTTCATGAGTTTCCCGATGGTTTCGAAGTCTCTAGGGCTCAAAAACATGGGGAATATCATAAAAATAATGGTTTTGGTTGAAATTCGCTGGATAATTTTGAGAAAATTACGATTTTTCAAAAGTTTTGAATTTAAATTCTAACAAGACATCCATCCAGCTGGAAATCCAGCTTTCAGAACCGAATTTCGAGAAAACCCCTTAAATTGTAAAATTCATCTGTTGTCCAAGTGTAGTATGAAAATCGATTTTGCGCACATCTTGCGCAGCTGTCACTTCGCTCCCTCCCTTTTTCATTTCCTTCAATTCACATTTATTTTATTTGCGCCCAACCCAACCGAAGCAAAAAACACTGTTTTACATACATACATGTACAACTTTACTTTCTAAATATCTTTTTTCCCTGTTTTTCGCATTGAAAATCCTCTTCCAGAAACCGCATAATGACACAACAACAATGAGCAATCGCTCAAAATTGGAAGATTCTCGTTTGACGAGCCAAAAAGAGGCGCATAATTATTGGGGTTTTGCCAATTTTCCCAACCAGGTTTTTCGGCGAGCCGTGAAAAATGGCTTCAATTTCACGTTGATGGTTGTTGGTGAGCACACTATTCGCTGGAAAAATTTTGAATTTTCAGCCAAAAATCACTTTTTCAGATGGAAAAGGTGGTTTTTGGCTGAAAATTTGACTGGAAATCGGAATTTTCAGCCAAAATTCACTTGCTTTCATGGGAAAATCCAGGCTTGCTTAGATTTTCAGATGGAAAAGGTGGTTTTTGGCTGAAAATTTGACTGGAAATATGAGTTTTCAGTCAAAAATCGCTTGCTTTCATGGGAAAATCTAGGCTTGCTTAGGTTTTCAGATGGAAAAAGTGGTTTTTGGCTGAAAATCTGGAAATTTTCAGCCAAAATTCACTTGCTTCCTTAGGAAAATCCAGGCTTGCTTGGATTTTCACATGGAAGGAGTGGTTTTCGGATGAAGAAATTGTAGAAATCTGAAATTTTCAGCCAAAAATCGCTTGGTTCCATGGTAAAATCTAGGCTTGCTTAGAGTTTCAGATGGAACAGGTGGTTTTTGGCTGAAAATTTCAAACAAAGCAACATCTGAAATTGCTGAAAATTTGTCTGAAAATCCAGTTTCCCCATCTGAACAGACTGGAAAGTTCAGCTGGGCTTGAAAATTGGATTTTCAGCCAGATTTTTAGCAGAGATGCGGAAGCTATGCCCAAATTTTGATTTCAGGGTTAAAAAGTGCTATTTCCAGTTTTTGAGCTCAAAATTTCAACACAAAATTATTCAAAATTGCCGAAAATTTGTCTGAAAATCCAGTTTCCCCATCTGAACGAACCGAAAATTTCAGCTGGGCTTGAAAATTGGATTTTCAGCCAGATTTTCAGCAGAGATGCGGAAGCTATGCCCAAATTTTTCTTCGAATTTCCACCCAAATCTTATTTCCAGGCCGCAGTGGTTTGGGAAAATCGACATTCATCAACACACTCTTTCTGGCCGAAATCAACAACCTTTCGGAAAATGCAAGTGCGCCCCACGGCTCAACAGTCCGTGTTGAGGAAAAGCTGGTGAAATTGGTGGAGAACAGCGTGTCGCTCAATTTGACGTTGGTCGATACACCCGGGTTTGGCGACGCTGTGAACAACTCAAAGTGGTAAGAAACTGTGCCGCAGTTTGCTCCGCCCATATTTCTGTGCCGCCCGAAAATATGTTTAATTCTTTGCAGCTGGGAACCGATTGTCAACTATGTGGAAGGCAAATTCTTCGAGCAATTTTGCGAGGAAACTCGAATTGATCGAGCCGAAAAATTGGTGGATAAATGCGTCCATTTGTGCCTTTATTTCATCGAACCATCTGGACACGGGTAAGATTTATGAGCAACGGAAGTACTAGTGTTTTTGGTGTCGAAAATCGTCGGAAAATCACTATTTATCGCGTGGAAATGTGAATTTTCAGTCAAAAATCGCTTGCTTTCATGGGAAAACCTAGGCTTGCTTAGGTTTTCAGATGGAAAAGGTGATTTTTGGCTGAAAATTTGACTGTAAATGTGAATTTTCAGTCAAAAATCGCTTGGTTCCATGGGAAAATCTAGGCTTGCTTAGATTTTCACATGGAAAAGGTGGTTTTTGGCTGAAAATTTGACTGGAAATCGGAATTTTCAGTCAAAAATCGCTTGCTTTCATGGGAAAACCTAGGCTTGCTTGGGTTTTCAGATGGAAAAAGTGGTTTTTGGCTGAAAATCTGGAAATTTTCAGTCAAAAATCGCTTGCTTTCATGGGAAAACCTAGGCTTGCTTAGGTTTTCAGATGGAAAAAGTGATTTTTGGCTGAAAATTTGACTGGAAATCGGAATTTTCAGTCAAAAATCGCTTGCTTTCATGGGAAAACCTAGGCTTGCTTAGGTTTTCAGATGGAAAAAGGTGATTTTTGGCTGAAAATGACTGGAAACGTGAATTTTCAGTCAAAAATCGCTTGCTTTCATGGGAAAACCTAGGCTTGCTTAGGTTTTCAGATGGAAAAAGTGATTTTTGGCTGAAAATTTGACTGGAAATTGGAATTTTCAGTCAAAAATCGCTTGGTTCCATGGGAAAATCTAGGCTTGCTTAGATTTTCACATGGAAAAGGTGGTTTTTGGCTGAAAATTTGACTGGAAATCGGAATTTTCAGTCAAAAATCGCTTGCTTTCATGGGAAAACCTAGGCTTGCTTAGGTTTTCAGATGGAAAAGGTGGTTTTTGGCTGAAAATCTGGAAATTTTCAGTCAAAAATCGCTTGCTTTCATGGGAAAACCTAGGCTCGCTTAGGTTTTCAGATGGAAAAGGTGGTTTTTGGCTGAAAATCTGGAAATTTTCAGTCAAAAATCGCTTGCTTTCATGGGAAAACCTAGGCTTGCTTAGGTTTTCAGATGGAAAAAGGTGGTTTTTGGCTGAAAATCTGGAAATTTTCAGTCAAAAATCACTTGCTTTCATGGGAAAACCTAGGCTTGCTTAGGTTTTCAGATGGAAAAAAGTGGTTTTTGGCTGAAAAAGACAATTCTACACATCTGAAATTGCTGAAAATGTGTCTGAAAATCCACTTTCTCAACTGAAACCAAAGTGTTCAGCTGGGCTTGAAAATTGGACTTTCAGACACATTTTTAGCGAAGATGCGGAAGCTATGCCCAATTTTTTGCAGCCTCAAACCAATCGATATCGAATTGATGAAACATCTGCACGGTCGTGTGAATATTGTTCCAGTAATCGCAAAAGCCGATTGCTTAACTCGCGATGAGCTAAAAAGATTCAAAGTTCAAATCATGAAAGACGCGCAGAGCGCCGAAATTAAATTGTACAATTTTCCGGAAGACGACAAAAGTATGGCGGAAAAATTGCGAGAAATGTTGCCGTTTGCTGTGGTTGGATCGAATTCGTTGAGAGAAAAGGATGGAAAAAAGATCAGATATCGGTAGGAGATGAAAATATGGGGGAAAAATGAATAAAATAGTGATTTTTGGATGGAGAAATGGTAGAAATCTGAAATTTTCAACCAAAAATCGTTTGCTTTCATGGGAAAACCTAGGCTTGCTTAGGTTTTCAGATGGAAAAAGGTGGTTTTTGGCTGAAAATTTCAAACAAAGAAACATCTGAAATTGCTGAAAATTTGTCTGAAAATCCAGTTTCCCCAACTGAACAAACCAAAAATTTTAGCTGGGCTTGAAAATTGGATTTTCAGCCAGATTTTTAGCAGAGATGCGGAAGCTATGCCCAAATTTTCATCTGAAAATCCCAAAAAATCTGAAATTTTCTACCAAAAATCGTTTGCTTTCATGGGAAAATCCAGGCTTGCTTGGATTTTCAGATGGAAAAAGTGGTTTTTGGCTGAAAATTTGACTGGAAATATGAATTTTCAGTCAAAAATCGTTTGCTTTCATGGGAAAACCTAGGCTTGCTTAGGTTTTCAGATGGAAAAAGTGGTTTTTGGCTGAAAATTTAAAAGAAAGCAACATCTAAAATTGCTGAAAATTTGTCTGAAAATCCAGTTTCCCCAACTGAACAAACCAAAAATTTTAGCTGGGCTTGAAAATTGGATTTTCAGCCAGATTTTTAGCAGAGATGCGGAAGCTATGCCCAAATTTTCATCTGAAAATCCCAAAAAATCTGAAATTTTCTACCAAAAATCGTTTGCTTTCATGGGAAAATCCAGGCTTGCTTGGATTTTCAGATGGAAAAAGTGGTTTTTGGCTGAAAATTTGACTGGAAATCGGAATTTTCAGTCAAAAATCGTTTGCTTTCATGGGAAAATCCAGGCTTGCTTGGATTTTCAGATGGAAAAAGTGGTTTTTGGCTGAAAATTTGACTGGAAATCGGAATTTTCAGTCAAAAATCGTTTGCTTTCATGGGAAAACCTAGGCTTGCTTAGGTTTTCAGATGGAAAAAGTGGTTTTTGGCTTAAAATTTCAAACAAAGCAACATTTGAAATTGCTAAAAATTTGTCTGAAAATCCAATTTCCCCAACTGAAAGAACCGAAAATTTCAGCTGGGCTTGAAAATTGGATTTTCAGCCAGATTTTTAGCAGAGATGCGGAAGCTATGCCCAAATTTTCATCTGAAAATGCCAAAAAATCTAGAAATTTTCCAGCGAATATCCATGGGGAACTGTAGAAGTCGAAAATATGGAGCACAATGATTTTCTCACTTTACGCGATATGATTATTCGAACCAATTTCATCGATATGATTGATGTCACCAAAAATGTGCACTATGAGAATTTCCGATTCCGACAAATGGAAGGATTGCCAAAAAATGAGAATAATCGGTGAGTTTTTTTTTCGAGATACTGTAGATTTTTGGTTCAAAATTATCCAATTTTCTCGATTTTTACCTCAAAAAATCCCAAATTTCAACCTGAATTCTTTTTTTTTCAGTGATCCATTCACTCATATGGAAGAAGAACGTCGTCAAAAAGATCGTGAACTCGTCGAAAAACGCGCCACACTGGAACGTGTGTTCAACGAGAAAACCACTCTTCGAAAAACAGAGAAATGAGGAGAAATCGGCGAAATTGGATCAATTGGAACACGAAAATCGCCAGAAAATCGACGCGAAAAAGGCGGAATTGATTCGATTGCGGCATGAGGTGAATACTAGAGAAATTCTGAATTTTGGGGTGAAAATTTGCAATTTTTTGATAGTAAATAAGCCTATATTACTGTAGATCAATATTTTGGCGCAAATTCATTTTTTATGAATTTTAGCGCCAAAAAATCCACGATGAAATTATTTTTGAACAAAAAAATTGAATTTCAAATTTTCCCGCCAAAATTGAGAGCTACAGTAATTCTAGCCTAGTCCTGTTTAGTCTCAAAAAATTTCAAATTTTCCCGCCAAAATTGAGAGCTACAGTAATCCTAGTCTAGTCCTGTTTAGTCTCAAAAAATTTCAAATTTTCCCGCCAAAATTGAGAGCTACAGTAATCCTAGCCTAGTCCTGTTTAGTCTCAAAAAATTTCAAATTTTCCCGCCAAAATTGAGAGCTACAGTAATCCCAGCCTAGTCCTATTTAGTCTCAAAAAATTTCAAATTTTCCCGCCAAAATTGAGAGCTACAGTATTCCTAGTCTAGTCATATGTATTTAGTCTCAAAGAATTCCGCAATTTTCATAGATCAACGAACTTCGAAACGGAAATCTAACATCATCGCAAACCTCATTAGCCATGTACAACGAGAATTCGATAAGCAGTGCAACTTCGAGCAAATCGAGTCCACCAGCAACTGGTGGAACTATCAAAAAACGCATCGGAACACTTGGATTGTTCAATCGAAATTGAATTGCGATGATGATGTTCCTTTAAATTATGCCGGATACTACTGTAACATGAGTTTTCTTTTATTCATTCATCACTTATTTTATCTTTTTTTTTCCTGACCGAAAATGAAATATTGTATTTATTTTTACTGCCACGTAGCAAGTTACTGTAATACAGTACTATTTTTCAAAGGAACATCGCTCCCAAAAATCGATATTTCTTATTATTAACCCATAACAAACAAACAAAACAAAAAAGTTACAAAATCGAGTAAATATTTAACATGACTAATAAAATGTGCCTTTAAAAAACTACAGTACCAGGTTTAAAGGCACATAAGAATTGGTCTAAACCGACGTGTAAAGTGAGGCGGCAAAAACAATATCGCGGCGAATCGACGCCGAAACCTCTTCCATTTTTTCGACCAACGCCGGATCGCCCACAATTCGACCGGCGTTTCTGAAAGAAATTTTGAAATTTTTCGCGCCAAAAGCTACAGTAACCCAAAACGATTTTACGCGAAAAATCTAATTCAAATTTCGCGCCAAAAACGCCTACAGTACTCCTTACCTAACATCCTTACAAACTTCATCCAATCTTTGAATACATTTCACAATCAAACCTTCTTGAGCATCGGTGAGCTCCATGATTTTCGAAAATGGCTGAAAAATTTGGGGAATTTTTCAGATTTTCGATTTTCAGCCTGAAAATCTTACCATTCCGCTAGCCCAATGATAAACAACTTCCATTAAATCGAATCGAATCTGCAAAAAAATCGATAATTTTAGGATACTGTAGCTACAGTAACCCACTTCACATCCAACATCAGCAATTTGAGATTTGTGTTTGGCGGCGACGGATTCGAGACGTGTCATAACAGCTGTGACCGAATCGCGGATCTGCAAAAAAAAAAAACCGTGCCAGGATTGCAGAAAAGGGGCGTGGCCTAGGCATGTTTGGTGTCAAAAAATCGCAAATTCTGGGCCTTACAGTAACCCTAGGCATGTTTGGTGTCAAAAAATCACAAATTTTTGGCCTTACAGTAACCCTAGGCATGTTTGGTGTCAAAAAATCGCAAATTTTTGGCCCTACAGTAACCCTAGGCATGTTTGGTGTCAAAAAATCACAAATATTTAGCCTTACAGTAACCCTAGCATGTTTGGTGTCAAAAAATCGCAAATTTTTGGCCCTACAGTAACCCTAGGCATGTTTGGTGTCAAAAAATCGCAAATTTTTGGCCCTACAGTAACCCTAGGCATATTTAGTATCAAAATGCGTCAAATCGCCTACCGTACCTCATTAAAAACACTGCCCTCCTCAAATTTCAGCCGTTCTTTTCCCGAATTATATTGACACGTCAAAGTTGACAACAAAGCGGCCAACTCGGCCGGTGGTCTCGAATGGAATTTATTGTCCAAAATCAGTTCGGTGATGAGAAGTTCTTGATGATGAATTTCGCAAGCGATTCGACCTTTTAGACTGACCATTTTGTTCGGTTCGACAAAGTTGAGGTTTTGGAGAACCTGGTGGAAAATTGGTGAAAAATTATGAATTTTGAGTCAAAAAACCGGATTTTTCGATGATTTTCAGTTAATTTTGAGCTAAAAATCATGAATTTCAGGCTATTTTTAAGCTAGAATTCATGATTTTTGGTGAATTTAAGTTAAAACCAATTTTTATAGTTTCAGATGAAATTTGAGCCAAAAAACCGGATTTTTTGATGATTTTCAGTTAAATTTGAGCCAAAAATGCTCAAAATCACCCCGAAAAAAAAAACTCACAGCCAATCGATTTTGATATTCTTCACTCAACAACAAAGCATCGGATGATAAGTCGAATTTCAGTTTTTCGGCTCGTCGTTCGACTCGAACACGTTGGCGATGTTCCAAGAGCTGGAAAATTTGAAACTGAGCAAGTGCGCTCTATTGATAATCATGTTTTTATAGGGGAAATTTGAATTTTTATTTTTTTTTTGGATAAAAAAATTGAATTTTCGAGGATTCTGAGCAAGTGCGCTCTATTGATAAACATATTTTTATAGGGGAAATTTGAATTTTTATTTTTTTTCGGATAAAAAAATTTGAATTTTTGAGGGCTCTGAGCAAGTGCGCTCTATTGATAATCATGTTTTTATAGGGGAAATTTGAATTTTTATTTTTTTTTCATTAAAAAAATTGAAATTTTGAGGGTTCTGAGCAAGTGCGCTCTATTGATAATCATGCTTTGTATAAGAAAATTTGAATAATTTTTTTTTGGATAAAAAAAATTGAATTTTTGAGGGTTTTGAGCAAGTGCGCTCTATTGATAATCATCTTTTTTTATAAGAAAATTTGAATTTTTATTTTTTTTTCATTAAAAAAATTGAATTTTTGAGGATTCTGAGCAAGTGCGCTCTATTGATAATCATGTTTTTATAGGGGAAATTTGAACTTTTATTTTTTTTTTTTGGATAAAAAAAATTGAATTTTTGAGGGTTTTGAGCAAGTGCGCTCTATTGATAATCATGATTTTATAGGGGAAATTTGAATTTTTATTTTTTTTTCATTGAAAAAAATTGAATTTCGAGCACTTGCGCTCCATTGATGATTTTATTGAATTTCAAAATTTCGCGCCAAAATAAAGCTACAGTAACCTTTTTTGATCTACCTACAGTAACCGTAACCCTAGTCATATTTAGTCTCAAAAAACTTCAAATTTTCTCGCGCCAAAAACTACAGTAACCCACATGAGTCTCAAAATCGGCACAATGTTGTGCTCCAAATTTTTCGCGATCGCGGAGCTCCATTTCACGGGCTCCCAAAAACGAGACTTCCATGTTCAAATCGATATTTTGACAATTGGCGGCGAGTTCGGCGTAGGTGTAGATCTGGAAATTTTTAAGATTTGGCTGAAAATTTCAGGCTTACACCTCAATTTTGAGCATTTTCAGCGTATTTTGGTCAATTTCCAGTATAAAAATCTGAATTTTCAGCTTTTTTATTCGAAATTTTGAGCATTTTCAGCTTTTTCAGCTTGGAGTTACCTCAACTTCCTCATTTTGCATAGCCGTTTTGACTTGTGATAATTGTTGAAGAATTTTCATGGTGTTGGTGGAGACTTCTTCACTTCTGCAAGAGAAAATTTGGAATTTCTCGAAATTCGCGGGGGACTAGAAATCCAACAATTGATTTTCTAGGCCATTTCAAATGGCCTAGAAAATAAAAAAAAAACTGCTTGGCCTAGTTTTTGACGGCCTAGAAATTCGGTATTTGGTTTTCTAGGCCACGATCAAATTTTAACTCGCCTAGAAAACCAAAAAACTGCTTGGCCTAGTTTTTGACGGCCTAGAAATTCGGGATTCGGTTTTCTAGGCCACGGTTCAATATCAGATGGCCTAGAAAATCAAAAAAAAACTGCTTGGCCTAGTTTTTGACGTCCTAGAAATTCGTTTTTTGGTTTTCTAGGCCACGGTTCAATTTCAGAAGGTCTAGAAAACCAAAAAACTGCTTGGCCTAGTTTTTGACGGCCTAGAAATTCGGGATTTGTTTTTCTAGGCCACGATCAGATTTTATCTGGCCTAAAAAACCAAAAAACTGCTTGGCCTAGTTTTTGACGGCCTAGAAATCCAACAATTGATTTTCTAGGCCACGGTCAAATTTTATCTGGCCTAGAAAACCAAAAAAAACTGCTTGACCTAGGTTTTGACGGACTAGAAATTCGGGATTTGGTTTTCTAGGCCACGATCAAATTTTATCTGGCCTAGAAAACCAAAAAACTGCTTGGCCTAGTTTTTGACGGACTAGAAATTCGGGATTCGATTTTCTAGGCCACGATCAGATTTCAGATGGCCTAAAAAACTAAAATATTGCTTGGCCTAGTTTTTGACGACCTAGAAATTCGGGGTTTGGTTTTCTAGGCCACGATCAGATTTTAGCTGGCCTAGAAAACCAAAAAACTGCTTGGCCTAGTTTTTGACGGCCTAGAAATTCGGGATTTGGTTTTCTAGGCCACGATCTCAGAACACACCGTGTTGGGGCTCAAAATGCTCCAAAAAATGAGAAGAGCATCGAATTTGAGCTCAAAATGCTCCAAATTTTGCTCACCTGAACCTGGGTATCATATTCCTCTGATAATCCTGCACAATTTCACTGCTCGCCAATTGTTTCACCTGTTTTTTGAGCACCGCCACAATAGCCTCCACCGGCACTTCACAAACTCGATAATTCCACAAGCTGGCGGTGGTGTCCGAATCGTGGCGAGACCCACAGGTACCGTACTTGGCGGTGGCCAGGATTTGCGACTCTTCGGTTTGCCACGTGGCTTCGTCATCAGTCAGCGATTTTTGGAATTTGTCGGCGTGTTGATCGAGTTGAATTGCTGTGTCGAGATTTTTGACGGCGACGAGGATCTGTGAGAGGAAAATTTTAATTTTTCGAATTTCGCGCCAAAAATTCGAAGATTATGAGCAAGTGCGCTCTATTGATAACTTAATGTTTCAAGTGAAAATTTGAATTTTTTTTGAGGAGAAAATCGAGTGGATTTTTGGATTTTTAGAGCTAAAATTGAATGTGCGCTCTATTGATAATCAGGTTTTCGGGTGGAGAATTTGAATTTTTCGAATTTCGCGCCAAAAAATTCAAAGATTATGAGTAAGTGCGCTCTATTGAGAATATGAAGTTTCAAATGAAATTTTGAATTTTTTTGAGGAGAAAATCGAGTGGATTTTCGGATTTTTAGAGGTAAAATTGAATGTGCGCTCTATTGATAATCAGGTTTTTGGGTGGAAAATTTTAATTTTTCGAATTTCGCGCCAAAAATTCGAAGATTATGAGCAAGTGCGCTCTATTGATAACTTAATGTTTCAAGTGAAAATTTGAATTTTTTGAGGAGAAAATCGAGTGGATTTTTGGATTTTTAGAGCTAAAATTGAATGTGCGCTCTATTGATAATCAGGTTTTCGGGTGGAGAATTTGAATTTTTCGAATTTCGCGCCAAAAATTCAAAGATTATGAGTAAGTGCGCTCTATTGAGAATATGAAGTTTCAAATGAAATTTTGAATTTTTTTGAGGAGAAAATCGAGTGGATTTTCGGATTTTTAGAGGTAAAATTGAATGTGCGCTCTATTGATAATCTAGTTTTTTCAAAGAAAATTTGAATTTTTCGAATTTCGCGCTAAAAATTCAAAGATTATGAGCAACTGCGCTCTATTGATAACTTAATTTTTAACATTCAAATTTGAATTTTTAATTTTTTTTTGAGGAGAAAATCGAGTTTCCACGTGGATTTTCGGATTTTTAGAGCTAAAATGCATATGCGCTCTAATGATAATCTAGTTTTTTCAAAGAAAATTTGAATTTTTTCGAATTTGGAGCCAAAAATTGAATGTGCGCTCTATTGATAATCAGGATTTCGGGTGGAGAATTTGAATTTTTCGAGCTAAAATTGCATGTGCGCTCTGATGATAATCGAATTTTTTCAAAGAAAATTTGAATTTTTCGAATTTGGAGCCAAAAATTGAGTGCTACAGTAACCAAGGCATGTTTGGTCGCAAATTTTCGCTTCAAAAACACCTACAGTAATCCTACCGTACCTGAAGTGAACGTCGTTGTCCATTAACCATTTCCTTCAACAACAACACAATCTCATTTTCGAGTTGATTTTGCACATTGTTCACAATCAAAAATCGACCGCTAATCAATAATTTATTGATTGCTGGTTCTCGATTCATTTTTGGCCAAATTTCACGGCGATTTCGGCAGAAATGTGATAAAGCTGAGTGGAATTCGCGAATCGAGTTATCGCAAATTGGACAATTCAAAAGAGACATTGAATCGAGTTGAAGGTTTATCTGGAAAAAAAAAATTGAGGCTGAAAATGAGCTAAAAATTAATAATTTTGTGTTTTTTTTTTGAATCTGAAAACCTTCGCGCTAAAAATCATTGGATTTTTGGCGCCAAAATCTACAGTAAAACTCACATCTTTCAATTTTTTCGGCGATCCACCGATTCTCGAAGTGAACTACTTTCCACGTAGCTTCTGGAAAAAAATTTGAATTTTTTTTTTGTGGAAAACATTTTGGCGCCAAACTTGATCTACAGTAACCCTGAGAACCTGGCAAAAATTACTGTGGATTTGAAAAAATTTTCAAAATTCGAATTTTTCGCTCCGATAAATTCCTGGAGTACTGTAGTCCAAAAGGGTTTGATCTACAGTAACCTAGGCTTGTTTGGTGTCAAAAAGTGTGGAATTTTCGCGCCAAAATTGATCTACAGTAATCTTAGTCATGTTTAGTGTCAAAAAATCGCAAATTTTCGATCCAAGGCCTTATTTAGACTCAAAAAATCGCAAATTTTCGGGCCAATATTGATCTACAGTAGCCTAGGCTTGTTTAGTGTCAAAAAATCGCAAATTTTCGATCCAAGGCATATTTAGAGTCAAAATTCGTAAAATTTTCGCGCCAAAATTCATCTACAGTAACCTAGGCTTGTTTGGTGTCAAAAAAATGTGGAATTTTCCCGCCAAAACCTCAAACCTCTTCAACATATCCTCAATCTTCAATTGTTCCACTCTCAACAAATTCAACAACATCGAATAAGTGACTCGAAATTTGCTCTTCAGCTCCAACGCACTTCCCATCATTAATTGCTTCAAAACATCGGGTTGATGTACCGTATTCTCTTTGCACAACACAATTACAGTACCCGTCGTGTCGAGACCTCTTCTTCCAGCTCTTCCCGCCATTTGGGTGTATTCTCCCGGGTTTAGGACACGTTTCTCGGTGCCGTCGTGTTTCACAATATTATCGAAGACAACACACCGTGCTGGCATATTTACACCCATTGCGAAGGTTTCTGTGGCGAAGAGGATCTGCAATTTTGCCGCATGGTTTTTCAAAGATCATTTTCTAAGCTCCGCCCCTTTTCTGGAATTTTGCGGCATGGTTTTTTAAAGATCATTTTCTAAGCTCCGCCCCCTTTTCTGCAATTTTGCCGCATGGTTTTTAAATGATCATTTTCTAAGCTCCGCCCCTTTTCTGCAATTTTGCCGCATGGTTTTTAAAAGATCATTTTCTAAGCTCCGCCCCTTTTTTCTATTTGCCGCATGGTTTTTGAAAGATTATTTTCTGAGCTCCGCCCCCTTTTCTGCAATTTCGCCGCATGGTTTTCTACTCAAATCTCATCAAAATCATGCATTTCCGGTCATTTTTAGTCAAAAATTCCCCAAGCTCCGCCCCTTTTTTTGCAATTTTGCGGCGCGGTTTCTGTCCAGACTTACCTTAACATATCCCTGTTGAAACAACAATTCGACAACTTCTTTCAATATCGGCAAAATTCCACTGTGATGAACGGCGAAGCCACGTAGGCACAATTCTCGCATTGTGAGGACCTGGATGGGAAAAATCCGGAGATTTTTTGGGTGGAAATAGGGGGCAAGTGCGCTCTAATGAACATGGGGGGGGGGAATTTGAATTTTCAAATTTTTAACATGAAAATAGGAGCCTAGACGCTTTTGAAACGCTGAAAATCGTGAAATTTGGAAGAAAATGGGCAAGTGCGCTCTAATGATAAATAGGTTTTGTGAGAGAAAATTTGAATTCTTTATTTTTCACTTGAAAATAGGCCAAGAAGCGTTTAAAACGCTAAAAATCAAAGAAAATAGGCAAGTTCGCTCTAATGATAATTACGTTTTGTGAGAGAAAATTTAAATTTTTGAATTCTTAACATGAAAATAGACCTAGAAGCTTTTGAAACGCTGAAAATCGTGAAATTTGGAAGAAAATAGGCAAATGCGCTCTATTGATAATAAGGTTTTGTGAGAGAAAATTTGAATTTTTAATTTTTTTACTTGAAAATAGGCCTAGAGGCTAAAAATAGAGATTTTCTGTGAAAATTAGCAAGTGCGCTCTAATGATAATTAGGTTTTGTGAGAGAAAATTCAAATTTTCATTTTTTTTTCTCGAAACTTTTTGGCGCCAAAACTGATCTACAGTAACCCTAGCCATATTTACTATCAAAAAACTCCAAATTTTCGCGCGCCTACCGTACCTGCGGCAACTGCTTATCACTTCCTTTGAGGCGCTCAATGCATTGCGCGAAAAATTTGTGCACTTGTGATTTCTCTTTTTCCGATGTGAGATCCATTGATTTGAGCAGTTGAGCATTGTCGTCGCATCTGGAAAAACAAAACAATTTTTTTTTTCATTTTTTTTTCTTGAAAGGTGGGGAAGTGCGCTCTATTGATAATCATGCATGGAAATGATGGAAATTCAATATTTTTGAAATTTTGAAAAGATTCTGAGTACCTTTAAAAATTGGTAGATCAATTTTTGGCCCCCAAAATGATCTACAGTATCCTCGTGATTACTGTAGATTCCACGTGGCAAATTTACTATCAAAAAATTTCAAATTTTTCCAAAGAAAAATCAATTTCCACGCGTCACGTGCTCCAAATTCGCGTGGATTTTTTCGAGCCAAAAAAAAAAATAAATAAATTCCCGGCTGCTCATTCCTACCCAATTCCTATTCCAAATCTAATCTAATCAAAAAAAATGGTCGTAATCCTTATCACCGTAATTTGTTCCTGCCCAATTCTCGTCACATTTGCGCTCATTTTTTTGCACTGGAAATGGATTTTGAGCAGCTCGGCGAGCTCAGAAGAAAATGAGCAACAGCCGATTCCCAATCCCAAGCTATTCATGACCGTATTTTGGGCCGTTTCTATGGTGATTTTGGCGATGGCGGTGGGCGCTGTGGTTTTGTATATTTTTGAGCAAATGCATGAGGTGGAGGTGGAGAAAATGGATGGAGGTACGGTGGTTTTTGGCGCGAAAATTCGCTATTTTTTGACATCACACATGGCTAGGGGTACTGTAGATCAATTTTGGCGCGAAAATTCCACATTTTTTGACACCAAACATGGCTAGGGGTACTGTAGATCAATTTTGGCGCGAAAATTCCACATTTTTTGACACCAAACATGCCTAGGATACTGTAGATCAATTTGGTGGCCAAAAATTGATCTACCAGTTTTTACAGTACCCAGGAACGTTTCGAGAACAAAAAAATGTGATTCTCAATAGAGCGCACTTGGATTTTCACCCAGAAAATCCTAGATTTCGGGCTTTTCGGGCTTAAATCCAGGCCTAGGCTTATTTGGTGTCAAAAATCCCGAAAAAAAAATTTTCAGAAGTTCAACAATTTTTTGGCGACACGGAAACAGCGGGAAAATCGATTCGAAAAATTGTCGAAAAAAATTTGTCAACCACCAATTTTGAGGGGTATTTGAGAGACTATTTGAAGAACGAGTTCAAATTTAAGGATATTGATACGGTTCGTCAATTTTTTGCAATTTTGCGGCGCGGTTTTCGGAGGGAATGCGGAGATTATAGGCTCCGCCCACTTTTTGCAACTACAAGGCACAGTTTTTCAATAGGAAATCGGTAAAAAATTGATCAGAATTCAAGAAAAATCTTTCGAAAACCCTATTTTCAAGCTCCGCCCACTTTTTGCAACTACAAGGCACAGTTTTTTTTATAGGAAAATCGGAAAATCGATTAAATTTCAAGGGAAATCTCTCAAAAATCATAATTTTTAGGCTCCGCCCATTTTTTGCAATTTTGCGGCACAGTTTTTCTATAAGAAAATCGGAAAATCGATTAAATTTCAAGGGGAATCTCTCAAAAATCATAATTTTTAGGCTCCGCCCATTTTTTGCAACTACAAGGCACAGTTTTTCTATAGCAAAATCGGAAAATCGATTAAATTTCAAGGGAAATTTCTCAAAAATCGAAAATTTAAGCTCCGCCCATTTTTTGCAACTACAAGGCACAGTTTTTCCTCCAAAAAAAAACCTCCAAATTTTTGCAGAAAACCGTGAATGTTAGCAATGAAATGATCAACTTTTTGCGCACAACCAAATTCTCAAACGACACAAAAATCTGTGTGAAAAATGGTAAAAATGTGACGATGAGCGAAGAAACAAACGGTGCGAATTATGTGAACTCAATGATAAATACGATGAAAAAATTGGAGCGAAATGTGAACGAATCGAAACAATTGTATGGTGAGATGGAATTGAGTGGTTTGCAGGGAATTGCTTTTGAAGTTGGCACAAATCCGAGCGAAAGAATTAAGATGAAATGGGGTGCTTTTGAGGTGAGAAAAATGGGTTTCAAAAATTCAGTTACTAACTTTCTCAAGCTGAAATCGATGAAAATGATAGAAAATCTACTTTTTCAATGAAAAATAGCTCAAAATCGATTTCTCGGTCAAAAATTCGGTTTCTTATAGATTTTACAAGCTGGAGTTGATGAAATATCATTGTTTCCACCAATTTTCGGTCAAAAATTGAGTTCCTGACAAATTTTTTAGGCTATAGGTGATCAAAATGATGAAAAATCGAATTTTTCAGTGAAAAATAGCTCAAATTCGAAGGAAAATCAATTTCACAGTCAAAAAGTCGATTTCTTTTTGATTTTACGAGCTGGAGTTGATGAAAATGATGAAAAATCATTGTTTCCACCGATTTTCGGTCAAAAAATGATAGAAAACGCTCTTTTCGAATAGAGCTGATAAATTTTGTTTACAAAAAACGATGTTATCAATGGGGCGCACTTGCAATTTTTCATAGAAAATCGTGATTTTCGCCCAAACTTGATTACCACGTCATAACTCTCAATTCTTCCTACAGAAAGTCGTAGCTCACATCAAAAACGACGCCACAAAAATGCCGGAAAAGCTGAAAATCCAACAAAAGCGCAAAAAATCGGAATCCGAAGGCAAAAACAATCAACATCTCATATTTGGCTCGTCAATCATTTGCACAATTTTGTGCCTTTTCATCGCAATTTGGATCGTTCAACACATTCGTTCGAAAAAACCCGAAAAACGTCATCCATTGATTATTTATTGGACGTTGTCCATGTTTTATGTCTCTAGTTTGGTCACCATCATTTTCTCGTTGTGTTTTATCGTTTTGTCGTTTGATGTGATTAATTTGAATGATTGTAGAGTTGGTGGAAATTCGATGAGTTATACGGAAATGACGAGCGCTTTTGAGGTTAAAGGAATCGAGTGAGTTTTGGGTGGAAAATAGGTCTAGGATCATTTTCGGAGCGAAACTTGAATGAGGTTTTTAGCGCGAGACGATATTTAGGCCTAGGCCCAAAGCTTGGTGACCAAACTTGATAGTTTTCGACCCGCTGATCACTATCCTGTTGTCCAAAATTGCAAAACTCAACTCTTAATATGATTTATGACGTGGCAAATATAGCACAGGGTTGTTCGGGAGGGTCAACAACCCTATGCTACATGAAAATACTTTTTGAAGCTAATTTTCCCCGATTTTCGTAAATAAAATGAGTTATGACGTGGCAAAATTTGAAAAATTTACGAAAATCGGGATTTTGGGAGACAAATCTTATAGCATAGGGTTGTTGGCCCTCCTGAACAACCCTGTGCTAGATTTGCCACGTCATAACTAGGAGTTGAGTTTTGCAATTTTGGACAACAGGATAGTGATCAGCGGGTCGAAAACTATCAAGTTTGGTCACCAAGCTTTGGGTCCAGGCCTAAATATCATCTCGCGCCAAAAACGGTTCTAGCCTAATTTTTGACGAAAAAATGGCTCAGCCACAAATTTACGAAAAATCCGAAATGTGTTCAGGCACATCTTTGCAACAACTCTCGAAAAGGACCATCATCGTATTTGCGCGAATAAAAGCACCACGATATTCGAAATGTTCTCCGTGAAAAATATGCTATTTTCGCGCGATGCGAGAATCTACGATGAGACACAACATGCGATGAAAATCAAAATTGTTTCCCCACATTTTTTGGACAACATGAATGAACTTGAAAATCACGTTGAAAAGCTCCGAAACTATATTAAATGCGCGAAAACTTCAGTTTTTTCGAATTTCATCGAAATTCCGGAAAATTATACCGTCGAATTGTCAAACTACATCATGTTTATGCAGTCGAGTTTTACGGAAGACTTTATGCCATATGATGGAGCAGTGAAGGAACTGGACGAGGAAATTAAGAAGACGTACGAAAATGCAGAGGTTTGTCTATTTTTGGTACCAAATAGGCCTACTCTGAGCTTTTTTTGGCCTCAAAAATGTGAAAAACTGAAAATTCAAATTTCCGCCCAAAACGCGCTGTTCTCATTAGGGCGCACTTGCCTAATTTCAGAGCTAAAATCGTGATTTTCGCACCGAAAAGCCTAGTTTTTGAGTTTTGAGGTATGACGTGGCAAAACTCAACTTTTTTCTATAAATAAACATTGCCACGTGGTTTTTTAGCGTCTTTTTAAAGTCCGGAACAAAAAACATGAAAATTCAAATTTTCGCCGAAAACGCGTTGTTCTCACTAGAGCGCACTTGCCTAATTTCAGATCTAAAATCGTGATTTTCGCACCGAAAGGCCTAGTTTTTGAGTGTTTAGTTATGACGTGGCAAAACTCAACTTTTTTCTACTCAAAAAATTGCCACATGGTTTTTTGGCGTCTATTTAAAGTTCATAACATAAAAAATGAAAATTCAAATTTTCGCCGAAAACGCGCTTTTCTCATTAGGGCGCACTTGCATTTTTCCACCCAAAAATCGTCATTTTCGCACCGAAAAGCCTAGTTTTTAGGTGTTTAGTTATGACGTGGCAAAACTCGATTTTTTTTCTACTCAAAAAATTGCCACGTGGAATTTTTGGGGCTAAATTTTGAAAAAAAATAGAATTCAAAAAAAAAATGAAAATTCAAATTTTCGCCGAAAACGCGCTGTTCTCATTAGGGCGCACTTGCTAATTTCAAGGCTAAAATCATGATTTTAGCACCGAAAAGCCTAGTTTTTGAGTTTTGAGGTATGACGTGGCAAAACTCAATTTTTTCTACTCAAAAATTGCCACGTGGACTTTTTGGCGCCAAATTTTGAAAAAAAAATAGAATTCAAAAAAAAAAAATGAAAATTCAAATTTTCGCCGAAAACGCGCTGTTCTCATTAGGGCGCATTTGCATTTTTCCAAAAAATTCGTCATTTTCAGGCCATCACCGCAAAATTCAACATTACGTGCTCAAAAATGCACCAAATTTTCACGGGACCTTTGGAAAACGTTTGCGATTTGGCCAATTTCCAACTCGAAAATATCACGCTCTACATGATTTTCGTCAGTTTTTCGAGCCTTTTTCCAACAATTTTGCTCATTTTCACGCATTTATGGATGAATTCGGAGAAATTTGATGAGAATGTGACCAAAAAAGAATGATGTGTGCTATGACGTGGCAAATTTACTCGATTTGTAATGAATTTTTTAGTGAAAACTTCAAATTTCCTTCAAAAACGCGTGGTTATCAATAGAGCGCACTTGGTTATTTGAACAGAGAAAAATGACGATTTTCAGCCCAAATTTTCAGCCCAAAATCTTACCTTTTCCGTGAAAAAACAAAAACCACCATAGGAAGTTCGTCTTTGGCTTTCATGTGATTGATCAAATTCAAATATACATTTTTGTCGTTTTTTCCCGGCCAATTGCGTTGAGATTGCGCGTGATTTGAGGCGCCTGGAATTAAAATTTGAATTTTGGACGAAAAAAAATTGAAAATTCAAATTTTCGCCGAAAACATGTTGTTATCAATGGAGCGCATTTGCTTATTTTCGTCAAAAATTCGTGATTTTGGCTCTATTTTGAGCGAATTTAGGTTGTTTTCCACAGAAAAATCGAATTTAAGCTGTTCTTCAGAAATTTCAGTGATTTTTGAAACTTCAGCGCAATTTAATAGTAAATAGGATATTTTTCAGATTGCTAAAAAAATTGAAAATTCAAATTTTCGCCGAAAACACGTTGTTTTCAATGGGGCGTATTTGCTCATTTTCGTCTAAAATTCGTGATTTCGGATCTATTTTGAGCGAATCTAGGTTGTTTTCCACAGAAAAATCGAAATTGAGCTATTTTTCAAAAATTTCAGTGATTTTTGAACGAAAATTCTGAATTTTTGAAACTTTAGCGCAATTTATTTAAAAAAATAGGATATTTTTCAGAATGCTTAAAAAAATGAAAATTTAAATTTTCTCCAAAAAACACGTTGTTATCAATGGAGCGCATTTGCTCATTTTCGTCTAAAATTCGTGATTTTGGGTCTATTTTGAGCGAATCTATGTTATTTTCCACAGAAAAATCGATTTTTTAGTCCAAAACCCCTCACCTCCTCCTCTAAATCCACCGCGTTGATTATTTCCGCGTGCCGCCGCATTTCCGCCTCCTCTTTGATTTTGTTGCTGCGGCGGCGGGTTCGCCTTCTCCAAATGTCGCATTTTCGCCTCTTTTGCGTCGTTGTAGCCTTTGATGAGAAATTCGCCGCGTTGATCGATAATCTGTGGCGAAAATTTGAATTTGGGGATTTTTGGCGCGAAAAATTTGAAATTTCAACCATAACATGAAAATGTTTGAAAAAAATTCAAAATTAATTTTTTTCGCGCGCTCAAATTTTTAAATTCAAGTATATTCCTACTGTAGTTCAAATTTCAAATTTTTGGCGCGAAAAATTTGAAATTTTAACCTTAACATGAAAATTTTCAAATCCACGTGGCGAATATTTTAAAATCAAAAAACGTGAAATTTTCTGGCGGCAAAATCTACAGTAACCCTAGGCATATTCGGTGTCGAAAAATCGCAAATTTTAGCAAAAAAAAAATCGCAACCTTAAAAAGATCCCTCTGCGTCTTTCCATCCTGTCCAGTATACAAATAATGTTCGAGCGGCACAGGTCTGCGATCCGTTGAAATCACCATAATCTGTCGATTTTTGACGCGTCCAACCCAATCGGCAAATTCAACACAATTCGGAACTGTCGCTGATAACATGACGATTTTGACGTGAGCTGGCAGCATGATTAGAACCTCTTCCCAAACGTGTCCACGTTCTTCGTTGTTGATATAATGAACTTCGTCGAATACAACCCATTCGAGATCTCGAATCACTTCGGAACCATTGTAGAGCATTGATCTGGAAATTTCAGAGTTCGAGAGGCCGAAATGAGCAAAATGAGCAAAAAATTCAATTTTTTTATCCAAAAAAAAAATTCAAATTTTCAACAAAAACGCATTATTATCAATAGAGCGCATTTGCCTTTTTCATCATTTTTAGCTATTTTTCAATGAAAATTGTGAACTCTTCAAGTTTTTAGTGAAACTTCAGAGTTCTGGAGGCTAAAATGAGAAATTTTTTCAATAAATGAAAATTCAAATTTCTCAACAAAAACGCATTATTAGCAATAGAGCGCATTTGCTCATTTTCTTCAGAAATTTTGATTTTTAGCTATTTTTCATTGAGCAATTTTCATTCTGATTAATATTTAAACTGGAAAAAAATGAAAATTTGAATTTCCAACAGAAAAACATTGTTATCAATAGAGCGAACTTGTTTTTTTCATTGAAAATCATGATTTTTATCTATTTTCAAGGTTTTTAGAACAATTATATTTTCAATATGAGCAAAAAAAAAATAAAATTTTGAATTTTCGACAAAAACGCATTATTATCAATAGAGCGCACTTGCAAATTTTCTTCAAATTTCAAGTTTCTTAGCTCGAAATTTCGCGATTTTTCCGAATTTTCAGTCAAATTCCCCACCTCAAAATCTCGGTTGTCATAATAATACAAAAAGCTTCGGGATTCAATTGAATATCACCGGTGACAAGTCCAACATCATCGAAAATCTGCTTGAAGTCTCGAAATTTCTGATTCGACAGCGCTTTGATGGGCGAAGTGTAGATGGCTCTGTGGAGAAAAATTTGAATTTTGGCGGGAAAAAGTGGCGGGAAAAATTTAGGGTCTCGAAGCGATCCGGGAGTACGGTATGCGCCTTTGAGAGTATCTCTAGGCTTGTTTGGTATCAAAATGACCCGAGTCACCTCGTTTTGTGCATTTTGCACATCGCAATCGCATATTCGGCAACCACGGTTTTTCCGGCAGAAGTGTGAGCGGCGACAAAAAGCGAATCGCCACGTTCCATGCATAAAACCGAGGATTGTTGGAAGGCGTCCAATTCGAAGGGGTACTGTAGGTAAATTGAATTTGAATTTGAGTTTTTTGGCGCCAAAATTTGACGTATTTTGATGGTAAATAAGCTATTATCTGAAAAAAATGAAAATTCAAATTTTCGACGAAAATTCGCTGTTCTCAATGGGGCGCACTTGCTAATTGTTCGTCAAAAAATTGTCATTTTTGCCCGGAAAAATCTGGAATTTCAGAGTTTTTCTGTGTGAATTGAAAATGTTCATGCCACGTGGATTTTGGAATGTTTGGCGCGAAAAATTCGTACTGCATTATTCAAATTGGCGCCAAAAATTACAGTAAGACTAGGCGGCATGAATTCCAGACTTTTACGGGCAAAAATGACGAATTTTTGATGAAAAATTAGCAAGTGCGCCCCATTGAGAACAGCGAATTTTCGTCAAAAATTTGAATTTTCATTTTTTTTTTCGGAACTCAAAAATAGCCTATATTTACTATCAAAATGCGCCAAATTTTGAGGTTGCCACGTGGCAAATTCGAAGGGGTACTGTAGGAAATTTGAATTTGAGTTGTTGGCGCCAAAATTTGACATATTTTGATGGTAAATAAAAAACTCTGAAATTTCAGACTTTTCCGGGCAAAAATGACAAATTTTTGATGAAAAATCAGAAAGTGCGCCCCATTGAGAACAGCGAATTTTCGTCAAAAATTTGAATTTTCAATTTTTTTTTGCCAGAATATTTACTATCAAAATGCGCCAAATTTCAGCGGCAAAAAATTGCCACGCGGAAAAAAACGCTCACTTTCCGCGCCATATTCGGCACCAATTGTCGATATTCTTCCGCATCGTCTTCCGTCAAATCAATCCGCTTTGCGTGTGAAAATCCGCCACCATTTTTCTCCCAAATTCGCACATCATTTTCCTCCTCGCGATGATTTTCTTCCTCGGCGATTTTCAGACATTCCTCAACTTCCGGAACTGCAATTTCAGCCATTTTTGGTGGATTTGGGGGTTTCTCAGGTTCCAGGCTGATTTTTGGAGCAGTTTCAGCCGATACCAAATTCATCAGATCGAACATATCCAAATCATCAATCGACACTGCTTCTAGCACAGGAGATTTTGGCGGCAAATCTTGTTGACGCGAAAAAAATCGGACCTCACCCAGCACCGGCACATCATTCAAAGTTCCCAAGTTCTCCAAAAACACGTCCTCCTGGCCTAGTTTTCCGTCGCCGGATTTCTCGGCCATCAATTGTTGCAAAACCTCGTCCTCGATGTAGCCGGGCAAAAATGGGACATTGGAGGAGGAGCCGCGAATTCCATTGGATGGTCCGTGTTTGAAGGGAGCCCTGGAAAATATTGGATTTTTTCATTTGCCACGTGGCGAAAAATCGTGTTTCTAGGGAAAAAAATGAAAATTCAAATTTTCCTCCGAACAACATTGTTATCAATGGAGCGCATTTGCTAATTTTTGTTAGAAATTCGAGCCAGGAAGCCTGGATTTTAACCGGGACTTCGTTAAACTTAAGCTATGACGTGGCAAAATGCGAAAATATGGATTTTTACAGCGAGAATCTCAATTTTATGTTAAAATCCTGAAGATTTCGCTCAAAAACCTCCGAATCCTGGATTTTCATGATTTCCAAGTGAAAATCCACATTTCCCACAGCCTATCACGCACCGATTAATCGACATCGACACCGAACTCGATCCAAACTCCAAATTCGATCGATTCTCCTCGACGAATCCACGAATCGCACCGGTTTCATCGATTTGCGGCGCCAAACTTGTTGAAGGGTCCAGTGGAATCAGCACATTATTCTCCAAATTCTGACTAATATCAATGGAGATCGAAGAAGCGGTTTGCCTGCAAAAAACCCGAGTTTTCCCACAAAAAACAGGCATTTTTCGCGAAAAACTCACTTTCTAATCTCTTCCGACAGTTCTCCATATGGAGGCCAGCAAAGCGTCTCCAAACATTCTAGCCGAAACAATTTTTCAGCTTTTTTCTCCAAGTTTTGCGACATTATCAGCTGAAAACCGGGGTTTTGGGGAGAAAACAAGAAAAAACGGGGGAAAAAAAGAAAAGAAAAAATGAAATATTGGCCTAGGAACCGACGAGGGACGAGGTTTTGAAGAACTTCGGCCATGCTGTTTTTTTGCCGAAAAATGGGATATATAACACTTCGTTTCAGGGCGAACAAATGGAGACAGAGAGAGTGTGTAGAGTGCGAAAGAAAAACCGCGAAACTGAAAATACCGCGAAATTTAATAAGGCTGGCACCCAGCCAACTGTTGGGTCCCGAAGCGATGGTCCATGAATTCTCATTTTCAAAAATTTTTCGGGGTTTTTTGTGTCTGCGTCGCGTTTTCTCTATTTGTTCGTCCCAACACAGGACTGAAACGAAGTGTATAATAAAAACTCAAAAATAGACATCGGTGGCCGAGTTCGGCCATGACCTAATTCCCCAAATGTTTCGTGTACTCCCGGACAATTTTTTTTCGCTTTTTTTTCGCTTCCACTCGAATTTCACCGGAAATTTCCAGAATTCTCGCCACGCTTCATCGAAATTTCGCCACTTTTCCCAAAAAAAATGGCGGGTTTGAGTCAAATTGCCGACGTCGACATCGATCCGAAAGGCGTCTTCAAATATATTCTGATCAAATGCGTTGAGAAATCGAGCAAAGCCGAAAAGTTGGTTGTCCGCGGATATTATCGCTGCAATTTTCATGCGGATATTTTGGATGAGACGCGGGTGAGTGGAATTTTGGGGAAATGTTGAAAAGAAATTCAAAAATCATGAGAAATGCCACGTTTTATCCGTTTTTCAAACCGAAATCTTGAAAATTTTGATGAAAACCACGATTTTCAAGTCAAAATATTCAATTTTCGTGAATTTTAAAAAGAAACATGAATTTTTGGTTGAATTTATCGATTTTTGACGTCCCAGAAAACAAATTTTTGTTCAAAATTCAAATTTTCGCGGTAAAATTCAGCTACAGTAACCTTAATTGTTTCTGCAAAAAATTCCCCGAAAAATTTACGTTTCAAAAAATCCACAATTTTTTTCGTAATTGAAAAATCCAAAAAAAAAAATTTGCAAATCCAATTTTCAGGGGTACTGTAACTACAGTAACCCTAGCCATATTTGATATCAAAAATTCCAAATTTTCGCGGCAAAATCGATCTACAGTACCCCAAAGTGTTTGCAGACTGCAACTCCCTCCGACTTCACTTTGAAATGCATCGGCGGCGGTCGAATTCAACACAACGACCTCGACAAAAACATCCTGGTCTACGGTTATTCGCAAGGTTACGGTAGAGCCGACCATCAGATTACTGTAGATATCCTGAAGCGAAAATATCCCGACTACTGTATCACATTTTCCAATGATGGATATTGAAATGTTTCGCGATTCGAAAAATTTGAATTCAAATTTTTTCGCGCCAAAATTATTCATTTATTTATTTGCTCTCATCAGCAGAAAATTATGTTTTGTTATCAAAAATTATTTATTTTTATACATTTTAGTTTTTTTCTTCACATTTTGTTTTATTATAAAACAAAAAAAAGCTTGTTCATAGTTTTTTTTTTCATTTTTTTGACATTTCAAAGCAAATAAACTGATTTTGTACAATTTCTTATAATGATTTTGGCGCCAAAAATTCTAAATTTAAAAATTTCCAGATGATTTTCCAACAACTACTTAGCTTTTCCCTATTTTTGGCATTTTTCCAAGAAATTATTCAGGCTGATCAATCGTGTAACTTGCCGTGTCAAAATGTAAGTACTGTAGGATATTTTAAAAAATTTAAATTTTTCGTTGCAGGACGCCTTCCCCCTTCGCGCTGCGGAATTTGGCTCAAAAATGAGACGCGCCTGAGCTCTCTGGGCACCTACGAGCTCTCAAAAGGCGTCACCAAACTCTATTGCTCATTTTCGAGTTTGCCCGGCCCCGCGCAAATTCAATGGATGTTTCGGGCCAATTCGGGGCCCACTGGAGGCCTTGGACAATGGGAAGAGTTCCCGTGCGCCAAAAAAGAGGAGAATAAAGTTTGTGGGTGAGTTTTTTCGGGGCTCGTTGTGAACTTTGGAGCATTTTGACACCAAACACGGTGAATTTTGGGATGAAATTTGAAATTCCAATCAAAATACACCGTGTTTGGTGTCAAAATGCTCCAAATTCCATGAAAAATCCCAAAAATTCACAAATTCTCTACAGAGATTCCGAAATTCTCGTCGAATCCTACTGTGAAGTTCGCACAACTCGTCTAACAATGAGCGGAGCCTACAAATGCTCCGCCACAATTCCCACGGATCCCAATCGACATCGAGCTGTCAGTTCGGAATTTCCGATTAACGTTGTTGGAATTCAGGCGCCTACAGTAATCTCGTCGCATTTGCCGTTGCACAAAAATGGAGAGATTGAGATTGAGGTGAGCAATTTTGGGAGGCCCAAAAATTACTGTAGTTTTTTTTTCAAGCATTTTGATAAGAAGTAAGCCTTGGGTTACTGTAGGCCTAGGAAATTCCGCATTTTTTGACACCAAACATGCATAGGCTTGGGTTACTGTAGTTTTTTTCGGGCCAAAAACTTGGGTTACTGTAGCTCCTATATTTTGCGCTAAAATTAAGTTCCAGATTTTTTGAATACAGTAACCAGGTCTACAGTAATCTGAAAAATGTTTATTGGTTACAGGAACCCGGATTACTGTAGCTTTTTTTTTGAGAAAACTACCGTAACCAGGGACATTTCAGTAACCCTCGAAATTCTCTGAGATTACTGTAGTGTCTTCTGACACACTACAGTAACCCTGTGTTTGTTTGGTTTCAAAAATTCCAAATTTTCGCACAAAATTTGATCTACAGTAATCTAAAGTTTTTCGCGCCAAAATTGATCTACAGTACCCCTAGGCATGTTTGGTCTCAAAAAATGCAGAAATTTTGAGCCTACCGTAACCCTAGACATGTTTAAAATCAAAGCGCGTCAAATTTCCGTGCCAACAAAACCTACAGTAACCCGCTCAGATCTGCGCCAATCCCAAACCCGAAATCATCTGGCACACATCCGACGGTCTTCTCTACGAAAAACAATCCACGTCACGTTTCGCCGCCACGTCACTTTCCGCCCGAAAATCCTCATTCGGCTCCGCCCCCCTACAATCAATTCCCTATTGTTATTCGACATCTTTGCTGATACACCGTGTCAACGAAAACGATGAATTTAGGCTAACTATCAAGGGAGAACTGACGAGTTTGCATGAGAAGATTAGTGTTAGAGTTAAGGTAGGGAATTTTTTTGGATTCCACGTGGAATTTGACGATTTTAGACACCAAACATGATATATTTTCCGATTTTTCCAGGCCTCCTCCTCAAACTTCACAATTCTCTCAATTCTTCTAATCTTCATCTCGCTTTACTAGGAACAAATTGGAAAATGACTTTTTTTAAATGAAAATGTTCACGAAAAAAAATTAAATTAAAAAAAAATCACTACGGTTTAAAGGTACACACAGTTAATCGTTTGTGTGGTCTCGCGACGAACCGGCTGTTTTGTTTTTTGAATTTTTTTTTGTTTTTGCGCTTTCATTTTCAATCGCTTGTCTTTTCGAAGAAATGAATCCGATTGTCAGAAAGACGACTAAAATCGAATGGAAATTTGAGAATTGTAAAGAATTGGATGAAAATGGAAAATATAGCGATGATTTTGAGATTGACGGGTTGAAATGGTGAGTTTTTGAAGAGATTTTTGAAAAAAAAAACGATTTTTTGCAGGAGAATCTATATTAGGACATGTATTGTCGATGGAAAAACACGCATTTCCGCGTGTCTGCGCAATGCAAAAGAGACTTCAAATTGGTTGGCGGAAATCATTCGCGACTTCACTTTTTGTTTTTCATTTTTAAAATTGAGCACGGTTGAGGAAAATGCACCGAGTTTGTGCTCGAAGAATTCGGATGGCAGCTCGATGGAAATGAGTTTTTTCAAAGAAGACAAGAATTTCGTGACCGTCGTGTGCAGTTTCAGTTATAAATTTTATGATTTCTCGAAAAACCCGGCGATTTTCTCGGATGCTGTTATTAAGATTGGAAATGACGAGTTGCATATCAACAAAATTGTGAGCTTTTTCGGATTTTTGTCCAAAACTGCTTCAATTTGCTGGTTTTTACTGGTTTTCGACCCGCTGATCACGATTCCTTCGTCTAAAACTGCAGAACTCAACTCCTAACAAGAGTTATGACGGGGCAAAGTTGGAAAGTTGCGAAAAACAAAAACCAGTGCAGAGCTGAATGAACGACAACGTCATTATTTCGTCATTCGCGTGCGGCTATGCGTCGCGGTCGAGGAAAAAATGGATTATTGATTGTTTCTCGACCGCGACGCACAGCCGCACGCGACTGAAAGAAGTAATGACTTTGTCGTTCACTCAGCTTTGCACTGGTTTTTATTTTTTACGGCTGCCACAATCCTATGCTATCAGATTTTCCCAAAGTCGCAATTTCCCAACTTTGCCACGTCATAACTCATGTTAGAAGTTGAGCTTTGCAATTTCAGACGAAGGAATCGAGTCGAAAACTATTAGAAAACATAAATTTCATTGAAAATTTTCAAATTTTCAGTATTATTGTGAGGTTTCCAAGTTCTTCAACGAACATTTTGTCAAAAACAACAACACAGAAATCACAATCAATGATGTGAAATCAGATGATATGATGATTGTATTGGCTGCATTATTACCCGATCCCATTCAAATTACCGGTAAGTAATCTTTTTTTTTTTTGGAAACTATTTCTGAATTTCACAGAATCAAACTACAATATTCTGCTAAACTTGTCGGAAAAATTCGAAATCGATGTATTGAAGGAGAAATGCGAGACATTCTTCAAAGATGTTTTTTGTCCGGAATTTCTGCGGCAAATTAAAAGTGTTCAGAAGGAATTCGACGCTTTTACACCGAAAAAACGCAGACTATGGAAGCCTTTAGAACCCATTCAGCTACTTGTAAGTTGTTCAAACTTACTTTTAAGATAAGTAAACCCATGTTTCAGGATGAATTAATTGCAAAATTGAAGCGCGGAGACGAGTTCAAAGTGCTTTTCAAGCAAGAAGCCTTCAATAAACTCCCGGAAACCACAAAATTCCACTTATACAAAGCGTCCACCCAATTTCTTTAAAATAATCAAAGATTTACCCTAAATTGTATACTGTTCTTTCCGTTTTTCTGTTCCAAATACTTTTTGATTAATTAATCAACGAAAAAAATAAGAGTTTTGATTTTCCTTTGAAACTAAAATAAAACAAAGATAAATTAAAAAAAAAAACACAAATATTTGGTATTTTCAGGAGAGACGAGAAAAATTTGAATTAAAAAACTGGAATGATTTTTCGGGGGTAAAACGGGAACAAAAATTGCGAGAAGAAAAAAAACAAAAGGAACGGGGAAATAATATTAATTTTAGTACATATTATCGAATTCAAAAGCTGTCATCATTTCCATCTGATTTGACATTCCCATCGAGTTTTCGTCTTCGCGTTGACGAGCAAGTTTAGCCTGAAAAATTAGAGATTTAGGTGATTTTTGGTTTAAAAAAACATTTTGAAATGAAATTTTCAGAAAACTCTGAATTTTTCATTCGAAAAAAGTTTTAAATTAATTTTCTTCGGAAAATTTGAAATTTAGGTGAATTCTAGAGTGAAAATCCGAATTTTTGTGATTTTTTAGGGTAAAAAAATATTTTGAAATGAAATTTTCAGAAAATTCTGAATTTTCTTTGAAAAATTTCAAATTTAGGTGAATTCTAGAGTGAAAATCTCAATTTTTGAAGAAAATTTTGAAAAAATTCAAAAATTCGTGAGTTTTCGAGCTAAAGTGAATTTTTCAGTTTTGAATATTTTCGGTGAAAATCAGATTTTGTCTGAAAATTTTTGAAATTTGAAAAATTGCGCCGAAATTTCGACTTTTCAAATTATTTTTTTTTGAAAATTTTGAAAATATTTTTTTTTCGCGCGAAAATTAAACTATTCAAAATTAGTTTTTTGGCGCCAAAATTAAAAAATTAAAAAAAAACCCACTTCTCTTCTCAATCGTTCAATTCTCTCCTCGTCATTTTCATCAACTTTCTGCAAAAAAAAAAATAATTTCAGCTAAAAAAATCTAAAAACTCACATTTTTCTTTTGTGCTCCACCAGAAGAAGAAGAATCGGGCAACAAATCATCGAGTATAGTTTTGGCTGCAAAATTTCAATTTTTTGGCTGAAAATATTGATTTTCAGCTCATTTTAGCCCAAAAAATCCCCAAAATTCCAGATTTTCAGCACAGAAAAACTCACAAGCATTCGCTGAAGCCGATGGTTGTGTTGAGATCGAAGAAGAAGCAGCCGTCGACGATTTTTTCTTCATCAAATCTGAAAATTTTCCTGATTTTATTTAGTTTGATGCGCGGAAGAAAAATGATGTTTCAGAGAAAAAAAAATAAATTTATGATACATTAAAAATCAATAAAATTTGGTTAGTTACGGTAAATATGATTTGTTTTTTAGTAATTTGTCTAGAAAAGAAAAGAGAACCGGGATGAATAATATGACCTAGAAAACCAAAAATGAAATTCTAGGCCGCGCAAAAATTTTGATGAAAAATTCAAAATTTCTGGTCAGGATGGAACCATGACTTAGAAAAACAAATACTTGTTTTTCTATGCCCTCAAAATCAAAAACTCGGCCACATGGTTAATTTTTGATAAAAATTCAAATTTTTGCTGCTCTTGGTGGCCTAGAATTTTAAAAATTGGTTTACTCGGCCATGTGATCGAATTTTGACGAAAAATATCAAAATTAAATTGAAAATGGTCTAGAAATTTAAAAAATGGTTTTCTAAGCCACCACGTTCAAAAACTCGACCATGGGATCGAATTTTGACGGAGAAACTCAAAATTAAATTAAAATGATCAGAAAAACTCGAAAATCGTGTTAAAATAGGTTCCTAAGTCAATTTTTGATGAAAAATGCAATATTTAAATCAAAAATGGTCTAGAAATTGAGAAATTGGTTTTCTAGGCCACCAAGTTCAAAAACTCGGCCATGGGATCGAATTTTTCATGAAAAAACCCAAAATTTAGCTAAAAATGTTCAGAAAAAGCTCAAAAATATGTTCCTAGCTCTCAAAATCCAAAAAATCGCTCACGTTGTGAATTTCCTCCTCCTCCTGCTCCACTACTCGATTTATTTGGCAATGGTGGTGGAACACGTGCCATTGGCGGTTGTCCACCCATTCCACCCAAACGTGGCGGCAAATTGTGATGATTGGTGTGATGGACTTGGTGTTGTTGTGGTGCTGGATTTGGTGTGGAGGCGGTTGATGAGGAGCCTGGAGTTGCCGAAACTGGATGATATGGTGGCATTCCGCCTTTTCGATTCAGCTGCATTTCTGCAAAAAAAAGAATTTTGGGGTTGGTGGGAAATTTATAACATGAGCAATTTTTTATGAGCATTTTGAACTAAATTTTGGGATTTTTCGTGAAAAATTGACCATATGGCCGAGTTTTCAAACTTTGTGGCCTAGAAAACCAATTTCTTGATTTTCTAGACCATTTTTGATTTCAAAATTGAATTTTTAACACGATTTTCGAGTTTTGAGCGTTCTCTGATCATTTTTAATTTAATTTCGATACTTTTCGTCAAAATTCAATCCCATGACCGAGTTTTCGAGAGTGGCGACCTAGAAAATCAATTGTTAAAATTCTAGGCCACCAAGAAGAGCAAAAATTTGAATTTTTTAAATGAAAAATTGAAACTGTGGCCGAGTTTTTGAGTTTGAGTGACCTAGAAAACCAAGTATTTGTTTTTCTAGGTCATGATTCCATCCTGACCAGAAAAAAAGCAAATTTTTGCGTGGCCTAGAATTTCATTTTGGATTTCTAGGTCATATTATTCATCCCGATTCGCTTTTTCTAGACAAATTACGAAAAATTCATTTTTCAAGCTCATTTTCAGCTTAAAAGGTTCTAGGCTCAGAATTTTCCGAAATTCATGTTTTCTAGCTCAAAATTCATCTAATTTCTCAAATTTTGGCTCAAAATCTCGCGAATTTCCTGGCCAAAACCAATAAATCCAACCAACCTTTATAATCATCTTCCGAATCATCATCATCACTTGAACTCGACGAACTTCCCGATTCACTTCCCTCATCTTTTCCCGCCTTTTTGTGTCCATTTTTGTTGACTTTTCGCCGTTTTCTACTCGGATCCGAATCCGACGATTCCGATATGTTGAATTGCGATTTTTCTGGAAAAAAATGGGCATTTTTGAAGGGTAAAATGTTGAGTAGACAATTCGAAATCTGAAATTTTCAGACAACATTTTTGTGAGCAACAACAAAAACATGCACAAAAAGAGAGAACATGCGAAAAAACAAACAAACCTTTTAATGTTTTGGCGGGAAAATTTTGTCGTGTCAGGACCCAAAATTTGGCGGGAAATTTCAAATTTCCGGTTAAAGCTACTAGAAATCGTCTCAGGACCATTTTCAGGTCGGAAAATTCGAGAAATCACAAATTTTCGTGTCAGGACCCAACATTTGGCGCCAAAACTGGATTTTTGAATTAAAAATCGCGGTGGGACCATTTTTCATCTCAAAAATCGATCAGTGCATAAATTTTCATCAATTTAGCTCAAAAATGTTCAAAAATTGCTCCGGAGCCCAAATTTCGTGTCAAAAATCCTCCAGTGCCCAAATTTTCATCAATTTAGCTTGAAAATGCTCAAAAATTGCTCTGGAGCCCAAATTTCAGCTCAAAAACCCTGCCAAGCCCCAAATTTTCCCGCCAAAACCTCTCTCAAACCTCTTTCCTCCAACTGCTCTTTTCTCACAATCGGCTTTTCCTCTTTTTCCTCATAATTTTTTTTCTTCGAAAATCGTTTTCTCAAAACCGACGGTCTGTTATTCAAAAATGCTCTTCCAGACGTGGATTTAATGATACAAGTGTTCAATTCATCAATTTCTTTTTCAATTTTTTCAATCAATTCCGTCGTTTTCCTCGAATTTCGCCGTGTTTTTCGATTTCGGCTGGATTTTGGTGGTGAAAATGGCGAAAATGATGGTGAAGAGTCACGCGATGAATTATTTTGATAATAATTATATGAAGACGGTGGTGTATAAGAAGGAGAAGAATGAGAAGAAGAAGCTGTGAATGGACAAAAGACACATAACATTTAAAGGCACATGCGGGTTAAATAAAAATCAGGTTAGTTTTGGACAAAAATTATTAAAGCTGGAAAATTTATAGAAAATTCAGAATTTTTTTGAATCGTAAATTAAACTTCTAGAAAAAAATTGTCTGGAATTTTGAAGAAAGCCTGAAAATTTTGAAATTCTCAACAGAAAAATTCAAGCTAAAAATTTTTCAGATTTCTAGAAAAATAGTTACATCACTTGAGAGAGAAAAAATGATGTTTGATCATTTTTCTCTGGATCCCATCTGGTTTTTTTCGGACCCTTTTCTCTTTTTTGAAAAATGTGTCCTCATCGAGTCGCGCGCGCAACATTTTTAAACCCGTTGTGAATCTCTATTTTTTGTTGTTTTGTTATTGCTTCCCTCAAGAGACACAATCCGTTGTTTTTTTTCGTGTTGTTTGACAGAGAAATCTTCGTCGTGGCTCATTAAAATGCACATTTTATAGATATTTCTAGTTTTTCTAGAGATTTCTTTTATACGGAAATCGACTTTTTTAGTGCTAGATAAGTTTGTAGAAAATCGGAAATTTGAGAGTTTTGAACTTTTTTAGGCTCTCTATTTCTGACAAAGTGATGTGATGTCTACTAGAATAGGCTTAAAATTAACGATTTTCAGACAATTTTTCAGTTCAAAATTTTAAATTTGTGGAGAAAAACCAGATTTTCATCAATTTCAGTTGAAAATTTACAGAATCTAGTCAATTTTAGGTTAAATTCCCTAGGTTTTAGTCAAATCCAGGCTTAAAATTAACAATTTTCAGACAATTTTTCAGCTCAAAATTTTAAATTTGTGGAGAAAAATCACATTTTTATCAATTTTAAGCCAAATCCAGGCTAAAAATCAAAATTTTCATCAATTTTGGCTCAAAAATCATCATTTTTCTTGAATTTTGGGTGAAAATTTTGATAATTTTAGCAATTCTAGGCTTAAAATTAAAGATTTTCAGACAATTTTTAGCTCAAAATTACCAGCAAATTTCAGGTATACAACTTATGAATTTTCACACAAATCTAGGCTTAAAATTAACGGTTTTCAGACAATTTTTCATGCATTGCTCATCTCAAAAAACAAACTCACTCTTCTCTTTTTTCGCATTTTTCGCCGCCAAAATCTCTTCAGGCGATCTCATCAATTTCGCCGTGTTCTCTTCCAAAATTGGAGCTGCTGCTGGTGGTTTCAGGGAAGAAATTGATGGTGGAATATTGGCGGATGATGAAGAGGCAGCGGGAATTTGTGGGGAAATTTGTGGAAGACTTGGTGTAACTTGTTGTGGTGGCAAAATCGGCGGGAGAGAATTTGAATTTGAATTCGAATTCGAATTCAACGTCGAATTCGAGTTAGCTGAACTTGTCGTGATTGGTGTTGAAATGGGAGCAGAAGAAGATGAGGAAGAATAATTGGTGGTGGATGGTTTTCCGGGTGGCGGTAATTTCAAAATATATCTGGCGAATGCGTTCATTTCTCTCAAACATGTTGGTCCCAGTGCTTCGAAATCAATCTCGATTTCACTGTCTTCTTGATTTCGATTCGCGAGCTGCAAGAAAATCGGGATTTTTTTGAAGAAGATGGTAAAAATTCCAGAATTTTCTTAAAATTTCATTCATTTTACAGAGCTAAAAGCTTTTTGGGAATTTGAATTTTCCGGACTTTTGTATGAAAAAAATCAAAAATTCCAGCTTTTTATTGATTTTTTTTGTACTTTGAAACATTTTGGGTGAATTTTTTGAAGAAGAGATTGCAAATTTTCAGAATTTACTTGAATTTCAGTTTTTATTGATTTTTTGGGACGATTTTCAGAATTTTCGCGCGTTCCGGATTCAAATTTTCATGATTTTTCGAATTTTTCTCTCCAAAAATGGTCCCAGGACCCAATTTTCTTGATTTTCAGGTTAGAAATGCTCAAAATTCGCTCCAATTCGATATTTTCGTCCCAAGACCGGCTAAAAATCGTCTAGCGACTCAAGAAAGTTTTTTGAGTGAAATTTTGAATTTTTCAAACTTCTATATCAAAAATTTCAGAATTTTAGTGATTTTTTGAGCTGGAAAGGTTTCTGGGTGAAATTTGGGATGAAATTCAGCTTATTTTTCAATTTTCAGCTGGAAATTCACTGTTTTCAGCACATTTCTCGAGAAAATTTAATTTTCCAGCTCAAAATCCACCAATTCTAGCTCATTTTCCAGAAAATTCAAATTTTTGGCTGAAAAACTCACATTATGTTCCCTTCTCTCAATAATCTGGACAATAGTTGCCAAATGTTCGGGTGCCAATCGATTAATTAGCAAACTTAATTGTCGTTTATCATCATAGCTCATATCAACTCGAGAATCTTCGGCATCTGAATCGAAATCGTAGCCAATCGGCTCTTCTTTTTTGATTTCACGGCCATTCTGCAAAAAAAATCGGGAAATTCAGGAATTTTTGAGTTGAAACATGTCAGAAAATTTCGAAAATTCAAATTTCTAAAGTTTAGCGGCTAATTTTGATTATTTGAAAATATAATTATGCCGCCAAATCAAATAAATTCGAATTTGAGATTTTCGCGCCATTTTTTGTAATTATAAAAATTAGGCTCCAAATCCAAGAAATTTAAATATTGGGAAAAATCTGGAAAATTTGAGCCTTTTTTTTTCAAAAAAAAATCGAATTTTCAAAGGTTCCCGGGTCAAAAATCGCTGTAAAACCTCAATTTTCAGTCACAATTTTCAAATTTTCAGCTTTTCCCCCCTGAAAATCAACTCACAGTAGCTCTAAACACCGGTTCACATGGATTTTTTGCTCCGGAAATTGGTGTCGAATTCGATGTGGTTTGACAAACTGTTCGAACTTGTGTATAAAGTGATTCCGGAATTTTTTCACCTCGAGAACTATTTCGATATCTCATCACTTTTGATTTGAGTTCTTCGACTTGTCGTAAGTTCGTTTTTAGGCTATCTTCACGTTCGCGAATCTGGAATGAAATTGGAGTGTTTTTGGCTGAAAATTCGAGATTTTCATGAAATTTTTAGTCTAGAACTTCAAATTTAGGGAATTTTTGATAATCTCAAGTTTCGCTCCAAATTCAACAAATTTGAAATTTTCCTGAAAAATTCAAATTCAAAAATTTCCCGCGCTTATCCTTCTCATGACAAAAAACCAAAAAAAAAAATGAATTTATTCCAACAAAACAAAAAAATTACATAGGGGGGTACTGTAGAGAGATGAGATTTAAAGGTACACAAGAGAGAGAGAGAGAGATATGCAAATTTTAAAGGGACACATACGAAAAAAAACAACGAGATAGTGTAGAAAAACAAGAGAGAGAGAGAGAAGAGAGGTGAAACATAGAAAAACACAAATTTTTTTTGTTGGATTTTTTGTCATGAGAAAGCGCGCTCTACCGAACAAAGGGGCGGGAAAAGGTAAAAATTTGAATTTTTCCAGAGATTTTCGATAATTTCACCCTCTTCCCTCCCCGCATGCGCAAAAAAAAAACAAAATCACCCTAACTCACCATAGCCAACGCGTTTTCCAATCGCATTCCATCTTCAGTTCGAGATTTCGAGCCTTCTGGTGTCAAATTTGGCGGAGTTGCGCTGCCAACTTCTTGTTTGACAATTGCGGTTGGTGCCAAACTAGTTTTGGTGTGTTTGGTGGCTGATGTTGGTGTGATGGATGGTGTGATGGGAATTGTGGTGGATTGGTGAGAGGCGGTGCTGTTTGAAGAGGTTGATGGTCCTTTTTCGGTGGGTAGATCTTTCCACTGGAAATTTTTTTTTACTTTTCAAATTTTGAATTTCGCGCTAAAAATTCAAGGAGTACTGTAGCTGAATTTCCGCATCAAAATTAAATTTTCAAATTTTGAATTTCGCGCCAAAAACATAGGACTACTGTAGCTGAATTTTCTCATCAAAATTAAATTTTCAAATTTTCAATTTCGCGCCAAAAACATAGGAGTACTGTAGCTACATTTTCGCATCAAAATTAAAATTTCAAATTTTCAATTGCGCGCTAAAAATTCAAGGAGTACTGTAGCTGCAAAACTCACCCTCTTCTCAAAAATCTCCATAAATTGTTTTCCCAAATTATGAATCGGATCTCCGACTGGATTATACAGCATACAATTGTCAAGCATCTGGAAAATATTGGATTTTTCATGATTTTCAGACAAATTTGAGCTTAAAATTGCTCATTTTTCACCATTTTTCACCATTTTTAGCTTAAAAATTCCCCTTACCAATTTAAAATCCTTGGCAAATTCACTTGGCTCCGTATATTCACCATGCTCCAATTTCTTCTTGATCGTACTCATATCCATGGGCTCTTTGATGATTTTATGATAATCATGGAGGCCCAATTCGGTCGCATTTACCGGACTGTGAAAAGGCCAAGAAATGTCCTGAAATTATTGATTTTTGGCTCAAAATTGAGAGCATTTTTTGAAGAAAAAAAACTCACAAAATATTTTTTCGAATAGAAATCGGTCAACAATTTTTGGCAGAATTTCAGACGGCCAGTTACCGGAACTAGTTGTGCTTTTTTGGTTGTTGACGAAGCCTCTCTTTTGTGTGCTCGAACTGGTTCGGGTTTCTGGAAAAAAATGAGAAAATTTGGGGGATTTTCAGATTTTTCTGGAATTTCAGACGTTTCGAAGCTACATTTTACCATTTTGGCTCGAAATTTCTAAACTTCGCCTGAAAAAAATCTGGATTTTCAGTCCCAAATTTCAGCAAATTTTCAACCCGTCATAAAAATCAGATTTTCGGCCTAAAGTTCGCTTTCCAAAAAAATTATTTAAAAAAAAAACTCACCTCTTCATCATCTGAATCCGCTTTTCTTTTCGCTCCACTTTTCATCGTTTTCACAGCCATTTTTGACGGATTTGTTGATGACTGCAAAAAAAAATGAAAAAATTTGGAAATTTGGAAATACACGTGGTTTTTGGCGAGGTCACGTTTTTCACGTGAAAAATTATTTTTGTGAATTTTTTTTGTGACGATTTTCAGACTAGAAATAAAGATTTTCCAGAAAAATGTAAACTAGACTATAGTCCTTGTGAGAAACGCAGATTCCTTTAAGGCAAAATTTCAAGTTCTAGACCTAGAAATTGTGGTTTTTCATGATTTCTAGCTCAAAATCCGTCATGTTCACTAATTTTCAGTCAAAATTCATTGATTTTCTCAATTTTCAGATCTGGAATCATCATTTTCAGGCTATATTCAATACCCAAAAGCCGTTTTCTACGAGTTTTGTGATTTTTAACTTAAAATCAATCAATTTTCACAAATTTTAGCTTGAAATTCATCCTTTTCTATGAAATTGTCAAATTTCATGATTTCTAGCTCAAAATCTGTCATTTTCACTAATTTTCAGTCAAAATTCATAATTTTTCTCAATTTTCAGATCTGGAATCATAATTTTCAGGCAATTTTCAATAACCGACGTTCAAAAGCCGTTTTTCACGAGTTTTGTGATTTTTAGCTTGAAATCCGCCAATTTTCATCGATTTCCAGCTCAAAATCTATTAATTTTCACAAATTTTAGCTCACAATTCATCATTTTCTGTGAAATTGTCAAATTTCCTGATTTCCAGCTCAAAATCTATTAGTTTTCACAAATTTTAGCTCGAAATTCATCATTTTCAGTGATTTTCAGCTCAAAATCTATTAATTTTCCCAAATCCCAGTTCAAATCCTCACCTTTTCCCCAGCAGCCGCTGCCACATTTCCTCCAGCCATAACACTACTCGCTTCACTTCCACATTCCGACGGTGCTTCACTCGTCATTCTTGCCATCGATCCCTCTTTCCTCTCGCGTTTCTCACTTCCCGCTCCCATTCTTTCTTTTCCACCCTTCTTTTTCTTTCCCCAACTAATTTCCTGCTCTTTTTCCTCATTCGGCGCACTTTCCAGCGATTTTTTGACAACTGCGTGCACATTTTGTGCCATAATTGTGACGTCATCTTCGGGACCATTGAAAGTGTAGCAATTTTGAAAGACGGTTTCGATATCCTCAACACATTCTGATGCTGTTGTATAATAGGTGTTTTTGATGCGACTTTCGATGGTTTTCAAGTCCATTGCTCTGGGAATTTTGTCATGATAGTGAGGAATTCCGAGAGTTACAGCATCTACAGGTTTTAGGAATGGCCAAACATGTTTGTGTCTTCCAGCTTCTTTTAAAGTTGTGTGAAGAATATAATCAAGAATATTTGTATGACGAGTTGGTTTACCAAATGGTGGAATTATTCGAGGTTGCACTACTCCTTTTGTTGGCTCCTGCAATTAATTTTGGATAAAATTCAGATTTTTAGATGGTTTTCAGGTATTTTTAGCTGAAAATCATAGATTTTGAGCTAATACGATCATTTTCATGCATTTTTAGCAAGAAATCATCAGTTTCTTGGTTTTTTGATTGAAATTTATGATTTTTTGGCGTTTCCCCATGAAAATTTTCGCAAATAGGCTTCGCTTCGATAAAAATCATGTTTTCTTCGAATTTTCAGCGTTAGCAAATGAAAATTGAACTTTGTGAAGACGGAATTTCACGGAAAATGAAGATTTTCCATTTTCAAATCAAAATTTCTCACAAAAAATACTTTTTCCATCATTTTTTTTCTTCAGAATCATTTAAATATCGATTTTCTTCCATTTCCCACTCCCAAAAAAGCACAAACCTGTTTCGGACTTGCCCACGGTCTTTCGGGCCGTCCTCCGTCAGCATTACTCGCATCGGACATCTGAAAATACACGATTTTCAGCTGAAAATGAAAAATTTCAAAAAAAAAACACGCGTTTATGTGCATTTGTGCGTCGGCGTGTATGCAACTACCGTAGTTTTATTTATAAATTTTTGAAATTTTTTTTTGTTTTGCGCGTTACGAATTTCAGCTAATTCACTACTAAATTTCGAGTTTCAGATGTGGCATAAGATAAGCTATGATCCACTCAGTCAAGGTGACAAATGTATGCATTGTAAAAAACATTGCGGAATGAAGCGAACTCCAATATTTATCGCCTGCCGTCATTTTTTCTGCGATAACTGCACCTATGACGTAAACATTGAGTAAGCTTTTTCTTTTTTTCAAAACCAAACCAAAAATCTTTGTCAATTAATTAGTAGAAAACTCACCGTTTTCTCCACGAAACCGTTGTGAGACGCGGAGATCTGCAAAAAGGAAAGGAAAACTAATTAAAAATCCAACTAATTAGGTGGGGATAAAAATAGAGAAAAAGGTTATTAATCCGAAAAAAAAGACAAGATATATTGAATATTGCACCTGTCCTAAACGCTAATATTAACAACAACAGAAAAAAGCGGGAAATATTTCGCAACATTTTTTTTGGGACGATGACGTCATCATTTTTGTTTTTTTTTTTTGGTTGGAAATGAAATGAAATGTGGGCGAATGGGGAAAAGTTCAAGAATAATTGAGGGTTAGCTGAGAATTCTGAGATCTCATGAGAGAGAAAAAATGCGGGGAAATGTTGATTTTTAGTCGGCAAATTGATAAGAGTTGTGAATTTTCACATAATAAAAGTGAGGGAATTGGAAATTGAAGTTTTGAGAAAGCCTACGCCTAACTAAGTGGATTAGTTAGGTGTAGGCTTTCTCAGCCTTAAGCCTAAGGCCTAACTAAGTGGTTTAGTTAGGCTTAAGCTTAAGCCTAAGGCGTAACTTCTCCCATAAACTTTTTGAATAGGAAGTTTATGGGAAAAGTTAGGAACATGGCCTAAAAACATGCGATTTCTCATTTTCTATTGAAAAATCGCATGTTTTAAGCCTACATCATCAGATTTTTAAGGCATAAATAAGCGGTTAAGCCTAAGGCCTTACTTTTCCCATAAGAATTTTATGGCAAAAGTTAGGCTTAGGCTTGGAGATATACGATTTTCGTAAAAATCACATAGCTTCGCTCAAAATTTAATTAAAAATCGCATTTTCACCTGGAAAATTTCGATTTCTCATCAAATTTCGGCTTGTAAAGCTCATATGCCTAGAATAGTTAGGCTAAGACCTGAAAATGGAAAGAATTTCGGAATTTTTTATTGAAAATCTATCAGAAAAGCTAAATTTCTTGGTTTTTGGCCTAAAATTTGATGAAAAATCGGATTTTCACGGGGATTTTTCACCAAATTTTCGATGAAAAATCCCCGCAAATCCATACACCCCCACTCAAATCGCCCACTTCCCCTCAAACCGATGCCCAAATTTCGCGCTATTGATTAGCCTAATCACCCAAATCCACGCCATTTGGCTGAAAATGCTCAGAACCCGCTGAAACTTCTCAATCTCACTCCACACATCATTTCCAAACGACTCTGAAATTTTGGCGGCGATCCGTGGGATTTAAGGGGCCGAATGGGGGGCCCCCTTGGAAAACTGGGCCGGGTGGGACGCAGGCACGCAAAAAAAGACGCTCTCTCTCACTCTCTGTGTGTCCATCTCTTCTTTCTTTCCCGCTTAATCGATTAGATTCATGAGGTGGCGAGAGAGTGTGTGATGTGTGGAGAGACGGCAGAGTGTTGCACTAAAGGCTGCATGCCTGCCTGCGTTCTTTTCCTTTCGCCCATCGCTTTTTTTTGAAAAAAATGGAGGAGACGAAAAAGAAAATGGCCTTTTTGCCTATTGATTGGCAACACGGCGTTTTGTTGTTGATGGAAAAATGAATGCAACTAAAAAACGAACAATTTGTTGCCAAATAATAAATGCGAACGAAGGTCGTGATATTGATTGATTTGATGGGAAATTATGAATTTTGAGGGGATTTGGAGCATTTTGAGTGTAAATATGTCTAGAATTACAGTAGCTCGAATTTGGCGCCAAAAAATCCACGTATTTTGACACCAAACAATACGGGGTACTGTATATTTTTGCGTCAAAAATCCCAGATTTCCGAAATTTCAAAAATTTGGCTCCAAAAAACTACTTTGTACCCTGAGGCACAGTTTTGTGGGCGGAGCCTATTTTCACAATGAAAATTGAGGTTTTTGGAGCATTTTCAGCCTAAATTCGATTGAAAACGATCTAAGGCACAGTTTTGTGGGCGGAGCCTATTTTCATATTGAAAATTGAGGTTTTTGGAGCATTTTGAGTCCAAATGCTTCAAAAATCTAAATTTTCTCTATGAAAATAGGCTCCGCCCACAAAACTGTGCCCTAGATGATTTGAATTCAAAATTCATTTTCAAAAAAATCACGTAATGTTTTTTTTTTCTATACAAAAAAAGTGCGTTTTTTTCTGGAAAAACATAAGTTAGGATTAGACTTAGCTTAAATTACGTCATTCAAAAATTTATATATTTTTTCAATTTTTTTTTGAATAAAAAATATATAGATATTTAATCTCCCCCTCTCAAATAAAGCTATTAATCTCAAAATTTTTGCATGAAAAAATTTTTTTTTCATTTTTTTCAGCAAAACGTGTCGAATTTGCAATTTTGCACAAGAGGAAGAGGAAAAATATTTGAGATTAAGGCAAAGTTGGAAATTGGAGGTGAATCGAGAGGAAAATCAGCAAAATCGGGTAGAAGATCAGAATCTGGGAGAAGATCAGGAAAATCGAGAGGAAAATCAGATCCCGGACCAAGAATTGGATGAAAATTGTGAAAATTTGACTGAAAATGCACAAAATTTGGCTGATTTCGATGAAAATTTGAATGAAGCTGCTGAAAATCAAGAAAATTTGGAAGATGAGGTAAAATTTCACGTTTTTTGACACCAAACAAGCCAAGGGTTACTGTAGACTGATATTTGCTCCAAAATTAAATTTTTAAATTTCAATTTCGCGCTAAAAATTCAAGGAGTACTGTAGTTGCAAATCTACAGTAACCCTGGTCTTGTTTGGTTTCAAAAAACGTGAATTTTGGCACCGAAATCCACAGTAACCTTTTTCAGGCATCCCAGTCCTATGGGTCCACAATAGCCGAATTCTTGGCTTCTCAAGAAACCGATTTTCAGCCGGAAAATCAGGTATGTTTCTGAATCTCAGCCCCAAAAAATCTGTAATTTTCAGCCAGATTTTCTCTCAAAACTCATCGAAAAATCCGAAAAAATTCTGAAAATCCAACCGGAAACCTATGAGTTCGACGCGTTTCTGCTGGAAAAACACGCGAATTTCGCATTTGCGCCACTCGCAATTCGCCAAATTCTCGAAACTTCGCAAAATTGGGAAGATTGGCTGGAAAAATATGCGGAAATCGCCGAATTTTTGCATGAAATTGAGGCGAAACGCTCGAATTTCGCGCGAAAAATGCGGGAAAATGAGAGGATTTTGGAGCGAAAAGTGGAGAGAATCGAAAAAATTGTGATGGGAATTGGGGAAATTGAGGAACCCAGAGAGGAACTAAGAGATTTCGAGCTGATTTTGAGCCAAGACGATTTGGAGCACGAGATTCTGGAGCCTGAAATTGTGGAGCAGCAAGAAATTTTGGACGATTTTCTTGTTATTCAAGATGAGAATGCTGACCGGTGGATTTTTGATGTGGTGAGTTTTGGCGCCAAAATTCTACAGTAATCAGGGCCTTTTTTGGTGTCAAAATTGCAGTTACTGTAGTTTTTCCACGTAGATTTTTGGCGCCAAAAAATACCTTTCAAAAAAAATTTTTAATTTCATACTGTACCATTTTTTTCCAGCCAATTTTTAGCCAAGCGGATTTGGAGCCTGAAATTCTGGAGCAAGAAGAAATTTCGGAGCATCTTTTAATTCGAGATGAGAATGCTGAAAGATGGATTTTTTTGAATGAGGTGTGGTTGATCTACAGTACCCTAGGCCAAAATCTACAGTACCCTCTAGGCATTTTTACTATCAAAATGTGCCAAATTTTCTGTCAGATTCACCAACAAAGCTCCGCTCCGATTCAACCAATCCTCAGCCGCTCGGATTTCGAAGTTTACGTCGAAAAAATCGATGAATTGTTCGAAAATTCTGGCCGAAATTATCGATTCGAGCAATTTTTGAACGATTTTTATTGTTATAAAAAATTGAATTTTCAATAATTTTTTTTTTCTGAAAATTCCCTGTCAAATATAATAAATTTATCGATTTTTCCGAAATTTCCCAATTTTTTTGATCTACTTTTTGTATCTAGTTTGATCGCTGGCGCGTTCTTTTTTATTTCAAAAAAAAAACATTTTTTTTCGAAAAAAATGCATTTTTTTGCGTGTGACGTGGCAAAACCGTCCATTTTTTTGCTCGGAAATTTTTTTTCGCAAAAAATAGCACATTTCAGATTTTCAGAAGAAGACAGGCTGAAAAATGTTGTCAAGAATTTCGATCAAAAATTTTTTGTGCTCAAAATCGGCTCGAATTTCGGCGGTTAGAAATATGAGTTTTGGTGGGTTTTTTGCCACGTGGCAAGCAATTTTTGGTGCCAAAATTCATTAAAATTGAACAAAAAATCACTATTTTTGCTAAATTTTCGCACCAAAATCATTCCACGTGGCATTTTTGGCGCCAAAATTTCAAAATTCAAAAAATTTTCTCGCACAGATCTCACCGACGACCAACGCCAATTGCAAGACATGGCTTTGCAGTTTGCGAAGAAGGAAATGATTCCGGTTGCGGCGAAATACGACGAATCCGGCGAGTATCCGCATGACGTGGCGAAAAAGGTGAGCGGAAATGCCGCGCGGCAAAAATTTGCGCGCGTTTTCGGTGCAAAATTGAGCCATTTTGGTGGATTTTGAGCTAAAAACATCAAAAATCGATATTTTCTAACCAAAAATCAATAATTTTGTTGCAGTTCTACGAAAACCGGTTTGATGAATGCGTATGTGCCGGCGGCTTACGGTGGCGCTGGACTTAGCCTAACTGACACCACACTCATCACCGAAGCTTTGTCGTATGGATGTTCGGGAATCGGGTTGGCTGTCGGTGGAGCGCTTTTGCCACTTTTGGGATTGTTGCAGCATAAGGATGAGGCGATTAAGAAGAAGTTTTGTGGTACGGTGTTTTCTCTGGGGCACTACAGTAATCCCGAAATTTTTCTGATCGTTTTGAGACCGAACACCATCTATTTTTTGGTCTTGCAGCGAAAATTGAAGACTACAGTAACCCTGCATGTTTTAAAGGGACATGACATAGATATTTGATCTTTTCTGGGTCTGGCAGCGAGCTACAGTAATCCTGAGAATTTTTTGATCGTTTTGAGACCAAACTCGATCTATTTTGAGTCTTGCAGCGAAAATTGAAGACTACAGTAACCCTGGTTGTTTTAAAGGGATATGAAATAGATATATGATATTTTCTGGGTCTCGCAGCGAGCTACAGTACCCCATGGGTGTTTCAAAGGCACAGAACAAGTATTTTCTTGATTCTGAGCGTTTTGACTCCGAACATGAATGACTTTGGGTCTTGCAGCGAGCTACAGTAATCCAGAAATTTTTCTGATCGTTTTGAGACCAAACTCGATCTATTTTGAGTCTTGCAGCGAAAATTGAAGACTACAGTAACCCTGGTTGTTTTAAAGGGATATGAAATAGATATATGATATTTTCTGGGTCTCGCAGCGAGCTACAGTAATCCTACAGTACCCCTGAGTGTTTTAAAGGCACAGAACAAGTATTTTCTTGATTCTGAGCATTTTTACTCCGAAAATGAATGACTTTGGGTCTCGCAGCGAGCTACAGTAATCCCGAAATTTTTCTGATCGTTTTGAGACCAAACACGATCTATTTTGGTTCTTGCAGCGAAAATTGAAGACTACAGTAACCCTGGATGTTTTAAAGGGACATGACATAGATATTTGATATTTTCTGGGTCTCGCAGCGAGCTACAGTACCCCATGGGTGGTTCAAAGGCGCAGAACAAGTATTTTCTTGATTCTGAGCACTTTGAGAGCCAATTCTACATACTTTGGGTCTTGGAGCGATGCTACAGTACCCCTGCAAAAATTTAAAGGAACATGATGATGTAAATATTTTGCAGAAATGCTCTCAAGCGGACCAAACGTTGCTGCAATGGCTGTAACCGAACCAACAGCCGGATCGAATGTTGGTGGAATTCGAACAAAAGCTGAGAAAAAGGGCGATGAATATGTGATAAATGGAACCAAGGTGAGCAATTATTGATTTTTGGCACCAAGATTTTTGAATTCCTCATGAAATTTGACGAATTTTGACACCGAACATGATATATTTTGGGTCAAATTTGAATTTTTCATGAAATTTTGAGCTGTTAGACACCAAATTTTTGAAAATCATCCAAAATGTGGCTTGTTTGGTGTCTAAAATCTCCAAATTTGATGAAGAATTCTGAAATTTTAATTAAATTCATTCCAGTGTTGGATAACCGGTGCTCAACCCGGCAAATTCTTTGTCGCCCTGGCTCGAACAAATCCCGATCCAAAAGCGTCGCTCGGAAAAGCCTTTACAATGTTTGTCATCGACGCCAAAACGCCCGGAATTGTTTTGGGAAAAAAAGAGCAGAATTTGGGACAGAGAGCGTCGGACACAAGAATGGTGACTTTTGAGGATGTTCGAGTGCCCAAGGAAAATGTGATTGTTGGTGAAGGTGCTGGATTTGGTGTGAGTTTTGGGGAATTTTTGAACTCGTCGTGAAATTTGGAGCATTTTGAGCCCGAATTTGACGTAGATTGGGCCACGCCCACTTTTCCTGCAAGCCTGGCATTGTTTTTCTAATGAAAAATAGGCTCCGCCCCTTTTTCTGCAAGCCTGACACGGGTTTTCTAAAGAAAATAGGCTCCGCCCCTTTTCTGCAATTCTGGCACGGTTTTTCTAATGAAAAATAGGCTCCGCCCCTTTTTCTGCAAGCCTGGCACGGTTTTTCTAATTAAGAATAGGCTCCGCCCCCTTTCTTGCAAGCCTGGCACACTTTTTTCCATGTATTTTGAATAATCTTTTTTTTCTTGGGAATTCCCCAATGGGAAAATGTAAGCCACGCCCCTTTCCTGCAAGCCTGGCACACTTTATTTTTCTCTCACAAATATTTTTCTTTTAGGTTTGCATGAACACGTTCAATCGTACACGTCCTTTTGTCGGTGGAATTGGCTGCGGAATTTCGTGGAGAGCTCTGGATGAAGCTGTAAAATATGCAACTGAAAGAGAAACTTTTGGCACAAAATTGATGAATGTGAGTTTTTTTTTTTGCTGAAAAATGAGCTGAAATTTGGGATTTTTGGCCGATTCTAACCTAATTTGCACCCAAAATTCGGATTTTCTCGATTTCAGCACCAAGGAATTCAATTTATGATTGCTGACATGGCTGCTCAATTGGAAATGTTTAGATTGGCCACCTACAAAGCAGCCACAATGATTGATAATTATAAAGATGAGAATTTTGTGTATTATGCATCGATTGCCAAGCTAAGGTGGGTTTTCAGCGAAAATAATGCGAATTTTTGAATTCTCCATGAAATTTGGCACTTTTTGAAACCAAATATGATATATTTTTTAAATATAAAAATTATTCCACAATATGCCTTGTTGGGTGTCTAAATTTCCGAAATTCCATCCTGAATTCAAATTTCAACTTTAAAATCCACCTAGTTTCCATTTTGCAGCTCATCTGATGCCACCCAAAAAATCACCAACGACGCTGTTCAAGTTTTCGGCGGAGCCGGTTTCAACAAGGAATATCCGGTGGAAAAATTGATGAGAGACGCGAAAATTTTGCAAATTTACGAGGGAACAAGTCAAATTCAAAGAATCATTATCGCCAGACATGTTTTTGAGAATTATCAAAAGACTGGAGGAGTTTTGATTCGCTAATTGTGTAGTTTTTAGTAGATGAAGATTTTTGGCGCGAAAATTTGAATTACTGTAGATTTGGAAAAGAAGGTGAGAAGGTTTTCAAAAGTGAAAATTAAATATTTTGAAGCAAGATGAGAATGTTCGTGGCGAGACCCTACAGTAATCTAAAATTCAGAAAAATTGAGTACTGTAGGGTCTCGCCACGATATTGTTTTAACTTAATCCAAACCATATCATGAAAAACTGACCCGAATTTTATGAAAAATTTGAGTTTTGAACTTTCACGTCATCAAAAAATCGCTGCAAGACCTGAAAAATGTCCAGATTTCTATATCTGCAAAAATCCCGTGCAAAATTCAATTTTCCGCCTGAAATCCCCCATTCCTTTTTGTTTTTCCAGAAAAAATTTTCAGATTCTTCTTGTATTTATTTTTAAAAAATGTGCTCTTTTCGCTGTCACCAGTAAGTTTTTTTTGTTGAAAATTTTTAAAAAATCCGTGGAAAATTTTGAGCGTGGCCGAGTTTTTTCTCAAATTTATAAAACTAGTCCGCGTCACATTTTTTTGGAAAATTCGAATTTGCCCCGGAAAACCCATCTTGTCCTCGAGAAATACACAAAATGAATGAAATATTGAGGGTGGCCGAGGTTTTCAGGTGAAAAACTAGTCCCCGACTCAAAAATTCGAATTTTGCCCTGGAAAAGCCCCTCGAGAACTACAAAAAAACATGAAATTCAAAAAAATTTTGAAAAAAAAATTTTTTTTTCAGATTTTTAGGTTATTTTTTTCTCAAAAAAAGTGCAAAAATTTTTCCCGAACTTTTTTTGAAAAACACAACATTTTTTTTTTCGCGCATGTTTGTCTAAGTCTTCTCGGATTTCAAAAATATCCATCCCAAGGGACAAATTTTGCTGAGGGCCGAGAGCCAAAAATGTGCCATTTTTGACTTTTCCCCTTTCCCTCTTTTTATTTTTCGCAAAAACTTTGAAATTTTCGTAAAAATCCATCATGTGGGATTAAAATTTGCCTAAAAAACAAGAAATTTTCGAATTTTCCCACTTCAAAAATTTTTTTTTTCAAAAAAATGGAGGTTTTCAGAAGAATGGTGCGATTTTTCTCGCCCCATGTTATGCTCATTGGCTCCGTTGTGCTTTATATTATTATTGGAGCCGTGATTTTTCAACATTTGGAGGGCGAAAATTTGATGGTAGGGCGGGAAAATTCCGCGTTTTTTGACACCAAATATGATATATTTTGGGATGAAAAATTTTTTTTGGTGAAATTTTTGAGCCAAAATTGCTGCAATTTTCAAATTTCCATCAAAATATATCATGTTTGGTGTCTAAAAACTTCAAATTTTCAAAATTCTCCAAATTTCTCATTTTTTTTCAGAAAGTGAAAAAAGAGCACATGTCGAATATCGATAAATTCTCGGAAGCCTACACCGACAAACTTTGGGATTTGGCGAAGGAGAAGGAGGGCGAATTTGAGGTGAGTTTGCGATTTTCATGAGTTCCGGGTTACGGTTTTGAGGTCGCCAGGAAATTTGAAAAATTTTGACACCAAACATGATATATTTTGGTGGATTTTTCAAAATTGCACCATTTTGACACCCCCAGTTGGTGTAACTTGAAAGCCTTAAGGCTTTTCAGAAGTTCTAGTGTTGTTTTTCGGATTTCCACGGAAATTCTGAATTTTTTGACACCAAACAAGCCATATTTTTGATGATTTTCAAAAATTGCATCATTTTGGCGCCAAAAATTGCTCCAAAATTTTTTCACCCAAAATCTATGATGTTGGGTGTCTCAAAACTCAGAATTTCACGGGGAATTCAAAAAACAATACTAGAACTTCTGAAAATCCACGTGTCTCTCAAGTTACACTAATTCAGTAAAACATATCATGTTTGGTCTCAAAATTTTCGAATTGACACGTGGAATCTGAATTTCACAATTTCAACGTTAAAAAAGCCTAATTTTAACGCCAAAATGGTGCGATTTTCAAAAGTTCACAAAAATATATCATATGAGGTGTCTAAATGACGGAAATTCCACGTGGAATTGAAAAATCCCTACAAGAAATCTGGATTTTTCAGAAATTCGAAGATCTGCTCGCCTACGTCAAATCAGAAACCACACAAGACTTCAACGACTACGTGGATACCGTATTCTGGGCTCACCGAGCCGTGCGGCATGGTTATGACGAGGATTCGCCCACGTGGGATTTTGCCAACTCGGTGTTTTTCACCACCACAATGTTGACTTCAATTGGCTACGGCTACGTGGCACCGTCGACTTTTGGCGGCCGCCTTTTTGGTGTCATCTATTGTCTGATTGGAATTCCGCTAACTTTGGTGACGGTGGCGAATATCGCCAAATTTCTGTCGGAGACGATTTTCTTGGTGCATTATGAGATATGGAATAAATATATGGAATGGAAGCGGAAAAGGAAAGGAGAGGTTGGTTTTGGGCGGGTTTTTGACACAGGTTTTGAAATCCACGTGGATTTTTGAACACTGAAAATGTGAGATTCAGATTCTCCATCGAATTTCCGGAATTTTGAGACCAAACATGATATGTTTCACTGAAAATTTGAATTTTCAACCATTTTTCACAACCCGAGTTGGTGTAACTTGAGAGACACGTAGATTTTCAAAAGTTCTAGTGTTGTTTTTTGAATTCCTTGTGAAATTTCGAGTTTTTAGACACCCCACATCATAGGCTTTACTGTAAATGTGAAAATCCCAACCATTTTGGCGCCAAAAATTGCACCAAAATTTTTTCACCCAAAATATATGATGTTGGGTGTCTAAAAACTCAGAATTTCACGAGGACTTCGAAAAACAACACTAGAACGTCTGAAAATCCACGTGTCTCTCAAGTTATACCAACTCGGGGTGTCAAAATGGCACAATTTCAATATTTCACCTAAAATATATCATGTTTGGTGTCAAAAAACTGGAAATTTTCTGCAAAATTCTCGATTTTCAGACCGATTCCGATCCCACGCAGCCAATGTTTGCCGACGATGAAAATGAGGAGGAGATTCTAGACCGTGTTCGGCTCGTCCGTTTCCCCCCGCTCGTCGTGTTTTCGCTGGTTTTTATCTATGGTTGTGTTGCCGCGTGGGTGGTCCGATATTGGGAAACGTGGACATATGTCGAGAGTTTGTACTTTATTTTTATCAGCATTCTGACAGTTGGTAGGTGCATTTTCAGCAATTTTTGGCTGAAAATTGATATTTTTACCCAAAAATTCGGTCAAAAACCAATAATTTTGATTCGAAAAATTTCCAGGATTTGGTGATATTCGCCCGTCGCCTGGCAATGTTTGGCTAACTTTGGCTTTCGTTTTGGGTGGGTTACTGTGGGAGAGAGTACTGTAGATTTTTTGGCGCGAAAATTCGGGGCATTTTGATACCAAATAAGCTTAGGGTTACTGTAGATCAAATCAGAAAATTTTAAATTTTCGCGCCAAATTTGATCTACAGTAACCCTAGCCACATTTAGTATCAAAAAATTCCGCTCATTTTTTTGCAGTCGGAGTTATCCTAACTACAATGTGTATGGATGTTGTTGGCCGAATGTATCTCAAAGAAATCCACTACCTGGGTCGAAAACTCAAATCCAACAATCCGTTCTATTTGCTCCGCGAGGCGAAAGCGCGACGTCGCCGCGCGGCAATGGCGTCGCTTTTAGCGCAACTCGCCAAAGGCATGATATTCGCGCACAAGGATTATAATGAGCTGGCGAGAAAGAAGTCGAAAAAGAAGAAGGAGAAGAGGAGAGGAAGTCATGTTTGTGAGTTCGAACTCGCCTTGAAATTTGGAGCATTTTGAGCCCACACATGGTGTATTTTAAGTGATTTTTGAAAATTGCACCATTTCTT